TTGTTTGATTTAGGTATTTGTCATGTTTGACGAGAAATGTTAAAGTTATACAAATAAATACATTTTTTTTTTATTTGTAGATATATTTTAGTGTTGGTAATTTTGTTCAATCGCGATTATAATGCCTAAGTCGGGAAGTTTTTGCAACTTGCCACTAGACAAAATGCCACTCACACTCATGAGGCCCCAACAAGAGCGAGACCCGGGCGATTGCCCGCTCTGTTCGCCAGCCCCCAAGGTCGTCGGTGCACAGAGACACTGTTTAAAGAAAATTAGCAACAAATCGAAACATTCAATCATTTTAATGGAATAGTTGTTATAGATTATTACATATAGACAGTATAAGTAAAAATACACTTAGTTACGAAAATTCAATATGTGAATAAAGTTTCAACTGAATAATACTTACTGTTATAGCTGGTAGATACTGAAACTGGAAAGGAAATCACAGAACCCAACATTCCCGGCGAGATGTGGACAAAAGGGCTGAGTTTCACAGTACGTTCTATGTAACATTTATTAATATATACTTCAGGAGAGAAGATATTGTTAGTAATGCTGGTCCTTATGATAGTAATATACTCTGTCTGTTATACCTCTATTCGGTCCCCTTTAGTGGTTAATTTCTAATGAATTCGCCACGATGTATCAACTTTATTTATTCTTTATTCTTCCAACGCATACCATATGTACCTCAGGGGGAATTGTTAGTAATGGGGATTAAAGGTCCTATGGATAGGTTAGATTACCCTTAGAGGTTAATTCCTAATGAATTCGTCACGATGTATCAACTTTATTTATTCTTCCAAGGCATATTAACAGCGCAAGCGGGGTCATTAGTTTTTAGCCCATAAAATAAAATAGGTTATCCCATAAATAAATAGGTTAAGTTGAACTCGCACGTCGAGGGCTCCGTATATAAATAATAAAATTATTTTATTTAAAAATGTGTTTATTGTGTTTCTTATATGAAGGATGTGCATTTTAGTAGGTGCACTGTTAAACAATAAAAATATTTTTTCTATTATTGTTTTTGCAATATATATATATATATATATATATATATATATATATATATATATATATATATATATGAGACAGAGACATCAAATTATGACAATAATAAAACTTAAGGTGGGCCTTGATAGTTAGTTTACGACGTTAGTATTTACATTTGTAAACATATATATCTGTACTAGGAGTATTACAACAACCCAGAGGAAACAGCTAAGGCTTTCACGGAGGACGGCTGGTACAAGACCGGAGACCTTCTGTACAGGGACCAAGATGGCAACTACTATTATGTAGAGCGAATCAAAATGCTCATTAAATACAGAAACTATCAAGTAAGTAAAGATTTAGTACTGAAGAATCTTCTGATACGTGATCTTCTTAATCTTCTGATACACTAATATTATGTTTTTTTTTATACCACTGAGATGGCAAACAAGCATACGGCCCACCCGATGGCAAGTGGTAGCCTATGAACACCTGCAATACCAGAGGTATGACGCGTGCGTTGCCGACCCTGAAGAAACCTCTTTACCCCCCTTTTGAAGAACCCCATGCTGTACTCTCTTGGGAAAACCTCGGCAGGGAGTTCATTCTACAACCTGAGTGTTCGTGGGAGGAAACATCTCTGAAACCGCGCAGTACACGACCATTGAGGCTGTAGGACATGAGGATGAACTTTCTGTCGATGGCGAGCCGTACGATGGTAGAAAGTGGCTGTGGACATCATATTGAACAATTCCTCTGAGCACAATCCATTGTACAGGCGGTAGAACATGCAGAGTGAGGCAAAATCTCTCCTAAGACTTAAGGGTTCAATACCGCTTGTGAGCCTGGGATCATCGACAATTCTCATAGCTCGTCATTGCAACGAGTCGAAAGGTTCAAGTTGGTACTTAGGTGCTCCGGCCCATAAGTGACAGCAATACTTCATGTGGGGCCGAAAAAATAATAATATCCAAGAAAGAAATATGATCAATGGGAAGCTTTGGACGACAGTTACCTGCATGGATACTTCTGTTCTATTTATGTATTTGCCAGAAAGCATCTGTGTTTGTATAGTTACGTTTCGGATTGAAGTGCAAATGACATTGAAAATATGGAGCCGTAACCGTAGTCCTATGGACTTTCGACAATTGAGGAGTCACGGTCGACCTCCACGTGGACCATCCTGAAATCTATAGAACTAAATTCCAGACGTATTCATCGCGATGGGTTAACTGATCTGCCTTTTCATCGTCATCTATCATCGCTCACCGGTGCCCCGACAGCGTATACCGTTAACCGCAATCGGGGATGCCGTTCCATTATGATCCATTAAAAAAAAAACCAGTAACAACATATTACAACATAGATATAACGAGTCAGTTGTACTATCAGGTGATTCCAGTAGAACTGGAAGAGTTGATACGAACTCACCCGAGCGTGTTGGATGTGGGCGTGACGAGTGTGCCAAATGAGCTCGATGGCGAACATCCCGTTGCGGTTGTGGTCCGGAAGCCGGGGACTTCCGTCAGCGCTCAAGAGATAAAGGATTTGGTTGCTAGTAAGTACCACTTTGTTTCGTAGTCTCGGTATAGAATGGGCTTTCCTTCCTGATAGGTGTTGTAAGAGGCGACTAAAGGAATTTAAAGGTCGAGCAATGGGCAACAGTGTCCCTTTTAAAACATCACTAACGCCTTAATGCCGTTGCCAATTTATCTGCCTGTGAAAACTACTGATTGTTTATATTCAGTTAGTTAAAATTACTTCTATTATTGTTATATATTATTGCATGTATCACGTTGTTATGTATTATTTTATATTTATTTACATTCCTGAGTAAGCTTATTAGGACACTGTTAAGATCACCTAGTCTTCAGGAGTGGAAACGCATAACCATACCACACCATGGCCACCACAATGTGTCTCTGGTGACTGTGTTGCTGTTCATATCTGTAGGTGATAGATTTCACTTTCTCACAGATGAGCTATCAGCTTCTTTGTCGTTCCAAGTTACCGACCCAAATGTTAGTTTATGTAATATTTGGTATGCTAAACGTCTCAGAGCTGGACAGTGGCTTATTGATAGCCTACAAAAACAATTAAAATTACAGTCAATTTTCATCATATTTAAATTAAAAGAAACGATGACTGACAATTTTTTCCCCACGTTTTCAGGTAAAGTATCCGATAACAAATTATTAAGAGGTGGCGTAGTATTTGTGGACGAGCTGCCGTTAACTGCAACCGGAAAAGTAGCGCGTATAAATCTCCGGCAAATAGCGTTCAATGCAAACAGAGAATAAAGATATTTAAATTAAAGTGCAAATTAAATTAAAATTAGTTTTATTGAATAAACACAGATATACTTAATGGCCTTTATTGACAAATGAAATATATTTTATTCATTCAATAATCATGATACGGATATTAAGATACTAATAAGGCACGGTTGTATATGTACATGTAGTATGTACGTAAGTATATGAACTGCGGATCTACCATGAAATGAAATTCCGAAATTTCGGACTCAATTTCGTGTTTTTATTTATACCAAAATCGAACCAATAAATGGAGATTAACATTTCGTTCGTCATACATCCTATCATAAAATATTGTTTATATTTTAACATTTTTAATTATTCCAAACGGCATGTATTATGTAATTTTAACATCAAATTTCTGTTTCGTTTGGCTCCGAAATTTCGGAAAACATTTCATGGTAGGCCCTCTGGTTACTATTTCCTTTCTCGTAGATGTCGTAAGAGGTGACTAAAGGAATGTAAAGATAGATGGATGGGCAGTAGCATTCCTCTTTAAACATCACCGGTGCCTATTTTTTATTATTATTGAAAGACGGGCTTTTTCGAGCAGAATAACCTGTGACACTGCGAACTTTCCATTATCTCTTGTGCCCGCCCTCACCAATGTTTAACTGCGGTTGTTGTGCAAATCCAAATAAAACTTATCAAAGGGACAAAAGTTCTCTGCTTGGTTACCTCTGCTCCATTTGTGTTTCTGCCATGAATTTGTATGGCTATGCTTCGGTTTGAAAGGTTGGACATGACAATATAATTACCGGGTACAGAGACATAACGCCTTAGTTTTCAGGAATGGCAACACATTAAGGGAATCATGGACGACACAGTATACTCTGTTATGTCCATGTTACTGATCATGTCTATAGGCGACAGTTACCACTTTCCATCAGGTGGGCCGTCAGCTTGTTTGAACGAATGAGTATACCCTACTTGCATTATACAGTGTAGGAAATAAGCAAGACAATTAATAGATGTAACGATACAGTTGTATAAGTATAGTAAGATACTCCTATTGCTGTAAGCAGTCTGAGTTTAACATACTAAGTTACATAAAAAATATCGTCAAACAAGATCGAAAGTACTGTTTACAATTAAAACGTCGTTTTGTTTAACTTATACTAAAATATTTCTTTTGATGCTATACTACGAACCTTAACCTAAAGTTTTAATGAAAACTGTTCGTTTTCATTCTTTTTAATAGTATTGCCCTTTTTTGTAGGACATGATTCAATTAACAGTATGTAGTAACTGTTATGTCCATGGTACTGCTCATGTCTATAGGCGACGGTTACCACTTTCCATCAGGTGGGCCGTCAGCTTGTTTGCCATTCTAAGTAGTATTAAAAAAAAAAACTAACTAACATTAATGTAATATATTATTTTTCTATCATCAGTACTGCTAATTACGCTTAGAGGAATGTTTAAAATTTTTGAAACAAATTTACCTTACCCTTACCAACCTTAGCTTATACCTAATTTTTTTAAATAAAATCTGTGTCTTATATATAATAAGTAAATGCTTGGGCATTAATGACATACATATTTTGGAAAATAGTGATTTTTGGTTTGCATCAAAGTTTTTTCCAAAAATTATACAATATTTAAACTTAAAGTCGCCCTTTTGAAAAGCGAGCATTTTCACACTTCGTATTATACGTAAGTACTTATATATACGTTGAAATACACTAATATGTCAAACTACAGTGCAGTGATCGTAGAGTAAGGATTGTTTTTGCGCGCTAGTGATAATATCTAAGTAGTGAAAAAAAAGGCAAATAGTGGTTAAACAAAAAATGGGTAGTGTAATCTGGGAGGAGTTAACTGACAAAGATCATCTCGGCCATTTGTTTATACTTAGCATGAAGAAACGACCAGATGCTGTGTGTCAGGTAAGATTAATATAAAATTAATAAAGATTATAATTTTATATTTGATATATATATGAATATTTGCAGAGATATAGATAATAAAGTAGTTTTTTGTCCTTTTCGCTTATGCTCCAAATATATATAAGCCACAAAAGATCACAGAGAAGTTCTGATTTAGTGTAATGGAAATTATCGGCAAATGTAAGGAGAATGACAGAATTAATATGATATGATGAGATAAGAGAATATTTTTTTTTAATGGTGAAAATTTACTAAAAGGATGAATGGAGAGAAAACTCGTGTTGAGTTGTTCAGTTACAAATTTATTGTTATGTATACATAGCAAAGACAACCTGAGAGAAATATTTATATATAGATTTTGTAATTGTGGATGAACGGTTGAGAGCGAAAGTTAATGATACAAGAGTCATTTTTCATATTTATAGACATATTTCGGTAGTTTCTAAAATATAAGTGACTTATTCAATAGCTGGCGCAATCGTCGACATGTCCGTATGCCAGGAATAGAAAAAGTGTGGGTTTCTCTACCCATTGGTAGAAGTGCAATATTGAATGAAAGGTTTTTTTAAAAGGAATTTAAATATGGAATGGTAGAAATAACTATTTAAGTTTATGGTGTAAGTAAGTAGAAAGATGTTAAGACGAGAATAAATGTATGGCCGAATGATGAAGGGAAAGAAATGGTGGCTTGAGAGAAAAATGTATGTACAGATTTGTTGTTCACTAAAGTTAATTTACGTCACCTTGGTTTCTTTTAGAAAGAAAAGTGATGTAAATGGCGTTAAAAAATGACGTGATGATAAAGGAAGTTAAAGATGTAGTGAGGAAAACGAAATATTAATGCAAAGATGAGTACGAAAGGAAATTGTCCAGAAATTTTAGAGTCATCCAAAAGCTAATGTGGCATTTAGTTTCTCCATGGAAATTACCAGAGGGAGACTTTGTACAAAAGTCGTTTGCTTGGGCACCTCTGTTCCATTCGTCTTTCAATCGTAAAGCAGTTGTGTTTGCATAGCTGTGTTTCGGTTTGAAGGGTGGGATATGGCGTGAATTTACTGGGTACAGAGAAATAACACCTGAATCCTCAGGAATGGCAACGCACGAGGGATATCATGGGCGCAACAGTATACTCTGTTATGTCCATGGTACTGTTCATATTTATAGGTGACAGTTACCAGTTTGCCATCTAAGTTGTATAAAAAAAATGTCACCTGTACTCATAAGGTCTGAATGTACTTCCTTGAAGCTATCCACTAATTTCTTTTCGCTAGCAAAATCACATACACACTAATGTAAACAATCTCTTTTGATTTTGGATGACAACTTCTAAATTTTTTCTCAATAAGTTTAAAGTAAATATGCTCTTATGGCACAGGGTGGATAAATTCTCTAGAATTAAATCTTCAGCGGTCATCGGTTTGGATGAACGTCATTTAGTTCAGTCATGTTGAATCTTTACGAATTGGATATGATATCTTGTAGATATTAAAACACAGACGTATCACAAAAGAAAACGGAAACCGAATAATGAAATTTGTATGCATAAATTTGTATTTATATTGTGTAGATATAAAATGAATGGAATGACGTAGGTAGAAACATACCGCAAGAGATTATGAATAATAATGAACACGTTTATAAGAATAAAATCGAAAAGAGAATGACGCAAACAACTATATATGTATAACTCCTTTCATCAATATCTAAATAATTCTATTTTTTATCACAGATAGACGCAGTAACCGGCGAGAGTGAGACCAGTGCATCTGTTTTGTCTCGTTCTATAGCTGTAGCAAGATGCTTCAGAAGACTGGGATACCAAGTGGGGGACGTGATGTCACTGAGCGGACCTAACAATATTAACCTCCATATTCCGTATTACGCTGCATTGATGAACGGCTTGCCTATCGCCGGAGTGGACCCTACGTTCAAGTATGGTAAGACATAATAGCTGTTTATGCAATTTAAAATGGCAAACTGTCAGTCCACTTGGTGAAAAGTGTTAATGGTTGCCTTTAGACATAAATACCATCTCATCAAGCTTCCAGAGTACCTATCGTACTTTGCCATTCTTGAGGTCTACTCGGTTATGATTTCGTACCCTGTAATTTCATTGCCATGTTCCATCCTTCTGGGGGAAAAAGTTTCTTAAATGGCAACCCCTAACAGGCAAACGAAGTGTAGGATGACTCTTCACTAGATGGAGCATTGCCTTCAAATGTATTGCAAGAAGTCTGTGGATGCAGGTGGCTCGGGACCGTTCCTTATAGCAGTCTATAGCCGACTGACTTGACTTCATTTTCACCTATTATCCTTTACTAGTATCCTGTCAACATATACCATTAGCGCTAGCTAGGTAAACCCGATACCGTTTTAATAAAAAAAAAATCAAGCCGAAATTATATGTACGTACTAGGTACGACATTTTAGGATTGTAGCTTTAACATGCCATTACCATACTACCTGAAATCGGGTTAACGATAGGACATTTCTACTTCTTTCCACTGTCATCAATGTTGGCACTTTAGATAATAATAAAAATAATTAAATATTTTTCAGATGAACTAGAACAAGCGTTGAGAGTGACCAGGCCGCGGATATCATTCTGCATGAAGGCTGCATACGACGACCATATTCGTGCGATTCAAAAACTGCAACTCGATACGAGAGTAGTCACGTTAGACGACGGAGAACATTCTATGGCAGATTTCGTTGAAATATACGACCCTAAAGATATTAATGATGCGGATTTTGAGTAAGTACTTTTTTAGCTTTAGGGAGTGGCGGCGGTTGGAGTGCGCACGGCGGCACGAGGTCAAAAATGGGATTAATAAAGATTAGCATGAAATTCTTTCGATTTTAGAGTGAACAGCGTTGACCATTTTTATCGACGGTTACAATAAGCCTAGCCCACTTCAAATGTATCATCATCATCCTTATATCAGCTGTTAACTCTCCATTGGTGAACATTGGCTTCTCCCATAGACTGTCGTAAGCAACGGTCCCGAGCAACTTGTATCCACTGAATCCCAGCAATTTTACTTGTACGTTTAGATGTAAACAGATATCTACATAAACGAAATATAAATCTATATACATACATACAAAAGAATGGGTTTATTTGTGTATCAACCTAGATAATTATATAATTGGTGACTTAATACTGAAAATTGAGCGTGAGCGATTTCTACTAAATTATGCACTGATTTCTAACCATCCAGTGACATTTTTATCCAAATATGCTGAAATATTCTTAAATTTTTTTAAAAGAATACTAGTTTTTTGCCCGCTACTACATATACGTAAATTACAGAATTAGGTAAAACAATAACAGTGATCACTTCTAGATCAATGTTATTTAATGTTATTAAATGTAATACTTCTTATATCTACGATTAATCCACTAAGTATTATACTATTGATTCTGACCAGATAATTCATATGAATAAAAAATCTATATTGTACGTAATGGGCCTAATTCTGAGGCACTATTTCTCTAAATCAAGCTCTTAACCTAATATTTTACTTTGATAATTTCACAAAATTATTGTTTTATGGGCTATCTATAAAGTAACATTATAAATAAATTTGACTTAAATCTATAAAAAAAAAAATAGTTTATATTGTTTCTATAGTTCGTACAATGAAGATTTCACTGTAATATTAATCTGAAATTATGGACATAGACTTAAAGGAATGGCGCCTCTGAATCGCCCCAGAATCCGGATCATTGACGAAATATGATCTTTGGCTTAATATTTATTTATGATTAATTTATTTAATGGATTTTAAATAGACTAGCTTTTGCCAGAGATTTTTGTACGCCTGGAATTTGGTGCAATACAATAGGCTACTTGGTTACTTCTAGGTGACGTTTATACATCGAATTTTAAGTTCTTGCTTCAGAAACTAAACTGTGAAAACCGTATCCAATTTGATACAATAATTTTGCGTGATGCTTTTTTTGATGAATTGGTGATGAACATCAATTGTTCCAAACAAAAACAAATTGTCGCAGAACAAAAAAAATCTTTTGACACTTGGCCTGTAGATTTACATTTATGTGTAATTTGCTAAGCTATCGAATTAAGCACAATGTAAGAACACGTTTAAAGTTTGGAAATAAAAATAAACACTACGGTATAAAATATTTCAGGTCAAGAATACTTTGATTTTATCGTTTTATAAATTTAAAGAGATATTTTTATTTTTTTAATGGATGACAATGGGATGGTAACCCCACCTGCGCTAACGGTATGCGCTGGTGGATCACCAGTAAGATGAAACAGTTAGCCCATCGTGATAAATACTCCTGGAATTCAGCACAATGGTTTCCAGGGGGGACTACATGGAGGTCTACTTGACAGGGTTTATTGTTAGCAATAGGACTGGGAGTTCGCATTATTAACAATCGCTTCCCCCGTTTCAAAGAGACATTAGCTTTGTCATTGGGATAGGTTACGATACTATGTATTATGGAAGAGAATAAAGTACTTACAATATTTTCATTACTTGATGCGTGATTGATATACGTTTGTTCAAATTTAAATTAGTTTTGTTAAAGTGTGTTCACCTAACTGTCAATCAACCAGCGTATACCGATAGTGCAGGGTTACCATTCCATTTTCACCCATTAAAAAATCCTCAATCAAGAACTAACAAAAATATAAAGAACAGTGTCATAGACTTTCGCAAAGTAACATTAAATTCAATAAAAATACGACGATAATTCTTGCTTGCTTCAATGATTCCTTCTATATTTCGGGGACATAGGCTTCTCAATGGACTTGAAGTTTAAAGCAAAGATGAAAGGTCCACCGAAGCTGAACAGGAGATTGCATTTGCTAAACATTTCCTAAATGAGTATATTTCTAATATTTCTCTGATAACTAATCAAATTTTTTTTTAATATAAAGACAGGGGTAGTACTTCGCTACGCTGCGCAATTGCTCCAACTTTTTCAAAATGAGTTACTGCACAGCGCAGTACTGGGAAATTGTTCGAGAAAAGTGATATGGGTTTAGAGAAATGTGGGTAATGTTTATAAATAGACTAAGGAAAGATTAATTTTTTTCGTCGTCGATTTTATGACACACGGCAAAAGTACAGCGATACAAGTTATCCATGCGCCACGGCACAATTTTGAGTTTGAGCCAGTGCAATAGGGTGCGCTTGAGATACTGAGTTGATGCAAGAAAAATCGTTGAGTTACTTATGTCTATTTTTCTTTGATATTGAAAAGTATTTTTATTCCTTTGAATTGATATTAAAACTTAACATTGAATTTTCAGACCTGCTGCATTTGACCCAGAGAAGACTTTTGCATGGCTAGTAAGTACCAGTGGCACCACTGGCATATTCAAATCAGCAGCAATTACTCACAAATCAATAATGGATTTCATTCGCATATATTTTGACAGAAATATTGTGAACATGAGGTAAATATCACCATCTGCAGGAATCTGCAGGAAAATTACCTGAGTCCTCAGGAATGGCAACGCATCGAGGGTGTCGTGGGCGAAATTATACTCTGTTATGTCCATGGTACTATTCATGTCTATAGGCGACGGTTGCTACTTTTCATCAGGTGGGCCATCAGCTTGTTTGCCATTCTAAGTTTCATATAAAACCTTATGCAATATAACCTACATTGCTAGCAATGACTCTGCTAATCACTGCTACCGGAAATAGTTATTACCAACTTACCGTAGGGTGCTCCATCAGCTTATTAATCACCAGTATTATGATGATGATAATGATGATACAAGCGTTAACGGTCCACTACTGAACTGCCTCCACTTTGGGGGTTTGCCAGTTGTTGCCACGCTTGCTAGATGGATTGACTATTGCAATTAGATTTTGGGGATGTTTTAAAAGGGACCCTTCCACCCATCCCTTGATCATTAAGTTGCTTTAGTTGTAATCTTACGACACCCATGGGAAAAGAAAGGGTGACCTGTTCTATGCCGGGACCACACAGTGTACTACCTACTACACGGCTTACGGTCTAACAACCAGTATTATTTGTATCATTAAAACAATGATTTCAGGAGGAACAAGAAAATACTGACGCTATCACCAGTTCAGTGGATAACCGGCTTTTCTAATGCTATTTATATACCAGCAACAGAATCTATTAAGCTGCAGACTTCGTCGCCATCTATGGAACACATTATTGATATTATCAACGAGTACAAGGTGCTTATTCGTGATGTATTATATCCCTGATAGTAAATAATTCTTACTTAAATGTATTTTAATGACTTAGCCAATCACCATAAAATTTGGCATTCTTATTTTTTGGCATGGCTACACGTATATAAATACATTTTCATCCTATGTTTATGGTATTACATTATTTTGACTGAAACTTTTCGAAATTCTTCAATAATTATCTTACCTTACTAATATAATAAAATAACTGGTCGATGTTTGTATATGGGAAATATTAAAAAAAATATGGGAACACAATAATTTTTAATGATTATGTCTGTCTGTTTTGTTTGTAATTTTTGTTTCTAAATTACGCAAAGATTATTATATCAAATTGGATGCGGTTCCGTTTCAGTTGTAGTTCTGAAGGTATAACTTAAAATCTAGTGTATATTTTATTTTGTTTCGCCATCCAGATGCGTTGTATTTCATTGGTTTTCCTACTTCGCAAATCCACGCGCACGAAGTAGCGGGCAAAAAGCTAGTTATGAATATGGTTACTAAATTTTAATAAAATTTCAATAATGTATTTATTTTTACAGCCCAACAGGGTATTAACTAGCTATTCAACTATAAGAGACATTCTGAAGCATGAAAAGAAATGCGATTTAAGTTGCTTTGATGCAATTATGCTCACTGGTGCAAAGATTCATAAGGATCTAATAATGGATTTAAAGGTAAGGTACTCATAAGATATATGAGTGATTGAACTTTTTTCTTCAATAGATGACATAATGATGATGAGGGTTATAGAAGTAGTAAATCTGCACGCGATATCGGCATGCGCTGGCCGGGTAACCGTGAGTGTATAAAAAAAATCGTCTATATCCAACTTACGTTGTCCTCATTATTTCAGTCTCGAATGCGGAAAGATGCACTGTGTGTTGAAGTTTACGGGCAAACGGAAAGTCTAGGGCCTGTAATTCAGCCGAATTTTAACGGACCATTAGGCAGTTGCGGAAAAGCCTCAGAGATCTCTTTAGTTAAGGTAAAGTAACATTATAATATTGTATGTATTATTATTACTATTTGTATCTGGATGACCGAGCTTTGATCGGTTTTTTTTTTGGCTTTGTGTTGCTTAATAATCCCATCTATTGTTAATTAGTCGGTAAAACAATTTGTTGCGAGTCTATAAAGAGTTATTGAATCAACTTTTCTATTACATATAATAGGTATATTTTGTAGCATGGAAAAAGGCAAAGGAAATTGGCTACAATTCGAAACATTCAATCATTGTAATGGAATAGTTGTTATAGATTATTATATATAGACAGTATAAGTAAAAATACACTTAATTATGAAAATTCAATATGTGAATAAAGTTTCAACTGAATAATTCTTACTGTTACAGCTGGTAGATCCTGAAACTGGAAAGGAAATCACAGAACCCAACATTCCCGGTGAGATGTGGACAAAAGGGCTGAGTTTCACAGTACGTTCTACTTAACATTTGTTAATATATACTTCAGGAGAGAAGATATTGTTAGTAATGCTGGTCCTAATGATAGTAATATTTTCAGTCTGTTATGCCTCTATTCGGTCTCCCTTAGTGGTTAATTCCTAATGAATTCGTCACGATGTATCAACTTTATTTATTCTTCCAACGCATACTAACAGCGCAAGCGGGGTCATTAATTTTTAGACCATAAAATAAAATAGGTTATCCCATAAATATACCAGAGGGAGACTTTGTACAAAAGTCGATTGCTTGGGTATCTCTGTCCCATTCGTGTTTCAACCGTGAAGCAGTTGTGTTTGTATGGCTGTGTTTCGGATTGAAGGGTGGGATATGGCGTGAATTTACTGGGTACAGAGGAATAACACCTGAGTCCTCAGGAATGGCAACGCATGGGGAGTATCATGGGCGAAACAGTATACTCTGTTATGTCCATGGTACTGCTCATGTCTATAGGCGACGGTTACCACTATTCATCAGGTAGGCCGTCAGCTTGTTTGCCATTCTAAGTTGTATAAAAAAATAAACAAATAAAAAAAAAATCACTTTATTTAAACATGTTTTTATTGTGTTTCTTAAATGAAGGATGTTCATTTTGAAATTTTCAGTACCCTGTTGGACAATAAAAATATTTTTTCAATTATTTCTTTTGCAATATATATGGACCAGTGACATCAAATTATGACATAATAATAAAAACTAAGGTGGGCCCTGATAGTTAGTTTAAGGCGTTAGTATTTACATTTGTAAACATATACTCGTATATCTGTACTAGGAGTATTACAACAATCCAGAGGAAACAGCTAAGGCTTTCACGGAGGACGGCTGGTACAAGACCGGAGACCTTCTGTACAGGGACCAGGATGACAACTACTATTATGTAGAGCGAATTAAAATGCTCATTAAATATAGAAGCTATCATGTAAGTAAAGTTTTAGTATATTTTACTGAAGAATTTTCTTGTAGGTAGACTGTATGGGCGAAAAACTAAAAGTCCAGGGGTTGGCAGAGAGGGCGGTTAACAATGACTTTCCTAGACCGGTATGCCGTTCGCAACAACTTAAATTAATCGTACCTCTTTGATGTGCTGGTTCACCTGCCTCTTGGGTTTGCTGTTTTTCTCCACGGCGCAGCTAAGGATCCTCACGGGCTCCGGAGCACGCACAAATGTTGTATTTGAATAGAGTGGCGTGATGTCGGGTACTTCACATGTCCATGACACACATATCAGTTTTTCCATTAAAAGAAATTTAGTCTTATTATGAAATATAACAAGTTGCATACAAAACCACGTCGTAGCAAACTATGAATTTCACTTATATGTCCTTTATTATAAAATAAATACACAAAAACAGAGCGTATGCTGCTAACAACCCGTCATCACTTTTCGCGCCAACGCCATATTGCTTTTTTTTTCTTTTTATCAATCTGAACATAGTTGCGCTCAGGTGCGATGCGATAGCACTCTCTTGTGTGGTAAAACGACCTTCAAGCCGTGCGATGCAACCGGCATCGGATTATCATCATTAAACTAGCCCAAACAAAGATACTAATTTTATGTTTTAGAGTCTTCGATAAAAGAATAATATTCAAAAAGGAAATATGATCAATGAGATACTTTGGACGAAAGTCATCTGAAAGGATACTGCTGTTCTATTTATGTATTTGCCAGAAAGCGTCTGTGTTTGTATAGTTACGTTTCGGATTGAAGGAGAAAACATATTGAAAATACGAAGCCGTAACCGTAGTCCTATGGACTTTCGACAATTGAGGGGTCACGCGTATCTTGCACTGTTCGTAGTGGTGTTTATGTCTATAGAAACCGATTAGCAATTTCTCTCAGGCCGTCAGCTTGTTTGCCATTCTAAGTATCGTAAAAAAAAGGTACCTTTTCATTATATCGGTAAAATACTTTAACTAAGAGTTTAACCTAAGACCTTACCTGCAAGGACAGGGAGGATTGTTAATAGTGTCCGATCGAACTTTCGGTTTCGGTTTCGGCTAGTTTCGGCCAGAATTTCTACTTTCGACCTTAGTTTCGGTTTTGGCCAAAAATTTGCCGAAACTTTGTGTGTGTGTTTGTGTTGTGTGTGTGTGTGTGTGTGTGTGTGTGTGACTAACTGAAAGTTTTTTTTTAAGTTTACTTCTAAGATTAAGTCATAATTTTAACATGTTTTTACATATAAATATATATAACATATTTGTTACATACTTTAATTAGTGTTTATTATTACCCTTTAACTATCTGTGTGTTTGTGTAAATAATAGTATAATAAATACACTAGATTTCAGTATAGAAGAGAAATTTTAAATATGCTTCAGTAAGTTTCGGTTTCGGCCTAAACTGAGACCAAGTTGGAAAGTTCGGTTTCGGTTTTGGCTGTAAAACCTATTTCGGTCGGATACTAATTGTTAGTAGTGCGGACTACCAGTCCCATTGCTAGCAATATAACCTGTCAGGTCGATCTCCATGGAAACCATCGTGCTGAATTCCAGATGTATTCATCACGATGGGCTAACGGATCTGCCTTTTCATTCTCACTTTACTAGTGCTCCAAAATACCTTAGTTCTTAGGAATGACAATATATGGAGGGTATCATGGGCGAAATATACTACAGTATTCTCTGTTAAGTCCATGGTACTGTTCATCATATTTCATCTATATTTCACTATATATACTTACTTATTCCTTTTATTTTTAAAATCTGCCCCGCCACAATGTACCGTTTGCGTAAGTGGAGATACCATTCCATTATCATCTATTACAATAAACCTGTAAGAACATATTACAACATAGATATAACGAGTCACTTGTACTATCAGGTGACTCCAGTAGAACTGGAAGAGTTGATACGAACTCATCCGAGCGTGTTGGATGTGGGCGTGACGAGCGTGCCAAATGAGCTCGATGGCGAACATCCCGTTGCGGTTGTGGTCCGGAAGCCGGGGACTTCCATCACCGCTCAAGAGATAAAGGATTTGGTTGCTAGTAAGTACCACTTTGTTTCGTAGTCTCGGTATAGAATGGGCTTTCCTTCCTGGTGGGTGTTGTAAGAGGCGACTATAGGAATTTAATGGTCGAGCAATGGGCAGCAGCGTCCCATCACATAACATCAAACCACTTAAAACATCACTAACCCCTTAATGCCGCTGCCAATTCATCTGTTTACAGCAATTAGTTTATCTAATATTTGGTATGCTAAACGTCTCAGAGCTGAACAGTGGCTTATTGATAGCACACAAAAACATTAAAATTACAGTCAATTTTCATCATATTTGATTTAAAAAGAAACGATGACTGACTAAATTCTTTCCACGTTTTCAGGTAAAGTATCCAATAGCAAATTATTAAGAGGTGGTGTAGTATTCGTGGACGAGCTGCCGTTAACTTCAACAGGAAAAGTAGCGCGTATGAAACTCCGGCAAATAGCGTTCAATTCAAACAGAGAATAAGGATATTTAAATTAAAATACAATTTAAATTAATATTAGTTTTATTGAATGAACAAAGACATCCCTAACGGCCTTTATTGACAAATGAAATATATATTATTCATCAATAACTATGACATGGATATTAAGATACTAATACGGCATGGCTGTATATGTATAATGCATGCAGTATGTATGTAAGTATATAGATATACATATTTGTATGAGCTATTGGTATGCCCGTATATGTAAGTATATATTGTATAGTACCATTGTTGTCTGGCGTGTGATCCCGTCGTAGAATGGGCCACTACTTTTTTTCTAGTCTATGTCATGAGAGGTGACTAAGGGAACGTGATGATCGAAGGATAGGTAGCAGTATTCCTCTTTAAACATCATCAGTTCCTATTATTTATTATTATTGAAAGACGAGCTTTTTCAAGCAGAATAACCTGTCGCTGTGACACTGCGACCTTTCTATTATCTCTTGAGCTCGCCCTCACCAATGTCTAACTGCGGTTGTTAACCCGCCTGCCACACGTGGCGACTACTGGAAAACCCAAATAAAACTTATCAAAGGAACAAAAGTCCTCTGCTTGGTTACCTCTGTTCCATACAGCTATGCTTCGGTTTGAAAGGTGGGACATGGCAATATAATTACCGGGTACAGAGACATAACGCCTTAGTTTTCAGGAATGGCAACACGTATAACGCAGTTTCAGAGATGTTTTCTCCCACGAACACTCAGGTTATGGAATGAGTTCCCTGCCAAGGTTTTCCCAAGAGATTACAGCATGGGGTTCTTCAAAAGGGGGGTAAAGAGGTTTCTTCAGGGTCGGCAACGCGGGCGTAATACCTCTGGTATTGCAGGCGTTCATAGGCTACGGTTATCGCTTACCATCAGGTGAGCCGTATGCTTGTTTGCCACCTCAGTGGTATAAAAAAAACATCAAGGGAATCATGGACGACACAGCATACTCTGTTATGTCCATGGTCTATAGGCGATGGTTACCACTTTCCATCAGGTGGGCCGTCAGCTTGTTTGAATGAATGAGTACACTCTAGACACACACATATAGAGAATAAGCAAGACAATTAATAGAGGTAACGATATAGTTGTATAAGTACAGTAAGGCTGTGAACAATTTGAGTTTAACATTCTGCGACAACGAAAAGTCTGCGCGTTCACCGCAAAAAAGACGCCGTTTGTCGTATCTCCTCACTTTCAGGGTACTTCCCTTGATAATAAGTCGAGTCTGGGGATTCTTGGCGTCGATATATCTAGCAATGTCCAGTTTTGCGGTCATCTGAAGAAAAAAGCTAAGATAGCTTTCAAAAAGTTGGGGGTGCTCAATAGGATGAGACGGTATTTCACGCCGGAACACCGTCTGAAACTGTATAAAGCTCAATTCAGGCCACATATATAATACTGTTCTCACCTATAGGCAGGACAATACCAACTCCTTCCGTTAGACCGCATTCAAAGTCGGCCAGCTCGAATTGTTGACGATTGGCGCCTTACTGTCCGACTTGAGCCACTGAAATCTTCTATCGAATTTATCGTGGGAAGTGCTCTGAGGAATTGTTCGGATTGATACCTGCTGCCGATTTTCACCATCGTACAATCCGCCATAAACTAAAATTTCATCCCAACCATCTGGACGAGTGGCGGTCCTCCACCGTGCATTTTTCAAGACACTTTCTTCTACACACAACCACTCTTTGGAATCAACTCCAGCAGCAGTATTTCTGAACCGATACGACAATATAACCTTCAAGAAAAGAGCATATTCTTTTTTACAAGGCCGGCAACACACCTGCAATGCCGTTGGTGTTGTGCGTGATTATGGGCGGCGGTAGTCATTTACCATCAGGTAAGTCGCACACTCGTTTGCCCCGTGTTGTTAAAAAAAATCTAAGTTGCATAAAAAATATGTCAAACAAGATCGAAAATGCTGTTTACAATTAAAACGTCGTTCTGTTTATTTATAATTTATACGAAAATATTTCTTTTGATGCTATATTTCGAACCTTAACCTAAAGCTTTAATGGAAACTGTCCGTTTCCATTCTTTTTAATAGTATTGCCTTTTTTTGTAGGACATGATTCAATTAAAATCGAACTAAAATTAATGTAATATATTATTTTTCTATCATCAGTACTACTAATTACGCTTAGAGGAATGCTTAAAAAATTAAAACGAATTAATACGCCCTTACAGCTTGTACTTAATTTTTTAATATTAAATCTGTAAAAGCGAATGCTTTGACAATAGTGATATATTTTGTAAAATAGTGATTTTTACGTACTTATAAGTTGAAATGCACAGATATGTCAAACTACAGCGCAGTGTTTGTATAGTAAGGATACAGGAGTTAAGTATCAGCGCGGTAATGATAATATCTAAGTAGTGAAAAAAATTAATATGAAAAGACAAATAGTGATTTAACAAAAAATGGGTAGTGTAATCTGGAAGTAGTTAACTGACAAAGATCGTCTTGGCCATTTGTTTATGCTTAGCATGAAGAGACGACCCGTTGCTGTATCATCATCATCATCAATCTGTAAAATGATGCATCCCCCCCCTCACCCTCTTTCGCCATCATTAGAATTAATGTCACCAATTCACACCATCGCTGTCTGATGTCTTCACGGGCTTTGTGAGATAGCCAGATGCGACCCACAGTGGTGGGCGAGACGCTATGACAACATCGTATTGAAATTGAAGAGGGCGAAAGGGATTGTTAGTAATGAGTCTTACTGCCTCATTGCAAGCAATATCAGGTTGACCTCCAGCAATTCCCGCTGGAAACCATCGTGATTAATTATTATTGTATTCGTAATAATGGTTTAACTGACCTGCATTCATCCTTACTTTTTATCTCTTATTTTTGCCCCGCTAAGGTATACCGATAGCACAATAGGTGCTACTACTTCCATCATCATCTATTAAATAAAACATAACCTGAAGAAGCTTCCGGATAAAGTCGAAACAATTATCGGAAACAACAAACATAGTCGTTCATAAAATTTCGGTTATACATTCAAGTATAAAGTTCAAGGCCCTCTTTCGCGATTGAGGTCCTCGCAAGGCGGCTCCATCTTCTGCTCACAATCGAGCGAGAGCATTCCACAATAGACTGCTGTGGAGTCGTTTTGATGAGGTCAGTCCATCGCGTTGGTGATCTACCCCAAGAACGTTTACCTTGTACCAACCCTTGGACAATTAGACGTTCCATACAATTTTCATTTCGGATTTCCGATATGGCCGAAGTACTTGAGAATTCGTATTTAAACAGTTGACGATAATCTCTCTTTAATTTTTAGTTCGTTCAGAATGGAAACGTTAGTTCGGAAGGCAGTCCAAGGTATTTGCAGCAGTCGTCGCCAGCACTACATCTTTAGAGCATACATTTTTTGGCATTCTTGGTGCCTGATCCTCCAAATTTCTGCGCCATACAGGAAAATTGGAAAAACCAAACTCCTCATTATTTGTATTTTGGTGTTCTTTGTGATGTTATATATAGACATTGTTTAATCTTATCTTACTGATATAATAAAATTGTAAATAGACGATGTCTGTACACAGGAAATAGTTAAGAAAATTGATATGAGGGGTCTTATTAGGCCCAAAACATAAAGCAATAATATTTAGAATTTTTTATCTATCTGTAGGTATATTTGTTCCAACAACACGCAAATACTACTGCAGAAAATTGAAAGCAGTTTTTATTTTACAAGATGGGTTCATGATTAATTTTACGTTACTTGATGGTAAGTGAGTAGTAGAGCATATCATATGCTCTAGGATGGGGCGCGTTTACTCTGAAGGTCTAGTTGGAACGACAATGACGACAGATCCTCTTGATTCTCCTAGGGGGATTAGATGGGGACTTTGGGGCACACACCTTTGCCCCAACTTCAATTCCGGGGGCAATTACACGGTGTGATTTTAAATTTAATATATGTAGTGCCACATCACACGAGATGTCACCACTAGCTAGCCATGTCATACCAGTCTCACTTCCAGGCACAGCCATCACACGCCAAGCTATGCCAGGATAGGCGCTAAAGTCAAGCCATATATACGAGCAAAACGTCAATTATGTAAGCAATCTATATTGAGACGAGCCTCTGGCTAATAAAAAAAAATCTATCATAAAACCGATTGTTTTTCATGTATGTTTTATCTTGATACGCCATCTAAAACTGGGTTTTTTAATGGACGATAATGGAATGGTAATCCCGCCTGCGTTAACGGTATATGCTGGGGAGGCACCAGTAAGGAATGATAGGTGGATAATGAAAAAGCACATCAGTGAGCCCATCGTGATGAACCGCGTGGAGGTCGACCTGACAGGATATATTGGTAGCCCCCATTACTAACAATCCCTTCCCCCCTAAAAGTGGGTACCTACTTCCAAAGTCCATGCGTAATAATTTGCAAGTGAAAGTTATTAACAAATAGATTTACTACGAATGCAGTGTTGGCAACAAGTGTGCTGATCTAATCTTTAATGATAGTAACAATTAGTATTAACGCTGGCGAAGATATCTGTAACCACGGAGTAGATGCGTGCGTACGCAGATATGCTACGTGCATCATATACCAGAAGGTGACCTTGTAGGAAAGTCATAGGCAATATTGTTTGTGCAACAGTGTAGATCGTTGTATTAATAATATCTATGTCTGGTATTTTAATCTATGTCTGGTAGGTAGTTTTTTTTTAATACAACTCAGAATGGCAGACAAGCTGACAGCCCACCGGATGGAAAGTGTAACCGTCGCATATAGACATGAGTAGCCCATGATACTCCCCATGCGTTGCCATTTCTGAGGACTCAGATGTTATTCCTCTGTACCCAGTAAATTCACGCCATATCCCACCCTTCAAACCGAAACACAGCCATGCAAATACAACTGGTTTACGGTTAAAATACGAATGGGACAGAGGTGCCCAATCAAACGACTTTTGTACAGTCTCCCTCTGATAAACTTTATAAAAACATATAAATATATAGGGGAAAGGAATTGTTAGAAATGGGGTTTAACAGCTTCATTGTTAGCAATTTACCCCAATTTTTTAATAGATGAAAATGGGAATGGTAACCCCAATTGCGCTATAGGTAAACGCTAGCTGGCCACCAGCAGGTGAGGATGAAAGCAGGTCAGTTAGCCCATCATGACGGATACATCTGGATTTAACCACGATGATTTTCAGGGAGAACCGCGTGAAGATAGATCTAATAGGGTATATTGTGGTAATGGAATGGAATGGTTAGTAATGGAAACTATTATTGGTGACGGTTTGTTGATCTTACAGTAACTGTACCCCACCAGCATATACCTTTTTTTTTATACAACTTAGAATGGCAAACAAGCTGACGGCCCACCTGATGGAAAGTGGTAACTGTCCCCTACAGACATGAGCAGTACCATGGACATAACAGAGTATACTGTTTCGTACATGATACCCTTATGCGTTGCCATTCCTGAGGACTCAGGTGTTATTCCTCTGTACCCAGAAAATTCACGCCATATCCCACCCTTCAAACCGAAACACAGCCATGCAAAACACAACTGCTTCACGGTTGAAACACGAATGGGACAGAGGTACCCAAGCAATCGACTTTTGTACAAAGTCTCCCTCTGGTGAAACCTATAACCAGGCGATGTTATCATCCTATTTTCACCCATTAAAATAACAATACATGTAAGAACAAACAAAACATAGTCTAGGCGGTTTAATAAAGAGAAGTAAAAACTTATAAAATTTATTTGTCCCGACTGACACATACTAAAACTACTGCTTCTAAAAAATTTAAATATGTAAGTAAGTTTATCTTATAACATATGTATCTGCTAAGAAACGATTTTTGACAATTTCAACTTAAAGGGGAAATACGACATCACACGTGCAAAGCCATAAATAGTAAAAAAGAATAATAAAACCCAAGAAGTGGCGTATCTAGTGAAGTTTTATAATAAATTGTAAAACATGGAATATAATAAATATGAAATATTTATTTACTTAGAACTTCCAATGTTAGTCACAATGATGTTTTGGTTCGACATTGCACTAATTATTATAGGTAAACACCAAATGCATAAAAATAATAATATGTATACAAAAAAAACATAACTAAAATTTAATAACACTTAAAGATATAATAACACGGAAAGATAAACTACTAATTGCTAGGTACGCCACTTAGTTTGATAAATTTGGATTACAAGTACCTACGAAAACCAACCAGAACAACAAAATGAACATCCGGTGATCCACAGAATTCGTTAAATAATTTATTGTCACTGGAGAATTCGACCCCAAGACTGTAGAACGGAATGGAGGACCTTCACATTATATAAATCCTTGGTATAGTTCGAGGAGCCCATATACCTAAAGGCACTTAAAAGTTGAGTACAATTTACTTTATTGCTTAAAAGTTTGTATAAGAAGACGAGATCTAACTTTTAACGTTTCTCCAAGAAAGCCATCTTGCAAAGATGCAACCTATGGTCAGTGAATACCCTTCCTATTTTTACTCGTTTACAATAAACTCCTGGTAGATTCGACTGATGAACCTATTACACGACAAAACAAAATTTTACACAAAACAACAAAATTTCTTACCGTTTATCAATATTTTGCCACGATTGAATCGTTTTTATTGAGTAAAATGTGTTTGTAAACTTTATCGTTTGCATTTAGTATAATTTATAAATGTACCTTATATTTACTGTAAGCCATATATTGACGACTTTAAAGTTATTTTTCAGGTGAATGGAAAAGGAAGAGGGATTAGGAAGAGCCTGCCCCCTTTAAAAAAGGGCATACAGATTTTCAGCTATGTGTTTGCGCATAACTGAACTAGAGTCACCTGATAGTTTTAATTGACGGTAGTTTTAGAAACTATTAACGCATAGTCATAAATAACTTGCAACGCTGTACCTAATCCAGTTTCCCGTGGCCACTGCTAAAGTAACCTGAAATCAAGTGATGTAAATAATTATAGTAAAGTGATAATAGCTGACTACTTAATGTGCGTAATGTTGTTTATATGAATACAATATGTTTTATAAATATTAGACGATACGTTTGGAAATAAGTAAAAAAAAAGTTACCAGATTTAAGCTTGTAACCAACTCTTTGCACACTTTTCACTTATAATAGACAAAGCTAAATAGCTGAATACGTCATATTTTTAAATATCCTACTACTCGCCATTTGTTAGATAAAATTAATCTGTGATAAGAACTACATGGGGCATATAAATATACAGTAATGCTAAAACATAAGTTAGTGTATTATAGTGTACAGCGATTTTAATTTTAATCGATTTGTTTTGATCACAAAATGAGCAGTGAAGATTGGAAGACCAATAAACACTTTCATCTGGGCCATTTGTTTATGTATTGCATGAAGAGGCAACCAGATGCTGTGTGCCAGGTATTATGTTGGGCATTTGGTAATATATTTAGAGTATTCCAATTCTTATTTCTTATTTAACAGATTTTTGAGTAAATCTGTAGTGATAAAACTAAAAGTTTCCGAGAGAAACTACGTGAAGGTTAATCTGATAGGATTTATACCTCTCATATGTTACCTTTCTTGAGTGTGAACCTTTAATTGTTGTTTAAATAAATAATAATTACAAAGATTTCTTAAAAAAACGCTTAGTAGGAATAAGCCGACAGGCAGCACACCTGCAATGCCGATGGTGTAGTGGGTGATCATGGGCGGCGGTAGTCACTTACCATCAGGTGAGCCGCATGCTCGTTTGCCCTCTGTGTTGTAAAAAAAAAAGAGCAGATTAATTTTCATTCATGTCTATCAGTGGAGATAGGTAAAATAATCCCAATCTACCCGTCAGGAGGGAAACATTGGTAGCGACAGGTGGAACTAGCCACTACTATTAATGTTATCCCACTTTTCAAACCGAAACACAGCTATACACCGCAACTGCTTCACAGCGTAAATACGTGTGGGACAGAGACAAGAAAGATTGATAATAAATCGAGTCTGAAACATTTCGCCCACAAACCATCCAGTGAAACCATTAATTAACAAGGAATATTAAAATTATTTAACTAATAGATACTTAACCAATATTGAAAACTTTATCATATGGAGAAAGTTACATTACTATTGAATAAGATAGTATTTTATTTACAATTTTTTTTATACGACTTAGAATGATAAACAAGCTAACGGCCCACCTGATGGAAAGTGGTAACTGTCGCCTATAGATATGAGCAGTATCATGGACATAACAAAGTTTACTGTTTCGCCCATGATATTGCTGAGATGATACTCATGTGTTGTCATTCCTGAGGACTCAGGTGTTATTCCTCTGTACCATGTAAATTCATTGCCGTATGACACCCTTCAAACCGAAACACAGTCATGCACACATAACTGCCTCACGGTAGAAACACGAATAGGACAGAGATGGCCAAGCAAACGAATTTTGTACAAAGTCTCCCTCTGGTGTAGAGTAACAAAAACCCATCCATTCATCCATCGTTACAAATTTCGTATTTATATTAAAAGAATTATTATACTATAAACACGTGCAAAGCCGTGATCCATTACTAGTTTGATATAACAGTCTTCAGTTTCCTCAATACGAGTATACCTAATCTTCAAGCTGTTACTTTACGTGGATTTTACTTATGTAAACTAATACTCTAATAATATTATTTAATGTTACATCGTCATAATCACGATCATTCCAGCTATCATCTGTTCACTACTGAACATAGGCCTCCCCCATAAGCATCTCTCACCTCCATATGTTACATATTTCTTACAGTCGAACTTTCATCTAGACTAGAAGTGAGTCTACTAGGAGAATAGGACTTCTCTGATAGGACTCTATTTGTTGGACACATTACAAAGGGATTTACTATACTTTGGACATCATCATCATCATATCAACCTTTAACTGTTACCTGTTGAACATAAGCCTCTCTCTTGAGGGGTTTTGGCCAGTAGTTGCCATATTTGGCAACCGCAGTTAGGCTTTGGAGATGTTTTAAGAGGGACACTTCTGCCCATCCCTCGCCCTCCCTCAGTTGCCTCTTACGACATCTTCCTTTCCCGTGGAGAAAGGAAGGGGTGACCTATTCTACGCCAGGACCACACGATACTTAGAACGTAATAGGGTCGATTCTGAGGTGTCTATTTTATAAACCGATTTCTTAATTTAAAACTTCAACTTGATATCACAGCATAATCTTCATTGTAAGGACCAATAACAATTAATTTGCTAATAGATTTAAGTCGTAATCATTATAATTTTAATTTACGATGGTCCATAAGACAGTAATTTCGTGAAATTATCAAATTAATAATATTAGGTAAGAGATAAATTTAAAGAAATTACATTATAGAATCGGCTCCAATATCAGTAATATAGATAATAAATACGTTAGGCTTCTTTTTCGTTCATCTACTTTAAATAAAATAGATAAATTTATAATAAATATAATAATTGTAGGGATTATATTTATCTGATTAACTCATAATTCACGGTAATTTAATCTCTCAAGGCTTTTAGAGATTTTAGCGCTCGGTTTTATCGTGAGGTAAATATGGTAACCTTTGTCTTCGAATTGACTATTGCCCGTGGTGTTATATAGAGTATATTCGAGTATTCTTGTACTCGTTAAAATATTTCGAATCCCGACTCGATTTTAAGTATTGACAAGTACTCGAGTACTTGAATGGGTATTCCAGTATTTCATCAGATTAGAATATTACTTCAATTTCTAAAGCATTTCTGAAGCCCACTTTCATTGAAGATATATGTAAATATTCAGTTAATTAAAAATGTGTCGTCGGTAATTAAGGCTAAAATTAATAATACTGTGAAACAGAAACAAAAACCTATAATTAAACATGCGACTATTCTTCGAGTACTGGAAGTACTCGAATCCTGTATTTGAATATCGTGTATCATAATTTCATACGAGTATATACGAGTATACTGAGTAGGTACTCGAGCACCTGAGTACCCAATAGACATTCGAATCACTACTCGAGTTAGCCTGATTCGATACAATAGTATCTGTGACTATAGACGTTGGTACCCATTTAATAAAATAAACCATTCAAAAAATAAACATAAAATGTGATATACCTTGGCCGAGTATATTTGAATCCAACATCACAAGCGGCGCGCTTAGCAGGTTAATTTGGTTTGTTGTGATTTTATTGTTTACCAGAGAATTCAAACAGTTAATGGTAAATTATACCTTAAAACATATTATCTTAATATAAGTCTGATGTAAGTATGCTTTCAACAATCAAAACATACATAAAATATAGAATATTTATTATATATATTATAATATACATACAATATAGAATCAATTTGATCATTTTAAATTTTTCAATGTCAGCACATGCCGATGTTATCACTCTTCTATCATTCAGCAAGTTTCGGTTTGATAATTTTGTGCTTTCTCTTTGAAAAAAAATTATTTCTTCCTTCAACATTTAGACGATTCTATATCTTTTTCCACAGATAGATGCAGCAACCGGCGAGAGCGAGACGAACGCGTCTGTTTTGTCTCGTTCTATAGCTGTAGCAAGATGCTTCAGAAGACTGGGATACAAAGTGGGGGACGTGATGTCACTGAGCGGACCTAACAATAATAACCTCCATATTCCGTATTATGCTGCATTGATGAACGGCATGCCTTTTGCTGGAGTGGACCCTACTTATAAATACGGTAAGTACACAGGAAAACGTGTATTTATTTTTATGTTATTTAAAATTTTAGAATAACAATTTACAGGGCACATAAGAATAACACCTGAGTCCTCAGGGCAATGTATGGGCGAAACAGTATAGTCTGTTATGTCTATGATACTGCTCATGTCTATAGGCGACGGTTACCACTTTCCATCAGGTGAACCATCAGCTTGTTTGATATTCTAAGTTGCAAAAAAAAATCAAAAATTAAGAATAAAGTTATATTTCGATTGTGTATTTAAAATATGATTGTGTAAACAACGTAAAAGTTTAAAATTAACTAACAAAAAAGTTGACGGCCCTCGTAAAAGAACGGTAACTGCTGTAACAGTACAGTATCATCAAAGTTAAATTGATACGTTGATATTAAAAACGCGTGTATGATACTCTTTCACACTAATATCCAAAATCGCCTAACCGATTGTAATGAAATTTTGTAAATGTGTATTAATAAAATGTGTAGCGCACTAGGCCGTCGCGATGCATTCTTTGAGAACCCTTACCCTTAATTTAAGCATAGCTTATACGATAAATACAACAATTAGAATACCTTTTTCAGATGAACTAGAACAAGCGTTGACAGTGACCAGGCCGCGGATATCATTCTGCATGAAGGCTGCATACGACGACCATATTCGAGCGATTCAAAAACTGAACCTCGATACGAGAGTAGTCACATTAGACGACGGAGAACATTCTATGGCAAATTTCGTTGAAAAATACGACTCTAAAGAAGATAAAGACGAAGACTTTAAGTAAGTATCTATTTTCACGAACAAATCAAATATTATCGAACTGTTGTTACAGAATTTATATTGTATTGTTATTGCTGAAAGTAATCTTTTCAAGACAACCTGTTTTAAAAAAATTACTTTCAGCAATAAGATCGTCTTACTGTACTCATACAATGTTATATTTATTAGTCTTGCTTATATTGTATAATGCAAATAAAGTATATTCATTCATTCCAGTTAGCAAGTTATAAATACCTAGGTATATTATTGTAGTTACATAAATTTTCCGTGTTTTATACATTATTTTCTGCGCAAAAAAGACACATTAAAATACAAATAATAACATACGTGTGAATTAGAAAAAAGTAACCATACATGGGTTTGAAAAAATCGCACGATGAAAATTCGCAGTGTATATTAGTCCTAATAGGTTAATCAAAGTCCAGAATACCCATTGTAGTTACTATTAGATTATGTTAAATAAAGTATTACAATACAATCTTAATGCAATCGTGATTGTAATATCTATGGATACTTTAAAATAACTATATATTAAAAAACATTCCACGATGACTTATCGATAAGCGGAGTTAAAAAGATAAAAAGTTTATTGATACTTATGAATGAATGAATACCTACATTTATCTAGGTATTCACAGATAGATATAGTTGTATATTATCAGTCACTTCCAATGGTTGCGGATTCGATTCCTGCGCAATACAATTTTATTTTTTTTTTATTATTATTATTTAAGGGCTTTTAGCCTTTACCTTCTTCAGGTATATCAGTCCTATCGTACCCTGAACTGATCTCTCAAACAAAACTTTATCTACTTTCCCTAGACGCGGAAAGAAAAGAATTAATATGCATCAATAATTTACAGAGATGTTCAAAAATTTCTGATTTAAGTTCAGCTAACAAAGATTGAATAAGAGCAACATTAAATTTATTTAAGTTACAGTGGCGCATGTATTCTTCTCTTTCCTTCGTGTTAATACGACACTCTAATAGAATATGATGCACATCATTGATGGTATTACAAGTTTGACAATGGGGTGACAAGGACTTTCCCATCATATGTGCAAATTTTTTTGATGGATAATGACCAGATTATTTGTATTCGATTATTGTGTCTTTTTGCAGCAGCATCCCTCTTAAAACATCTCTAAAGCCTAACTGCGGTTGCCAGTCCGCCTGCCAAGCGTGACAACTACTGGCAAAACACCCCAAGGGAGATGCCTATGCTCAGCATTAGATAGTAAAAAGCTGATATGTTGTTGTTTACGTTGTTGTTGTTGTTATTGTTTACTTACATGTATCGATAAAAATTTCAGACCAGCAATATTTGACACCGAGAAGGTATATGCGTGGCTGGTGAGCACAAGCGGCACTACGGGCACATTTAAAGTGGCAGCGATTGCCCATAAACCAATAATTGATTTCGTACGATTGGCTTTTTCCACTTTATTTTTGAGTAGGTAAGAAGTGACTTCCTCGTTTCTCAAGTTTATGATGTTAAGATAACGTCACAGATATTGCTTTAATGTTATTTTTTTTTATATATTTTACCTGATATGTGTCTAGATATAAAATTATCAACCATATTTTTCTACATTGACGTTAAGATTATTCGAAGAAGAGGGGGATTTTTAATGCATGATGATAGTAACCTTGCCTTTCCTAACGGTATACCAGAGAACGATGATAAAAAGGTTAGTTGGTCCATAGCAGCGAATTCATGGAGAATTAACCAAGCTGACCAACCAAGATGATTTGCAGGGGGAACTGCGTGGATGTCACCCTGATATTGTTATTTGTGGGGCTTTTTGAACCCTGACAATCCCCTTTTTTTAAGGGCGGAGAGGAGCGAACCCTGCTCTGCTAGGCACTAGACAATTCTAAGGAGAACGTGGCCCGTACGCTCTCTACCACTCCTTATTTTTTTTTAATAGGTGATAATGAAATTGTAACCCCGCATGCGTTATCGGTATACGCTAACAGTGAGGGATGATAGGTGAAGATGAATGACCGTTAGTCCATCGTGACGAATTCAACAAGAATTTATCACGATGGTTTCCAAGAGGAACCACGAGGGCGACCTGATAGAAATGGGAAATTAGACCCCATTTCTAACAATCCTTCCTCCCTTCGTCCTTTATTTTCTTTTTTTTTGATGGGTGAAAATGGTATGGCGCTAACGGGATACGCTGGCGGAGCACCAGTGAAGGGTGATCGATGAGAATGAAAACCGGCCAGTTAGCCCATCATGATGAATTCATCAGGAATTAACCATGATAGTTTCCAGGGAGAACGGCGAGGAGGTCGACCTGGTTGGGTATATTGCTGGCAATGGGATTCTCAGTCTCCATTACTAACAATCCCTTTCCCCCAACTCCGTCCTTTATTAGGTCTATACACGTCTATTATCTGTTTGTAGTGAAGTTTAAAGAATCATTTATCGTTTTTCAACAACACAAGATATAATTAAGATTGTATTCCACAAAAAAAATCTACTTCAATTATGGTAAAACCAGTGATTTTGATTTATAAACTAAATTATTAAACCGATTTTGATAAAATTTCTATGGAATCAATCTATAATTATATTATTTTAGAAAAAATAAGATATTTCCAAATCAGTTTATAACTTTTTTTATACAACTTAGAATGGCAAACAAGCTGATGGCCCACCTGATGGAAAGTGGTAACCGTCGCCTATAGACATGAGCAGTACCATGGACATAACAGAGTATACTGTTTCGCCCATGATACCCCCATGCGTTGCCATTCCTGAGGACTCAGGTGTTATTTCTCCGTACCTAGTAAATTCACGCCATATCCCACCCTTCAAACCGAAACACTGTCATGCAAACACAACTGCTTTACGGTTGAAACACGAATACAAACTAAAGTTTCATCCCAATCATCTGGACGAGTGGCGGTCTTCCACCGTGCGTTTTTCAAGGCACTTTCTTCCACGCACAACCATTCTTTGGAATCAACTTCCAACAGCAGTATTTCCGAACCGATACGACAACATAACCTTCAAGAAAAGAGTATATTCCTTTAAAAAAAAAAAAAAACGAATGGGACAGAGGTAACTGATGGTGTTATGATATTACAAACATAAAAAAAAATACAACTGAATTAAGAACAAAACAAAGAGGAAAGAAAGAGGAAGCTCCTTTTTATACATAATAACACTCCATTAAGAGGGGTTTTTTTTTTATGCAACTTAAAATGATAATGGCTAAGCTGACGGCCCACCTGATGGAAAGTGGTAACCGTCGCCTATAGACAAAGACAAATCAATAATGATTTAATGATTTCAGCAAGAAAGGTGGTAAAACATTAAATATATCACCAATTCAGTGGGTCACTTGTGCAGCCAACGCAATATATATACCAGCGGGCGGAGGCATTAAGCTGCAGACTTCAGATCTGTCTATAGAAAAAATTATCGACGTTATCAATGAACACAAGGTCTGATGGTTTCTTACTAAGTAACATCATAAACTATCTGCTTACCCCGGCTTCGCACGGGTCCAGTCACAAAGGAAACGTGACCAAACCCACTCACTTTTACATACGGACATTTTTAATCTTTTCTTACAAACGTTTTCTTGACAATAGATAAAAAACAAACACAACAAAACAATGAATTATTTAATTTTCTTTTCAATTAATTAATAAGGTAGTTATGAAATAGGTGCACCGGATCTGTATTGAAGCACTTACCATACACACATTCGGCATTTGATTTTTATTTATATAGACATGAGAGTGAGTTTTGATATTTATTTGCTAATATTTGGCATCTTAACGGCTTAACCTTTTGTCATGAAAAGTTACTGACTCTATGCGATAATGAAGGACATAGTTTTCTTTTTATTCCGGTCAGCGAATATGTATTTGTTACATGCACAAAGTTGTCGGAACAGCTAGTTTATGTCTCAGTAAGAACTCAAGTTATAGTTAGTTATCTTTTTTTCTTAATGGAATAAAAATTCAATAGTAGCCCTTTCTTTGCTATTGGAATGTACTGACGAGACACCAGTGGAGTATGATAGATAATGATGAAAGCAGGTCTACCAGCCCAACGTGATCAATTTATCAGTTATCATGACCAAATACCAGAAACCATGATAGTTTTCAAGACTGACCACGTGGAGGTCGACTTAATAGGGTATATTTCTAGCAATTAGGTCATCTATTCCTATTACTAATAATACCTCTCCCCAAGATTACCAGCTAGATGATCCTGCAAACATTGTTTTGCTCTCAGCGTTATCTGTTGGTTTATGGTCGAAATAAAACTTCTCTCTATAAAATATCTCTCAATTTGGAGAAAATAATAATAGTCACGCCATGTTCATGTCTAAATTAAAAAGTTGTTGTACATTATTTATTTATTTATGCCGTTATGTATTATTTATTTATGATTTAAATAATTTAATCATCATTTTCATTATTTGTTCATTTTATTAATATGCTTTATTCATTTCAAACATGTACTAATTTAATTTAATTTATTATTATTTCTCAAATACAAAGCGAGCTGTGGTTGCCTCTAAAAGTAAAAACAGCTAGACCACCAGTTCCACTGATGTAATTTATTAAAAAAAAAAATATTTTCTCTTATATGGGTGTTTCTATAAACAAATAAACAATACATATTTACAAAATGTCATTAAAATTAATTGAACGGTTTTGGAAATTAGTGAAAAAGAACACGGAAATTTTACATTTAAAATTTTATTTATAATTACAGCCCCAATCGGTTATAACAGGATCCTCAATATTAACGTACATACTGAAACACGAAAAGAAATGTGATTTGACGTGTTTCGACAATATTATATTAACTGGTGCGAAAGTATATAACGATTTACTGATTGAATTAAAGGTAAGCGATGCTCAAATACGTTCATGGGAGTTAGTGGATGTAGATGGCTTAACCGTACCTCATGGAAGTCTGTGAGATTTATGTTGATTTAATGGTTGAAATGATGATGATGATGTTGTTATGGAGTTTTTTTTTTAATGGGTGAAAATGGAATAGTAACTCCGCTCGCGCTAACGGTATACACTGGCGAGGCATCAGTGAAGATTGACAGGTTAGAATGAAAAGACAGGTCAGTTAGCCCATCGTGATGAATACACCTGGGATTTAGGACGATGGTTTCCAGGGGGGACCATGTGGAGGTCGATCTGACAGGGTATATTGCTAGCAATGGGATTTGTAGTCCGCATTACTAACAATCCCTTCCCCCCTTGTTATGGAGGTGGAAATGGTATGGTACTCCATTATGCTATTAACATATGCGAGCGGGGTGCTATGTGAGAATAAAGTCAGGTTAGTTTAAAGAAGTCAGGTATTAAAGAAAAAATAATATGACGGGTTTTTATTTGAGTAAGATTTATAGATATCAAAACTGGTGTATGTTTTATGTTGATACATTATCCATCGGTTACCTAATTCTAAAATCTACAAGTATAACGCATACTACAAGAAAAAAGAAACAAAATAAACAAAAGTTACTAAAGTTTTTATTTTATTTTGGCTAATGACTAGCGTTGCCATTATGTCACTAAAGAATAAATTAATATATTCCTCATTTTACCCATGTGTGTAATCGTGGATTATAACTAAAGATCATCTGCAATATGTTCAAAATATTCATTTATTATGGTTTGTAGCAATTACTATTTTATCTCTTGATTATTTAAGTCTCGAATGCGGAAAGATGCACTGATTCTAGAAGCTTACGGACAAACAGAAAGTTTAGGAGCGATCCTGAAACCAAATGTGAATGGACCATTGGGAAGTTGCGGGAAACCTACATCAATGTTTCAAATTAAGGTGAATAATAATTTAATAAATCATCAGTCTGAGTGTATTCACAGAAAACTGTTTTTGTTTGTAAACGTTTTCACTTTTTCCTATTGATCTACCATAGAACAAGGGAAACGACTGCTATCACATGACTTAGACTATATAGATAGAGTCTTCATACAAATGTTTCGCCAAAATCAGATTATATTTTTTATCTATTTACGCTTTTAGCTGTACCGGTTACCATAGTGTACATTTATTACTCGGTATATGGAAGAAATTATATTGCAATGAAAAATCAAAACAATATAAAATTCTTACGAATATATTTAAAAGAACAGAACTAATAGTGCAAATGATACTTGTCTTTATTGAATACTTTGATTTATATATGAATACTTATATAGACATAAAATATATTTTTGTTTTTTATTCATTGAAAATGGTCGCCATTTTTATTAACATGTATATTAATATGTAAAGAACTATATACATATGTATATTTATATTACAATAGAAAAAATAATTCCCAATTCAAATTTATAAAATCAACGTACGGTTGATTGGGTAATTTTTAACTAATTACAGGCAAAATTAAAAAAGGAGTGCGTTTTGTTTTAATTAAAAAAAAAATAGTCAGCCAAACATCGGAATTCGCTGATTAAATTTTGACATGTTTTTAACACTCGATGCTCTATCTATATATATAAACTAAGACCATTGATTAAGGTTAGACACTATCCTTCCTCCTTTCTTGCTAATACTGAATAACTGTAGAACCTCTGTCATGTTAGTGCCATAAAATCAGTTAAGAGTAAGTTAGATTCACACACCGAGAGTTCTGTACATTATAACAATCTAACAATAGGTATTTATTAAAAAAAAAATACAAAAGAACACTTTTTAAAAACTTTATCAAATATTTTTGTTTATCCGTGGGAGAGAGTCTACTTAATAAAAGACAATAAAAAAATAAATACCATCAATAAAACAATAAATATTTCTTTATCTGTTGATAACAAATAATCACAAATTATTATCAGATGAGCAGAAACAAGGAAGTTAGTAACAACAATCAATTTACCTAATAAACAACGTATCATTTTCAACCGACTTTAAAAAGAAGGCTCTCAATTCGGCTGTATTTTCTTATGTTTGTTACCTCATAACTCCGTCAGTTGTAAACCAATTTGAAAGGATTGGTCCCATAGAAATATTATCAAAATCGATTCAGCAGTTAAGCTTTTAATTCAAAATAACTAGTTTTGCCACAACTAAAATTAGCTTTTTTTTGTGGAACACAATCTTATGAATGTGTATTAATTGATATACAACTAGAACTCGTTGCTAAGTATTCGTGTAAGTATTCTGGAAATGTTGAAATGGAATAAAGAAGACTGTAAAATATAGAAGATAAAAAAAAGATAAGACATACAGAATGTCTACCATCATGTAAGATAGAGGAACCATGAAGTCGCACTAGAAAATAAATTCTCGGCCATAGTTTCGGACATTTTTCAATCGTAATTGAAACTCCAAATTCGAGCCGAAACGATCAGAAACCGAAAATTTATTTTGTTTGTTTTAGATATTGTTGAAGAAATTTTAAATTATTTAGGTTTTTTTTATTAAATTTTTAGTTTTTCATCTGTTTATACTTCTTATGTTACAGCTGGTAGATCCTGAAACTGGAAAGGAAATAACCGAACCCAACATTACCGGCGAAATGTGGAGGAAAGGACCGGGCTTTACAGTATGTTTCAAATATTGTATTCATTGTATACGGTGAAGCCGTTATCTTTCCATTATTGACCATAAGCCTCCCCCATAGACTGTCATAAGGAGCGGGGTCGTTCTTTATGGCAGTTTACCATTGGGAGGATTTTGCCAGAAGTTACCACACTTGGTATATTGGTTGGCAACCGCAGTTTGACTTTTGGTATGTTTTAAGAGGGATTAATTTCCCATAGTCTGCTCTTACGACACCTACGGGAAAGGAAGGGATGGCCCATTCTATGTCGGGACCACACGGTGAAATCAATATAATCAATCCGGAGAGAAAAATGAATCTACAATAAAAAATATTAAGCCTAACTAACATAAGTCAAATTAGTATCGGATTATATTTTATATCTTTAGATTCATTTTACTTTGGAAAAAACATACTGTTTCACGATCTAACACCACCTTAAAATAATGTTAATTAATGATTTCAATTTCACCTTATATAAATATCTAACTAGCTGTATTCCCCGACTTTATCTACGTGGATCAGTATATAAAGTATCGTATATGCTAAGTTAGGTTTGTTTTTTTTTGTTGGAATTTAGTACATGAGTTGATTGTACCAACTCGTGTACTAAATTTCATTCAAATTAGTTTAATAGTTTTGAAATAAAAGAGTAACAAAAATCCATTCATTCATCCTTTATCTATCCTCACAAACTATCGCGGTTATAATATTAACAGGATTGCTAACTAGGTATTTAATTTCAATACTTCCTTGTCCTAAAAAAATAACTTCCTACTAAAATTTCTACTTAATTATATTACTAGGAGTATTACAACAACCCAGAAGAAACTGCTAACGCTTATACCGAAGACGGCTGGTTCAGGACCGGAGACCTTCTGTACAGGGACAAGGATGACAATTACTTCTATGTAGAGAGAATCAAGACGGTCATTAAATATAGAAGTTATCTTGTAAGCAAATTTTTATATGCAATTTTTTACTTGTTCATGTAGTCTATACACAATAGGAGCGTACATGAAAAAATAGTGTTAGATATAATATGATTGGTATATATTTAAAAAAAAACTTTTGTACTTACATACAAATTTATTTAAATTTGGCCCAATGTAAATTTTTTAATGCACTTGCAATAAAGGTATGGTTATAAATTTTGTTAGCAAGGCTATAGTATTATATTATCTGTAACAAGGGTGAACTTATCTTTGAAAGAGCTCTTTTCGATATAAAAAATACTTAGACGGAGTAGCCTGTGTTATTAATTTCTTTTTTTCTTCTAAGAGATTTTGCTCATACGCGTCTGTGGTTTAAAGCCCACAATATACTTTGTCAAGAAGATGAAGAAGAATATTACATTCTAATTTCAAAATTATATAATATCTGAAATTTGTCTACCAAATCTGTCCAGTTCTACAAACAGTAAACGGAACCTGAACACCTCAAGTTTTAACTTATTTACTAAAAAAAAGAGTCTTCAATTCTAGAAACCAACAGTGACAAATAACTAGCTTATGTCGTAATACACCTGTGAACCATGCTTATTCATATAGGTTTCTAATGAGTCCGAATTAATAGAACCACCCTAAAGATAGGTACGGGAATAAAGCTGATGTAAATAATTTAAATTCTCGAGTCAGATGTATTACCCACAGATAGTAAAGCAAGTTAATTTTTTGTATTGGCACAATGTTGAAAAAGACACCTACCAATCAAAATGAATGAATACTGTAAAATAAATAACTATGTGCCCCTAATATCAAAGAATTTGGTTAGGTTTTAAGGTCTACGCTGATAACTGATGATTGAATGGTTTGTATCAGGTTTATCCAATAGAACTGGAGGAGTTGATACGTACCCTCCCTGGTGTCTTCGAAGTAGGCGTAACGAGCGTGCCGCATGAGCTCGACGGTGAACATGCTGTTGCCATAGTCGTCCGGAATCCAGGGTCTTCTGTCACTGCGCAGGAGATAAAGGATTTGGTCGCCAGTAAGTATATAACTGTTCTTACGGAAGAAAAGTTCTTCAGTTGCCACTGGATAGAGCGACGACTCCAAATGCATTGCAAGGATTCAGTGGATGCAGGTGTCTCGGGACCGTTCTTTATGGCGGTCGATGAGGGAGGCCTATGTTTCAGCAGTGATAAAATAATGGCTGATATGATGATGAAGTGTATAACCTTTTGGATTATTATAATTATATTAATACTGTTGTTCGTGGATCGTGATTTTATCGACAAGAGTTTTTAGATCACCTCCGATATGCACGAAGGCCTCTGACGTAACTTACCGGACAATGACTTTTGTGCCCTATAAAGGACAAATAAAATCGTAATCTTAAATGAAAATTTAAAGGTTTACGCTGGGATATTTTCTTGGGATTCCGGATAACGGTCTGGCAGTGTCCGACTAAGCTAATCATATCATCGTTTGTTATCATATTTCGAATGTAGAAATGAATTAGAATAAAAAAGTGTGACAATGAGTGACCACTGTTTTTCAATAGAGATCAAGTGGGATTTAAATTAAATTATTGTCTCAAATATTTATTTAATATTTATTTCCAGATAAATTATCCGAAAACAAATTATTAAGAGGCGGCGTAGTATTTGTGGATCGGCTGCCATTAACTGCAACCGGGAAAATAGCGCGTATGAAACTTCGCGAAATAGCGTTAAATGCGAATAGGGAATAAGAATTGTAAACATTTTAATTAAATTACGTACATAAATGAATTGCATTATTTTTTTGTACTGTCTTTAACAATTTATTTTCCGTTATCAATTATTTTATTAGTAAACTCAGTATCTAAAATAATGGATACCTACAACTACAGAATAGTACCTAGATTAAAGATTTAGAAAAATATAAAATACCAGAATACAACAAGTACGGTAACTACATTGGCGACTTCGCCTTTTATCATGTAATCTTTGATGATCATCATCAAAGATATAAAAATATCTTGTTAGTACTACAAAATTAATTCCTAATTTCTAATTCTCCTTAAATATCCGTTCCTTTTTTCCCAAGGGTGTCGTAAGAGGCAACTAGGGGAACTTAATGATCGAGAGATAGACAGCAGCGTCACTCTTAGAACACCACTGAAACTGCGTAGAGATGTTGCATTTCTGTGCATCTTCTACCGAATTTATCATGGGGAATGCTCTGAAGAATTGTTCGGATTGATACCTGCTGCAGATTTTCACCATCGTACAACCCGCCATAAACTAAAATTTCATCCCAACCATCTGGACGAGTGGCGGTCCTCCACCGTGCGTTTTTCAAGGCACTTTCTTCCACGCACAACCACTCTTTGGAATCAACTTCCAGCAGCAGTATTTCCGAACCGATACGACAACATAACCTTCAAGAAAAGAGCATATTCCTTTTTAAAAGGCCGGCAGTACACTTGCAATGCCGTAGGTGTTGTGGGTGACCATGGGCGGCGGTAGTCACTTACCATCAGGTGAGCCGCATGCTCGTTTGCCCCCTGTGTTGTAAAAAAAAATCACCAAAACCTAACTGCGATTGTCAATCCGTCTGCCAAGCGTGGCGACTAATGCCAAACCCTCCTCGAGGCCTATGTTCAGCAGTGGATAGTTAACAACAGGTATAATAATAATAAAGTAATAATTTTCCATCCCATTATATAATAAGGAACTTCAAAATTAAGTTTTTATTCTAAATTTTGCGATTTGTTTCACTTATCTTCATTAGGATTAGACAAAGATTTTATTACAAATGATCTTTTTGTTGGTTTCTTTTAATACTCTTCAATCATCAAAAGAGATTCCCCTTTGGTTTCTGGCATTATAACAGCTGCTACAATCATTCCGTAAGCTGCTACACTTCCATAAATTCAATAAGCACCAAATAAATCTAAGCATGAGAACAAATGTGGTACTGTCTTCATTTTTACACTTATATTAAGAGATAAGAATAATGTTGAGATCATACTATCTACATCTTTATATTTTTAAGGCAAAATCTCTCCAGCTAAAATATTTACTAATGATTGTGCTCCAAGAGAGATGATGAGTACATGAAAATTTATAAGAACAAATCCTATTTCGAGGTTTTTAAACAGTCATTATAACGGCAGTTATGTTAACGTCATTCCCCATAAGTCTACGGTATATTGTGTCAGAGTATATATCCAACATCTGTCATGTTTAAAAACTAGACACTTGGAGCTATAAATTGCTTTTTTTCTTTTTGCTGTACCATCATTTTCCTCGGAGTTACAGATCGTTGAACATCAAACAAAAATTTAGATTTTTTTGTGTATCCCTTAAATTTTGTGTCTAGTATATTTACAATATCCAAATGCAACATTATAATTAACGGTTTATAAAATTCAGGGTTTTTTGTATAATACTCAGTATTGAGTTTTATTTCTCTAATTTTTTTATAAGGCTTTTGCTCTTTGGTTGAATAGCTAATCCTTTATTTATTTAACATGTCAGCCTTTATCATAGATTCTAATTCTTCATCTTCATTTAAAATTCGCAACCAATGAAAAACTTCCCTGCAATCATCATATCTGCCTCTTGTGACCAGAAACATGGATGATTCAGGTAATATAACAATTAAAATCAAATTAGGTTTTAGTTGGTGCAACTGTCAAGAAACAGCAGTACAATTTTTTTTTACAAATATTTGTACTGTTTCCTGTTTTCTAAAGATCTTTACGAAATATGAGGTTCAATTCTTATTTCTTGTCTAAAGAATCCAAAATTAATACAGTTCTACTTGATATTCAGTTGGTAACATAAATTAATATTCGAATGAATACCTACATTATAGCATAAAAATATTAATGTATTTAAATAACAATATAATAGAAAATGAAAAACCAATTGATACAATACCATTTATCAAAATGTAACTAAATGTTCCATTTTAACAAAAGGAGCTTCATATTTTACATCAACGATCAACAATCATTTTATTGAACTTTATGCTTTATACTTTTAAATCGATTTACAACTAACGGAGTTATGAGGTAACAAAGATAAAAAATACAGACGATTTGAGAACTTCGTTCTTTTTTAATCAGTTGAAAATTATTTATATTTTTTTTTTAAAGATGGAAAGGAATTTAGAAAATTATTTTAGCCATGAAGGACAGGCAAGAAAATAAATACTTTTGCAGACTAGATTTCTACTTATTATAAATATTTAATTAATTTATTATAGTTATTTATCTAAAGACGTGTTTTGCTGATTCCAAAATTGTTCAATAACAAACAGAGATTTTCCTTTTGTTTCTGGCATTATAACAGTTGCAACTATCATTCCATAAGCCAATATTAAACCGTAAAAGCAATATGCACCAGATAGGCCGATATACGAAAACAGATACGGTAACGTCTTCATTTTTATAGTAACATTAACTGATAAAAATAATATAGATATCATACTTTCTATTGCTTTATACCGTAATGGTAAAATTTCACCAGCTAAAATATTTGCCAGTGGCACTGCTCCAACGGCTGAAATGATTGCATGAAAGTTAACAAACAGAAATCCTATTAGAGGGTTTTTAAAGAATATCACCCCTTTGTCCATAAGGAAACAACTACCAGCAATAAGAAAATAAGTAATTACATTTAAACTAACTAATAGAATAAGCATGGAACGTCTTTTAAATTTGGTATGAATAAAAACTGCACACAGAGACGCCACTATTTTAACGCAGTCCACGGTGATAATAGTAGAAGCTACGTCAGTATCATTTCCCATAAGTTTTTGATATATCCTATTAGCATATACATCCATCATCATGCCTCCACTCCAAATATTCACAATATCCAAATGTAACATTACAAACAACGGCTTGAAAAACTGAGGATCTTTCATAGTTACAATCATATCACTGATTTTGTTTGCAAATTGTTTTGTTTTTGGAGGTTTTGCTGTTTCTTTGCGTGATATTTCAGCATTCATCATGGCTTCTAATTCTTCATTCTCTTTTAAACCTCGGAGCCAATGAAAAACTTTCTTGCACTCATTGTACTTACCTCTTGTGGCCAAAAACATAGGAGATTCAGGAGATATGTAGATTAAAATTAAATCAATAAATGTTATTCCCAGGCATATGGCAGCTGTTGAACGCCAAGAGAGAAAGGATCCTAATGTATGGCTTATTAAACTTCCAATTGAAATCGTTAAACTAACTTTTGTCAGGAAACCCCCTCGGTATTTCGGAGAGCAGTATTCGCCAATAAGTATTGATGCAGATAAACTTGAAATACCAAGTGCTATACCTTGAGTAAATCTTCCAAATAAGATTGTATTAATGTCGGGGGCTAATATGATGGACAGCCAGCCTACTACCATAATGATGGTACATAAGAGATTAACCTTTCTACGACCAAATCTGCTCATTATGAATGTCGTCGTTAAAGCACCCAAAAATAATGATATACCTCCAATAGATGCTGAAAACAAAAAAAAATATTATCAGTCTTTAACTTTTAGCCTCCTATAACTACGCAGTACGTCCAGAGGTTGAAGTATGTATGATAAAGCCATCCAATTTCCTTGCCATAATACTAAGATTACAATTTCACTACCTTGTTACCTTATTAACAAAACAAGAAATGGCTTCAGGAGCCGAGGTCGTAAAGTGCGAAGATGAGAGGACAACTTAAAAGTAATCCTAGGTCCCCTTTGGTTTCGAGTGGCAGCTGATAAAAAACTGTTGAAGGCTTTAGAGGAGGCCTATGTCGAAAGACACGTCAAACGTCGGAACATGTTGTAAATAGTTTAATATAATTCTTTAAGAAAAAATGTACAGAGTAGTTGGGAAATAAAGGATTTCTTATTATTATTTACCAAACCTTATCCTAACAACCCAATAATAACTCACTGCCCTGTAAAGGGTTTCTTTATATGTAAGGTCGATATAATTGACTATTTTCACGTCGTTCAAATAGTTTGATATTGGGTTTTGTTTCGAGTTTTCTTTCCTTTGCATTGGTGTAATGTGATTTATTCCGTTAATTCTTGTGTTCCTATGATGCTAAAGACTGTACATAACGTTGTAGGAATTTCTATCCAGATAATTAGTTTGCTATATCAATATATCTGTATACAAGGGAGAAAGAGATTGATAATAATAGGGTTCAGCAGTCTAATCCTATCAGGTCTATCTCCGCGTGATTTGCCCCTGGAAATCATTGTGTGACCTACTTTCATTCCCACCTATCATCTCTCACGGATGTTCTGCCATGTATACTGACAGTGCAGATGGGATGATTATTCCATTATCATCCCATATAAAATATCTGCATACACTTACCAATCCAAGACTCCATTCTCTCATTGACATTCATGTATGTGTCTTTACGTAATTGTGGTAGTAGTATACCAGTAAATGACATGACTAAACTATGCTCCATCATACAAAGTGAAACACCGGTTGTCACCAAGTACTGAAATCATAAAGATATGCATAAACATCAATGTAGTTTTCTGTTGAAGCTTCCTTATACAGTAAAGAAAACATTAGTATTACGTCCACAGACTTTATATTTTACTATTAACTTTCACCATGATATATCCACCGAGATATGTTCTTTGATTTAGATAAAATTTGCATCTCTACCCCACATAATACATGTAAACCAAATTTCATAGTGCTTGGTATTGTGATTAAAGCGCTAAGATGAAGCTAGTAAACAAATTCACTTTCACATTTATATTATTAATAAGAATAAAGATATTTTATGACCTCCGTGGTTTCATCATCATTATCATCATATTAGCCGGTATCTGTCTGCGTGTACTGCTGAACATAAGCTTCCCCAATGGACTGCCACGAAAAACGGTCCTGAGCCACATGCGTTCACTGACATGCAATGAATTTTAGGTAATCACTCTATGTAGTAGGGGTTCGTTTTACACTGTGTTTGCCTGTACGGAGTCATCATTTAAAAACCCTTCCTCCCCTTCGGTTGTCGGTTTCTAGTGCTATGTGACCAGGCGATTGCCACTTCAGCTTGATTATCTTTTGGGCTATTTCGGTCATTTTGGTTTGGTTTCGGAAATTTTTATTTCTGATTCAATCACGCAAAAAACAAAATCGGAACTCCTTCTTCGTTGTCTTCAAACTTTGAGATATTTTGGATAAGAAGATGTAGTGTAGTTTTCCGAACGCTGCCCAGCCAAGTTAGATTCGAAGGTTGATCTCTCCCTCGAAGTTGGACTTGCCGAGTTGGACAAGTTATCTCAGACATACATACACGTCGACAACTTCGAGTGCAGTAGTCTTAGTCTGAACCGGTATAGGTGGGACATGGACGTTATATATTTTAGTCTTATTCGTCTTAAAATCTGCCTGTTGAAAAGCAATATTTAGGTTATTGAGCGTAGTATTCAAGTCTTCTGGAGATTTCGCCATTATAACTATATCATCAATAAATCGAAGGTGAGATGTATGATGTAACATTGATATTCATAATATTCTATTCCAGTTCAGAAATTTGAAAACATCTAATGCAGTTGTGAAGAGTTTCGGGGATATGACGTCACCCTGTCTTACATCTTTCTCCATAGGAATGTATTTCGTACTCTGGTTCTGTACTCAGATAGAAATCGTAGCGGTACTATACATATACTTCAGCACTTCTATATACCTATAGTTTGTATATATATATATATATATATATATATATATATATATATATATATATATATATATATATATATATAGTCAGACTGTAGTACCGATCTTGTCTCGACCGTAGCATATGTAGTCTATAATACTAAAGTCATTCCGGGAACCAGCTGATTCGGGTGACTGCAAGTCTTCGAGTTTGCATGTAAGACGATAAGTAGGATTCTCGAAAACAGTACATAGATATGATTAAGAAGTGATATCGGTCTATAGTTCTTCGATAGGGTATTGTCATCCTTCTTGAAAAATAGGACCACCACACTTTTACTCCACGCCTCAGGCGTAACACCGTTATGACCAAATAAACGACGTGCTAAAGAAGCGCCAAATTAAAAGTACCCGTAACTGGCTAATGTTAATGAAAAAAATTATGAATATAGAGGAAGCGAAAGAGATCTGTTTGAATCTAAGCATTTGGAGTTCCATTATTTCTGCCTATCCTAATGGAAGACAGATGAGACAGATATGTATGTATATTACAAACCTGTCTTAAGAACGGCTTAATATCACCCTTAAATTCCATTATATATGAAATTAAACTATCAGTCACTATAAATAAATTATTAATAATATTTTTTTTTTTTTTATAAAATCTGTCATGGATATATCAACTTTTAGATAAATAGTGGTGTTACAACTGTTAACATTGTACTGAAACATGAAGAATTACAAACTGCTTACATATTTTATGATTCATTATACATTGAATACAATTTATGACGACAATGTAAAATAAATAACACTGTATAAACAGTTAGTACATCTAGCTAAATAAAATTTTATAATTATAAATTCTAATTAGGTAACTTTCATCTGGTGCTTTTGACCGGGATATGTTGATTATCCGAGATTAATTATAGCCTTTGCCCTTCATCATTCCAAATAATGACTAGATACGTGTATATGTTTAAAAAATTTCGTGACGATTGGTTGAGGCACCAAGAGGTAATAAATAGACAAATATTTACATTAAGAATATAAATAAATACAGTCGTGTTATTTGTTTAAATAGAATAATAGTCTCACATTATAGAACGATTGTCACATGTTAATGAAAATGTTATAATAACACTACGTAAGTTATTGGTTTACTATAGTGGGGTATACGTAAGGAATCTAATTGGTCTGTTTTACTTATAGTAAAATATGACATATTCACCAGAAACAACGGTGGATTCCTTGGTGGTGTAGACGTGAGGAATATAATATATCTTGCTAGCAATAACCCTGCTATTCCTCATTATTAGTATTCTCTTCTCCTGTTTTTAGTCCATGGGCTATTAGGTAATAAATAGTTAACTTATGTGATTGTTAAAAAATAGAGATATTTCCATTTCTTAAACCGGTTTAATCAATCAAGTTGACAAATTAATTGTAACAAAATAGATTAAGCTACGAAGCTGCTAAAATACTACATAATAATTAATAAATAAATTATAAAAAGACCTAATTGGTCTGTTCCTTTTTTTCATTTAGTTAAACATTTTTTTTTGGAATAGTAGGCCAGTCGTCTCAGAGAAGTAACAAACAAACACATCATACATTTTTCTCAGCGTAAGCATAGTAAGCATAGGAGAGAACAACACTGGGGTACAGATTTACATAATGAATGTGGTAACGATAAAGTACGAATCTATTTTCCACTTATCTGGAAGAGTTGTAGTCTACTACGTAATAATATGTACGAATTTGACCGTCCTTTATATATATATATATATATATATATATATATATATATATATATATATATATATATGTATGTGTGTGTGTATGTGTGTGTGTGTGTGTGTGTGTGTATATATATCTAATATATTGTGTTCATATTGGATAGGTCTGAGAATCGACCAACATCTATTTTTCATACCCGTCAATGATAAGGGTGACCCACCCTAAAACTTTTTTTATTATTTTTTTGTAATTTTTTTTATTTGTATTTTATTATAATTTAGCGTTGAAAAATACATACAACTTTAAATTTTCATCGTTTTACGATCAACCCCTGTATTTTAATCGCGATTTTTATATTTCGCAATAAGTGGTAAAACAACGTTTACGGGGTCAGCTAGTATCTTATATGTAAAATTCTCGTGTCACGGTGTTTGTTACCAAACTCCTCGAAAACGGCTTCACCGATTTTTATGAAATTTTGTGTGCATATTGGATAGGTCTGAGCATCGGCTAACATCTATTTTTCATACCCCTCAATGATAAGGGTGACCCACCCAAAATTTTTTTTTTTCGTCAATTTTTTTATTTTTATTTTACTATGATTTAGCATTGAAAAATACAGCATCAAATTTTTACCCTTTTACGATCAACTCCTGTTGTTTAATCGCGATTTTTATATGCCGCAATAGGGTTGCAAGATGGCAATTGAAAATAATAATTGTAGTACGATATATTTTCATGTATAGTTCTAGAAATAATGTATATGGTAAAACAACGTTTACCGAGACAGCTATAATGAGTAGGGATAATTTTTATATATTTATATGTATTACATCTCCCATATCTAGAACTAACAAAATATTTTTCATATGTGCCTCCCATCAAATTGTTTATAATTACTCCTCTCCATCCAAAGGTTGCCTGGAAGAGATCGTTCTTAGCGATAAGGTCGCCCATTGTTTTCTCATTGTGATTATTTCTTGTAATTATTTACATTTATAATAAGTTTACTATTGTAATCTTTTAGAGGAAACAATAAAGAGTATCTATCTGTCTTACTACTCAATCGTACTTAAATAGTTAAACAGATTTCAATGAAATTTGGTAAACGAATTGAGTATTCACTTAGACGAATCCGTACAATACAGCTGGTATGAAATAAGACATAAAACAGAAAGTGTTTGAACAATTGGGCTGATTGTGAGAGGCCATTTCTATACACTTATCTCTTAGCCTAATATTGTCATTTGATAAGTTTGCAAAATTACTGCTTATTATAAATGTTTTAAAATGTTTTGTACCGTTTCAATTAATGTAACATTGTTATTCTGGGGGGAAAGGGATTGTTAGTAATGGAGTTTGACAGCCCCATTGCTAGCAATATGCCTTATTAGGTCGACCTCCACGTGGTTCCCCCTGGAAACCATCGTGAACAGTTCTTGTTGAATTCGTCACGATAGGCTAACTGACCTACCTCATCTCCTCATTTATCATCCTTCACTGGTGCCCCGCCGGTGTATACCGATAGCGCGAGTGGGGTCACCATTCCATTATCATCCATTAAAAAAAAACATTGTTATTCTGTATACCTATTGAAATAAATTATAATAAATTTCACTTATTCTTTAGGTGACACCTGAGTATCAACATTGAGTGTTGTTTATTTCTATACTTTATACACACTTGTGTCCACATTTATTGCTGGAGGGGCGCCGAGATTAAGATTCGACGAGGGCGCTGAATAAAGTTATGGGAGATAAAAGAAACCCGGTATGGGCGACATCGAATTGAATGATGACTTTTTTAGGAACTTAAGACAGATATCAGAACTGGAGGACCAGCTTGGGCGATATCGAAACCGGTAACAAAGAAATAGACGATGCCCTTTTTTTTAGGAATTGTGTAAATGAGGGTCATCCAATTTAAAAGAATCTTATGGATTGATATTGGTGAAATTTCGTAATATTTGAAGTTTTTATTATTTATTGTAATTAATATTTGAAAAAAAAAGGAAGACATATTGGCTTGGTAAGTCCATATGTTTTCCTTTTGTTGCAAGAAAGCAGAACGTCTATATGAAGAAGACGATGTTTGTGTTTTCTCTTAATTACAAAATAAAAATAATGACATATTTTATTATTCTTTTCTGTTATAATCGTATAATATGCTTTAATACTTATTGTAATATTCATATCATCTAGTGAATTCTAGTGTTACTATGAAAACAATAAAATTATTAACACCGCTAGATGTCGCTTCAAATTGCAAGATCTTTAATTTACCGATTAGTTAGATTTTTTAATTAATACTGCGATTACTATCCTTAATCTATATTGATAGCAACGATTTTTAAGAAGAAAATATTTTCTAGATATTTTGTAATGACAACTGCGTCATGGCTGGTCCACAGGTAAGTTTATTGCGTAAAAATTCACGTTTTATTGACAAACACCACAATCTTTGACAATTGAAACTGACATTACTCGCATAGTGTTGCCGACATCGTCATTTCGGGCTACATTTACCTTTTTACTCTTCATATTGCTTCGTATATTTTATTGTCTTTCTAATGGTGATTGTTATTTTATATTTTTTTCAAATACCTATAATTTCTTTGGAAATGTGTTTTAACTTATTTCTGTATAAAACTTTTAAAATATAAGGAGGCCTATACCACCAATAAATTCAAATACTCAAGATTTTTAAATAAATTTTAAAAGTATTTCATATTTTAAAATAAATTTTCTTCTGATATTGAATTTAGTGACTACCATAATAGCGTTCAATACGTTTATCAATATTTAAATTCCAGTCGAATGGTTTCGATATTACAATTTATCCGAACTTAGGCTCCGTGTTTATTTAAATTTTATATATTAATAAAGAAATACAATTTTTTAAAATACAGGTAATAAAGAATCCTATTAATAAGCATTTTGTAGACATTATATTTGTGCGAATGTTGATACCCTACATATATCGAGATGTAGATCAATATCATTGCTATGTATTTAATTCCTAGTTTGGACAATTATGGTAAGTTGATACCTATTACAATAGTATGATAAATGAGCAGCAAGAACCAATACCCATATAAAATGCTCAATACTATTATTGTTAGATATGTGGCTTAAATCTATGCCTTACATAAAAATTTATAAAATCAAAGAGGAAACAATATTATTTACAATAAATAATCCAAAAAATGATTCAAGCTTTTCTTATATGTATATATATATATATATATATATATATATATATATATATATATATATATAATTTCGTATTTTATTTTTAAATATTGTATAGATTTCTTATATACTGTATTAGCCATAAAATATGATTAGGAGTTGGCAATTCTATTATTGGCTGTCAAACAAGATTACAAGAACAACAAATTGTCAAAGTCAACTAGGATTTGCTGAATGATAGTCGTCTTAAATTATTTTCATTAAAATGGTTTTTATCGAATTTTTATGAACCAACGATGGATGAACACGAGTTTTTCAGACAGACAGTACAACATTTGGCGCGTTGTTTATCTCATATAAACCCGACGCCATGGGAAAAGGTTTGTTTCAAAATTCCCTATTTTGTAATTGCATTACGAAAGGCAATTATTTCTTGCTTCTGTTGTTTAATGTCTATAATGAAATATATAACTATTTTAAAGTCGATATATATTAATTCTAGTCACAAGTTGGCAGTTTGGGGCTCTCCAAATGCTTATATTTAATGTTGTTTCAAATCATGATCTCATCACTGTTTTGACGTCGACTTTATTATCGTTTCGAGATATGACCCTGCAATATGATTCATTATACCATGTTTATGTTTTAATACATTATAATAACTCTCTAATAATAGCACGGGAGACTTATGTTTACCTGACAGTCATTAACTGATAAATAAAAATCATTAGTATTTCATTCTTACTGTAAATAAGCAATTAGTATTGTACTTTTTATTAATATGACATATATTTATTGTAATATTTCATGCTTACTAGTATATTTATACTTAAAGTATGATTGTTTTATTAGCATTGGCATATTTAAGATAATTTTCTTAGGAGAGCTTGGCTCCTTAATAAAGGCTTATTATTTACTCTAAGACATACCTTTGCACATTTGCCAATCCCCTGCCAAGTAGAGTAACCACTGGGAAAATATCCCAACAGGAGGAGGCCGATATCTTGCAGCGAACAGTTAATGATAATAAAATAATATAATTTTGTGCATAGTTAAAATCTCCACTCATATTCTGTTTGTACTAGACAATTCACCTAAACCCCCTTTAAATATGCGTAGAGATTATGGACTATTATCACTTATGAGTAAGTTTCATTGTTGAACTGTTAGAATCGGGAACTATATGATTTTTTGATTATATTTATTATATAAAATATATTTTTTGTATAAAATATATTTATTTACGAAGAAAGTATTTACAATTATATTACATCTTATAACTATAGTACAAGCTGTGCTTTTTTTTAAATATAGATGGTGTTGTAATAACCCAAAGAGGGTTGACGTCAGGCAGGTGGCCGGTCATAAAACTAAAAACAAAATCTTTTTGTAATATGGATAAAATCATATTACGCCGACCCCAAATGATTGGGATAAGGGTAGGAAGATGATGATGATAGATGGTGTTGTAATATGTTTAAGCATTTTTATTTATTATTTATATCATTCATAATTGGATTTAGAGCTAGGCTAGAATGGCTGTAGGGAACAAAAAATGGAAAATAGATGTACAGTGATAAAGGTGTTATAACTACCATTATTATAAATAATGATAACAATGATAAAAATATTATAGTGACATTTTACTCCCTAGCTGTTATTGTATATGATTGTATTATGTATATAAAATGAGCCATGCTGATAGAGAGATAGATAATTTATTTGTATCACACAGCACACAAATAACAATACAGACATGCACAAAAAGAGACAAAGGAAATACCAAAAAAGAAAGTAAAATAAAGAGAAAGAAATTAAAAACATAAAAGAGTAATGCAGACATTTTTTGTAAATTTTTTTGTTAATATAAAATAATTATGATGACCGTTGCTCTTTTAAAAAAGTTACATATGTATTCTTAGACATATCCTTGCCCATAGCTGACAGAGAATGTTAAATGAGTCTATAGTCCACAGTCAATATTTAGGAGGGTCTAGAGGACTTGTCCGATGACAAGTTGCAGAGTATAAATAAAGAAAAGAAAATAAGAATAAAATATCTGTTTGTAATTTAATAGTTAATATTGAAAAAATATGTTTTTTATGCAAATATGGTAACCATTGCCTATAGACATGAGCAGTACCATGGACATAACAGAGTATACTGTTTCACCCATGATACTCCCCCATGTGTTGCCATTCCTGAGGACTCAGGTGTTATTCCTCTGTACCCTGTAAATTCACTGCCACACACCTTTCAAACTGAAACAGTCATGCAACCATTCTTCACGGTAGAAACACGAATAGGACAGAGGTACCCAAGCAAATAACTTTGTACAAAGTCTCCCTTATGATAAAGTAATCAAATTAATTGTAATTTTGCAATAATAATTGTTACCAATAGATAATAAGATAAAAATAATAGTACACAGTTCATCCCAATACATATTACAGAAGCTTCAGCTCATAAGATATTATTAATAATAGTTTCTTAGGATCTAAGTAGCTTTTTTTGCTTTTATGGCGCCTCAGTAAAAAGCATAAAAAGAAAAATATTTAATTTTTCAAATATAATTTATCAGTGTTGGAATATTACAGGTAAACACACTATTTATGCTGTGCCCGCAAGCCAGCTCATCTTTGGTGGTAACATCTCGGAGCCAGGACGCATGTATAGCACTCGGCCTCTACTTCTTGCACAGTGGGATGCAGCATCAGGACAAACTGCTTCCATATTTTTTGAAGGTCCTTAAGTGTCTCACAAGTGCACAGTTTGAAGAACCTCTATGCAGAGTCAAAAATATTGATCGTAAGTATGTTTTCTGTTAATTTTTTTCTTATTACTAAATTCTAATTAGGAAAGAATATTACTATATTACTCAAAGGCAGAGTAGCCTTCTGTTATCTACTTAAACAACTTAATATTTTGGGGTTGGGGGCGGGGGGAGAGATTGTTAGCAGTAATGGGCAGTTTATTCTCATTATTAATATACTAAGTCTATAATACTAGTCAGGTGAACCTCACATAGTCCTTATTAACCGACTTTCAAAAAGGAGGAGGTTCTGTGTTCCACTGTATATTTTTTTATAATATTTAATTCCTGGTAAATTCATCATGATAGGACAACTGACCTGATTTCATCCTTACCTATCATCCCTCATAAATACCCCCATAACACAAAAGGCGATATCATTCCAGTAAGTAACAAACATATTAGGTCTAGCACTTTTTAAATGATCAATCTAAAACATTGAAAATTGTTTTTGAACATTGACATATAATTGTGACGTGAAACACACTTTGGTAAATTAAAGTATGAACTCTCTTAAGATCTCAAAGCTAGGTATAGTGTGTAAATTATAGAATATATTTTATTTAAGTAAATATTTTCAAAGACAAATACTAAAAACAAGCCACGCGAACGATGTCGCGAGCATAGGTTGTTTAAAATGAAACTGACAAATATATATGTGTGTATATTTATTCTAATGCAGCATTAGTTAGTAATGAATGGATTTTAAATGTAAATGTTAGCATGTTGATCTCTTCACGCAGTGTAGTGTTTTCTCTTTCTGTAACAAATAATAATGTTTTTATAATAACTGTATTTCACATTGAAAGTTATAAATAAGAAAAAATATATTGGGATCGATGGATTTGTTTTTTTTTTCTTATACCTTAGTATTAAACAAATGGACTATAACATCATAAGAGATGTTTTGCCTTTGAACCCAGTGTGTTAGTATATTCCACCCTTTACAAAAACACATATTGATATGATTCTAACAGAAATTAGGCTGAGTCAGAGGTATTCATAAAGATGGATAAAAAATCTATATATGAAGCTATTTCACAAAATTTATTTCCTTTGGCTTTATTGTTTAATTCCGATTAACTTTAAAACGAAAACATTGATGGGAGATGGCAAAAATCCATTGTGTATTGGTCCATACCGTAAATATGTTCACTTGCCAGCCCCACCCGCTCCTTGTCCACCGGCCTGACCACCAGCCTGTCCGCCAGCATTGGCTCCCAAACTGAACCCAGCTGTAAAGTTGTATAAATATTTTTACATTTTACTAATAAGTGCATTGTATCACTAGACATTCTATTATAAATTATATTTCACAGAAAACGAGAATTCAATCATAATAAAACTACCATGGAATTAACATGTGGGTAAATCCTATACATTGTAAAAGGCTTTACCATTTTAATTTTATTTGTCTCTGTCATGAGAAATCTTTAATCTAAAATTAAGTAGTATTTTTTTTGTATTAATAGTGGTGTCATTCGTGGTGTTTTAAATACTAACTTTGATTTGTAGGCAATAACAAAATCTAGAAGTCTAAACTAAATGTCTATGTCTAATATATACCTCCAAAACTACCACCGGCATTTCCGCCAACGCCTCCAGCTCCAGAACCTAAAAAAAAAAACAAATTTTAATCGGGAGAACAACGATCGTTATCCAATCACCTATATTTTTTATTTAATTTTATTATACAAGACTTCATTTTTCTTGTATCTTTATGATTTATTGCATCTGATATAATTATATTAACACTTTTTGTATTGTCTCATTCATCCCGTAAATGTCAACAATGAAATCTATAAATTGGCTGTCAGTAATACACATAATTTTGTATTTTATACATTTCTATGAAAATTGTATATTCACATCGAATAATTAACGCTTACCACCTTGGCCCACTCCTTGCTGGTGGCTCTGAAACATAATTTTTTTAAATTATATGTTGGTATATTACTAATCTTAGTAATTATATAATTTTTTTTTTTATATTGAATTTATAAATTTGCATATTTAAATGTTTGGTACATAGGTAGGTTAACTTCTAATATAACACATAGGGTACTTTTTATATTTATGGTCGTAGACAAAGCCGCGGGATACAGCTAGTAATATTTATATACAAGATGAAATCAAAATCACTATCATTGTATAATGAAGTATTCTAGTAATGAAACTGAACAATTTCACCAAAAAATTGAATAAAAATGCTATGCTATGCTATATTATACGCTATAGAATATACAGGGAATAAATCATTGGGAAAATATTATAATATTTTGTTTGATTTAATCATAAAAAATAGTGGATACTTACAAGACCAGCCAGCATCACAACTGCGATCAGAACGAGGAGGCCTTTCACCATTTTGCGTGTATAAGGATTACTTATCACAAACGATACAAAGTGTGTGAAGCATTTGCCCCTTTTATACCATATTTGTATATAGAGCTGGCCGTTTAAAAATAAATGCCACATTTTTAACGACAATAATGATGATCGTTAGATAATTATCTAAAATTGAAATGTTTACAAAACATACTAGTATGTTGGTGTCAGGTATTGCGAAAATGTAAAATCACTCAAAATAGACAAGTGCGTTATTTAATGTACCATGAATTAGGTACGTTTAGAGACTGAAATAGTTTTAGGTTTGGGTTCAGTATTTAAAAAGGAATAACTAGATTTATCTCCGCAAAGCAAATTTGATTCTGATAAAATTAATATGAGAAAAAACATCGGAGTACACATTATCGAATGTTAAAAAAATTATAACAATCTTACCATTATTTCTATTCTTTTACTACTCCATAATATCCTTTTTAAACCTTCTTCTCATGCTGTCTAAAGGAGCGATTTGACTTCCTCCATATGGTTCATTCTCTTAATCTAAGGTCGTTTGAGAGCCTTCAGCTAAAGACACCAGTACATTTCAGAAGTTTTTATGACAAATCGTTTGCTGTGCAAGATTTTCGACTATGAAATAATCATATCAATGTCTATACAAATTGTATGGTACCTACCAAGTTTTAAAACAAAAATTAAGAACTTCTCTCTGAGCAGGTTGTCATATTCGTAATTTGTGTCTATATATATATATATATATATGTAAATCACTAATTTATATTTGTAAATCAGCGTGTTTTGGTAATCTCTTATGGACTCCCGCGATACAGGTTCGCCTAGTGCGGGGTCCAATATACTCGCGTTGTAAATTTCTTGTATTTAATAAATAAATAAAAAAAATAATAGTATTTCTCATATTTATATGTACTCGTATATATGGGTTTGTTTTAGTATGTATTAGTAACTTAAAATGTACATTTATATATACACACACACATATCTCTATATGTATTTAAAAAACAAACAGAGTTTGATGCCTCCAGTCACACTGCTTATAATTAAATTACTTTTCTCCATCCAAAGGTTGCCTGGAAGAGATCGCTCTTAGCGATAAGGCTGCCCATTGTTTTCTTAGGGTCATAGTTTCTTGTAATTGTTTGTATTTGTAATAAGTTTACTATTGTAATCTTATGGAGGAAACAATAAAGAGTATTTACATTTATCTATTTATATATCTATGTAACGCAAGTTTTCAATAATTTTCAGGGGAGTTTGGCATATATTTGGCATACTTAACTCTAAAAATAAACTGAAAGTAAACAACCAATTTTCATTTTTAAAGTATATTGAACCCTACACACACACCGAACTTAATTTTCGTTTTTAAAAGCTCACACATGCACAAATGTTTATTTGTGAAACTGTAACAATGAAAAATCTAATTCGACGACATAATTTTAGGAAAATTTATAATGATACTTATCGTTGTAATTTTAGTTAAAATGACGGTGATTGCGTCATAGTAAACTATTTACTACACGTGTAGTGATTTTTTTTATGGAACTTAAAATGGAAATTATTTAATACAAGTTTTTTTTATACATCTCAGAATGGCAAACAAGTTGACGGCAGTCCTCATGAAAATTGTTAACCGTAGCCAATACCCAACAATATAGACATCACAGACACTGCTACGCCCATGACACTTCTTATGACACTTGCTATTCCTGACGACTAAGATGTTATGCCTTCGTATCTTTTAATTTCGCTGGTTACATCCTTATATCAGCCATTATATGTCTCTCGCTCAATTAGGCCTCCCCCTATTGGGGGGGGGGGAGGGTTACTAGTAGTTGTCACGCTTGGCAGATGGGTTGGCAATCACAGCTGACTGTGAAAATATCATCAAAACCTTAAGGTTTTCATGATGTTTTAAGAGAGACGCTACTGCCCATTTCTGGAACAATAAGCTCCCTTAATTGCCTCTTACGATACTCACGGAAAAGGAAGGGAAGGTAGGAATCTTGCTGGTGATAAAGCTAAGCTAAATATACAGCGTGTCACCACTTTTAGCTATAAGAGACGAGTATGGAAACAAATCATACATTAGTGTAAGATAGGACAAACAGCTGACTAGCTTGGTTGGAGGGGGAGGATTGTTAATAATGACGAATAGGAGTTCCAATACTAGCAAGTCAAACTTCACCTGGTTCCACCTGGAAATCATCGTGGTTAATTCTTGTGGAATTCGTTACGATGCAACTGCTATGCTTTCATTTTCGCCTAACATCCCTCAGTGGTAACCCACCAGCGTATACCGATAGCACAGGCAGGGTTACCACTCCATTAATTCGCATCAGAAAAGAATGTTGTGGTAGGAAAGGGAGGGGATTGTTAGTGATAAGATTTAGAAGTTAAAATACGCCTTTAAATATTTATAATGACTTAATCATTGTAAATAAATAATAGAGTATGAAGAATTGTTCCCCCTTCATTATGTACAATGATTGTTGTCATTACGCATATAGATGAAGGTCAGATGGTGTCAAATTGATGTGTCAATGTCGCCAGTTATGTTATAATAATAATAATTACCTAACCATAAATTTTTATAATCTTAACAATCGGATATCGCTTAAAATGTACCTACAATGTTTAAAAAGTATGTATATTTTTACTATTATCCATATAATAATGTAAATACCATTATATATTTTTAATGAATTGTGTTACTTGTATGTGTGTGTGAATGCTGTGAAGAAATATGATTTATTCACCATTCACATTGCTATCTTTTTTTTTAATTATTAAAAGGACTGTATTTACCATACGGTTAAATAAATAAAATAAATGATACTAAAACTACATATTGTTGCTGTTGCTCTAACTCTCTTCTATCCCATATTAGATGCTCTTCTCGCTCTTCTATCCCATCCCCTTAGACAAGTGGCTAATTAATTTACTTTCTATGACTATTTACTAAAAAATGTCAATGAGTTCACCCGTTCTTAAGTAATGTATTTAGTACTTAACAATAACACAATTTAAGACTATAAAATGGGGTTCTTCAAAAAAAGGGGTAGAGGTTTATTCTATATCCGCAATGCGTGCGTAATGCCTCTAGTATTGCAGGCGTTCATAGGCTTTGGCAACTTCCTTACCATCTGGTAGGCCGTATGCTTGTTTGCCACTTCAGTGGCTTAAAAAAATAGTATTTTATTTTTGAATACTTTAGATGATTTGTTAGACATCTTATCCAAAGCTCCCTTTTTTCTCCAAAAACCTTCTTCAGTATATTAATGCGCTTACCACGTTGATTAGCATTTATTTTTAATTCTTATAGTAAATTAAATATTTAATAACATTATTTGTTCCAGGTATTCCTATGTCGGAGAAGTTCAGTTTTTGTCTGAACACACTTCTCTCGGACATAGCAGCCAAACAGCCTTCCATCAGAGAAGAGATCATCAAAGCCCAAATTGAGCTTATGTCCAATCTGACGAAGATAATCATTACCTGCCACGAGAGTAAAGACTACTCTCAAACGACCTCCAAACTCCAACTCTGCAAAAGTACAATACCAGTACTCATAGGGTTGGCTAGATCTATGGGCAGATATGCGACTGTCGATCCTCCGTTGCTATGCCGTCTCTTTCCCCAACCCAGTAGTCCAGTGAAATCCAAAGAACCCGAACCAAACTTCGAGTATTCCACCTTGGATAAGAAGAGGAAGTTCAACCAGTTCAGACCCATTATCCCCAGGTCGTTATCAGGGAATCTAAATCCTAACAATGAGAATATTGTAGAAAATGGCACAGACACTGTTGATAGCAGCGGAGGTACCATTAAACGAGGTTCCCTGCACAGCTATAGTTCAGTACCTTATGATCCTACCACATACTTCTTCCACAAGTTTGGATCCAGCTTCAATCAGTTCCCTTATATGAGATTTTCGGAATCTCCCGAAAAGAGGATCAATGTACAATTTTACGTGGCGTACTTGCAATCTATATTGACGTTGGCCAAAGATTTATTGACGAAAGATCTATTGGCGTTCTTGGATGAAGAAGCTGAGGACATATATGCGTCAGGACAAATTCAAGTTAGTATAATTACTAGGAGAGTAATATTTAGCAATATTTATACATTGTACTTAAAATATTTATAATGGTTCAATAACAAATGTGTAAAATATCGGTTATTCAATATATAATATCGAAATGTAGCAGCCGATCAAAATTAATATCCGACCGACCAGTGTGGACGATAACGAAATGGGTGATGACTGTTTTTCATCATCAGTGTTCAGAGGAATCCAATATATAGATATTGGATCGGTACTCATATAACCTATGACTAATAATTACAATTTTATTAATATAAAATTGTAACTAGACGGTATTAATTACATACAAGCAAAATTAATTATTTCAATTTTTTATGTTTTTTTTTTTTTTTTTTTTACAACACAGGGGGCAAACGAGCATGCGGCTCACCTGATGGTAAGTGACTACCGCCGCCCATGGTCACCCACAACACCTACGGCATTGCAGGTGTGCTGCCGGCCTTTTAAAAAGGAATAAGCTCTTTTCTTGAAGGTTATGTTGTCGTATCGGTTCGGAAATACTGCTGCTGGAAGTTGATTCCAAAGAGTGGTTGTGCGAGGAAGAAAGTGCCTTGAAAAACGCACGGTGGAGGACCGCCACTCGTCCAGATGGTTGGGATGAAATTTTAGTTTATGGCGGGTTGTACGATGGTGAAAATTTGCAGCAGGTATCAATCCGAACAATTCTTCAGAGCACTCCCCATGATAAATTCGGTAGAAGATGCACAGAGATGCAACATCTCTACGCAGTTTCAGTGGGTCGAGCCGGACAGTAAGACGCCGATCGTCAACAATTCGAGCTGCCCGACTTTGAATGCGGTCTAACGGAAGGAGCTGGTACTGTGGCGCTCCTGCCCACAGGTGAGAACAGTATTCCATGTGTGGCCTCACTTGAGCTTTATACAGTTTCAGGCGGTTTTCTGGCGTGAAATACCGTCTCACCCTATTGAGCACCCCCAACTTTTTGGAAGCTATCTTAGCTTTTTCCTCCAGATGACCGCAAAACTGGACATCGCTAGATATATCGACGCCAAGAATCCCCAGACTCGACTTATTATCAAGGGAAGTGCCCTGAAAGTGAGGTGATACGACAAACGGTGTCTTTTTTGCGGTGAACGCGCAGACTTGTGTCTTCTTAGGGTTAAAGTGAACAAGATTGCGTTCACCCCAGATCGAAACTTTATCGAGTGAAGTTTCGATTTCAGACACAAGTCTGTTCCGGAGCTCATCGGTATGTGCCCGCGAGATCTTTGCATGACCGGTGTATAATGCATCTCCTGTACTGTCGTCCGCATAACAATGAATATCACTGATCTGTAACATATCATTGATATGCAGAAGAAACAGTGTTGGAGATAGTACACAGCCTTGCGGAACACCAGCATTCACAGGTTTTAAGTCAGAGCATGCTCCGTCGACTACGACCTTAATGCTACGTTCCTTAAGAAAGCTGGCGACCCAACTGCACAATCTCGCAGGCAACCCAAACGAAGGTAGTTTTGAGATTAGTGCCCTATGCCACACCCGATCAAAGGCTTTCGCAATATCCAGACTAACAGCTAAGGCCTCTCCCTTATTCTCGATTGCCACTGCCCATCGGTGTATTAAATAAACTAAAAGATCACCAGCCGAGCGTCCCCGTCGAAAGCCGTACTGGCGGTCTGAGATCAGCTGGCGATCCTCTAGGTACCGGAGCAGTTGATGGTTAATAACTGATTCCATGACTTTCGAGAATAAGGAAGTGATAGCTATGGGCCTATAGTTAGCTGGATCTGAGCGGTCTCCTTTTTTAGGGATCGGATGCACCAAAGCAGTCTTCCAAAACTTTGGGACTATACCTGATGAGTAACAGAGCCGAAAAAGACGCGTAAGAACCGGAGCCAACTCTGGTGCGCACGTCCTTAGCACAATTGGAGGAATGCCATCGGCCATGTGTTCGCATAATAAGTAATAAACACTATTAAATTTTTTTTTTTGTAGGTATTTCCATATAAATCGTTCTCGGAAACGCTGAATTTGGTAATGGTAACACTGTTACGGGAATTATTGCAACATCAAAAGAATCTACCAGGACCGTTTACTAAAGATGTTCAAGTAAGATTTTTTTTTATAAAATTTACTCGTATTCTTTTATATTAAAGAACAGAATAGTGTTGTAGGCGTCCATAGGTAACAGAATCTGTATACCATCACATGGACTGTATATATATTCTGTAGCATATTCAAATTATCTTTATTCAAATACCATCACACGTTGATACCATCCAATACCATCACTTACGGCACTCACAGGATAGGAAGAGGTGGCCGGCCGGGTGCCGGGACCACACGGTCAATTTCGATTGATAATATACATTATTGTCTATATACTCGTATGTCATATTTGCCTACCCAAAAAACATTCGATTCTCTACTTTAGACAAGTCAAGTAACTAACCGACAAAAAATAATGTTTGTCATTTAATTATTTCTCTTGTTTGTAGGTGGTTAAATAAAACTCTTATTGTTTTCTAGGAATTCGTGAAATGCCTCTTCTTAAGTGGCCAAACGGAACTGCAGAGTCGACACCACGATGCCTCTGAGAGGGAAGACAGAGAGAGCAATTACGCCTCGGTAAACAAATTTAAAGTGAATGTGATGGCCAATTCGGCGTGCGTCGATCTACTTGTATGGGCTATTGGTGACGAGACCGGTATGTAAACGCTTTAGTTTACAATAATTCATTTCATAACAATTTATTTATCAAACATTGTACTTTCTACACAGTAGAATAGAAATCATTAGCACTATTTTTTTATTTAACATGGAATGGTAAATATGATGATGGCCCATCTGATGATAAATGGTAATCATCGTCTGTAGACATGAACAGAAATAGACATTACAAAATAAATATAAAGTAAAATTTTTAATGTCCATTTATGCCCATGGTTTTTTTTAAAAGGGTATAATGGAGTAGTAATCCTGCCTGCTCTACGCTGGTGGGGCACTAGTAAGAGATTATAGGCGAGGATGAAACAGGTCTATTGGTCCATAGGTTTATATTGTACCATTGTTTGTATTGACCCATATTGGTCATAAATAATTAACCAAGATGGTTTGCAGGGGAAACCGCGTGGAGGTCGACTTGTTAGGATATATTGCTAGCAATTGGGCTGTTAGATCCCTGTTACTAACAATCTTTTCCCTCGATGCTCGTGATACCCTTTATGACATATAGAGCTTCCAGTTGTCAAATTAATATGGGAACCTGAAATTTCTTATTTTTTTTTAAATGTTCATTTTCACTTGGGGAATACTAAACGATGCTAATTTTTATTAGTTTTACCCTCTATATATTTTATTATATCTCCTATTTTGCTTGCATTTATTATGTTTACTTGTTATGTATTCATTATTTTTATCAATAACGAGCATTCCAACCTTATCATATTTATATTCGAAAAGATACGCGATAAAATTTAATGATAAAATTAATAATCTCGTTCCACAGGTTAAAACGAATTTTAACACTTAAGAGCTATTACAAAATGCGATAAATCTCACATATGTACGTTCCACTAATTCTGTATTTATGAGGTTAAAATTTTGTTGTTGTAATTAAAGATTGTAATTTAAATACAAAACATGTATTATGATTTTTTATCACGCATTTTTTCATACAATTCTGTCATATAGAAGTTTTATGAACTATAAGACGCGGAAAATAAACCGCGCTAAAATGGTACATAGAATAGATACGCGTGGTGAATATTCGTAGTATCTCTATCTGCAATGCGAAAATTCATTACGTAGTTTTTTCTCCTTCGTACAATTTTATAACATTTAAATTGGATAAAGCTATATGTACTTTAGAAATAAACCGCGTGAAAATAATGTGTATTAATTGTAATTTTAGTATGGTTGTTTCCTTTGCCTTTTTTGCCCCTCTCGATGCGGTGTAATTCGGAAATATAAATTGACCTAAAGTTTTTCATGTTTCATATCAGATTTTAACTACTGACTTTGTATATGTCGCGGCAGTGTCTATATCATTGTGGTATCAATCAACATTGTTCGGGGGGAAAGGGATTGTTAGTAATGGAGACTGAGAATCCCATTGCTAGCAATATACCCAACCAGGTCGATCTATACGTGGTTCCCTCTGGAAATTATCATGATTAATTCCTGATGAATTCATCATGATGGGCTAACTGGCCTGTTTTCATTCTCATCGATCACCCTTCACTGGTGCTCCACCGGCGTATCCCGTTAGCGCAGGCGGGGTTACCATATCATTTTCACCCATAAAAAAAAATCAACATTGTTCACACTCGTATAATTTGTTATAATGTTACAGTGGATGGGGACTATGATGTACCAGCACTTATAAACGCTCTAACTATATTAATAGGTATCTCTACTCGTGTGAGAGTGACAACCCTACCGACTAACTTGTACAGCATGGTGTTAGTGCCATTCTAACGGATGCCACTGATTTCATTATGTTTATTTATCCTTTATTAATGTATCTTACTATACGCAGTTTAGTGGATGAAATGATCATAAAAAATCACCAACTGTGTTTCACTAAATAATTCATAGGGTTGCCCTTGAACGGAATATAAAATTGGACTTAATTACGTTGACATTGATTCTATTTTAAATCTAATGTTATATTTCAATTTTAAAAGTCAATATTATAGTGTTGATATTTAAAATTGAACCTAGGTGTAAGGAAGAAAGTTCATTTTTTGTCCGAGGAATTATTTCGTGAATGGCATTCCAATCGATTGAAATTAAATTTGGTTGACGGATTAGATTAGCTTTCTTTAGTAAATATAGAATTTGCCTCATCGATCAGTCTTATCAGGTATAAACATACGTTATTAAATACGTATGCATTTTTAAGAAGTTTAGCTCTATTTTGTGGCGTGTTTTTTTCATCTGTCAAATATTGCATTATATATATTTGTACATTCATATTTTTCATACTAAATCGAATATATGACCGCTCGGTTTATATGAAGTTTTTTTTTTTAAATATTTTCCGGTTCCAACCTTAAAAACTTCAATGGTGAAGGTTGTTTAGTTTTATGTACAAATTATACTTCAAAAGTGCTTAATTTACAATGCTTTTGATTGATTTTATGAGTTAAATATTTTTATTTGTTTTGTTTTTGTTTGTACATAAGCTTTATTTTACAATCGTCGTTAAGATAAATAACAGGTTATAAATATTTCAAATAGGCTATATTTATACTATACTGTGTACTGTAATATGTTCATTAACCATAAGAATTATACCAAGCCTATATCTTTCTCCATCCCTTAATTTATGTATATACCAAATTTCATTGAGATTTGTAAGTAATCGAGGCGCTAAAAGGTAACAAACAAACACATTTTCACAAATACAGTAAAAGCTCCTTATTCACGCTTCCTTTATTCGCGTTTTCATTAATCGTGATTTAAAAAATTGCAACCCAATTCCTATATTTGTGTCTAAAGATTTCTTTATTTACGGATCTAATCGATGTATATTGGTGTCCTTTATAAACGCGTGGACAAAAGGAGTAATAAAAAAGTAATAAAAAATAAAAAAGACCTTATTACAACTACACCTAAAGTATATTGTCAAATGCAATTGCCGCTGTATAAGTGATTCAGCTTTCTATATTCACGGTTTCTGTATTCGCGGCATATTCATGGAACGTATATCCCGCGAATAATGAACTTTTACTGTATTGAGAAGGATAAAATATATGGTCATATTGCGATATTAAGATGTATATAGCGTAGCTTATGATCGCTTACTACTGTTAGAATGTATTGTTTTGTTAGAATGTTTAGGATACAGCCATGTTTATCTTCATTAAACACATGTGAACAAAATCATGCTTAGAAGATAGTCGTTCATAGTAAAATATATTACAAATAAATAGTTTATTTTTTAGACAATATTTTTTTTTATAATTTGTACATATTAATTTCACATGAGAATATATTTACTTCCTTCATACTTTTTAATAGTTTTTTTTAAACTGTCGTGTTTTAATATTGCGTATAGTTTTTATATTTATAATAAAAGTCACGTTTTAGGTGCGGACTCACTATGTGGACGTTTAACAGAGAAGATAAATTCAAATCACAATCACAAGTTGATATTAGCTCACATGCCCCTTCTGATGGTCTGTCTTGAAGTGAGTACATTCTATTGATTCCTTTAAAGGTAGTTTGAAAGAGATTCCTGTATTGTCCTATACAAAATTTATTTTTAATATTAATAATCTTATTACAATTATTATTATATGAGCCGTTAATTGTCCACTGCTGGGCCTTCCTCATAAGGGGTGTTTTGCCAATGACAATTACTGTCACACTAGGAAGGGGGTTGGCAACCACAGTTTTTTACTTTTGGTATGTTTTAAGAAGGGTACTGCTGCCTATTCCTCGACCATTAATTCCTCTAGTCGTTTCTAACGACACTCACGGGGAAAGAAGGGGTGGCCCATTCTATGCCAAGACCACACGGTGTAACCTATTACAATAGATAGATAAAGCAGCGGGATAGCATTGTCGAAAAAATTTCAATAATCTAACTCATTCTTATACTCATTGAGTGGCGACTGTGTACGGCCAAACGCAGGGTAGGACGACCCCCCACTAGATGGAGTGACGACTTGAAATGCATTGCAGGGAGTCAGTTGATACAGGGCCGTTCTTTATGGCCATCTATGAGGAAGGCTTTCAATATACATGATGACGATTCAATTTCTTTCCCTTTTGTACATTTATGCTCGTATTTTCTTTTCAGGGACTCGGTAAATTGGCAACGAAATTTCCGACAATCGCGAATACATCGATATATTGCTTGCGAGACTTCCTCGTTACCCCATCGCCGATACTGTTCAAGTTGCACAAGCTTGAGCTAGAAAAAACCGGCAAGGAACATATGAAGGTCACACGTAAGTTATCACAATTTGCTATTTGACTAGTTTTAACTATTACAGTGTGATGATGAAAATTTCAGGCATTGTCTATCTCGCATGGCAACTGCTTCAACAGCCAAGCGACTAGTGCCTTGATAGATACGTTTTCGTTGCAGCATGTGTCAAATTGCGCAAGACAGCAGCAGTCTGGCGTTTTAATTCTTTCTCATACATCTGGCAATGTAAAAGTAAAAGAAACTCGGCTTCATTCATATACATAATAAATAAATACTTATTTACTGGGTTGCTCGACTAGTTTTATACTCCATAGTGGCCCTTATTCATTAGCATGGTTCACGAATTGTACGAAAAAGTATGTGTTTATAAATTTGTTACTTTGTTTTGATTTTAATTTTTACTTATTATTATTAAGTATTTACTAAGTATTCATACAAATTCATAATTTATAAAATTTTAGTTTTGAAAAAAAAAAAAAACAAAAATTTCCTCTTAGACGTTTTACTCAGTTGAAATTGCATTTTTTTTTTTAGGTTTTACGGACGCGGTGACAGCTGCGGACGTGTATTTTTAGTTCTCGTATTCATTTATCTTTTAAATTGTTAAAAACAAGTATATTTGGATTTCAAAAGTAATGATTCTGCTCCTTAAAGTGTAACCTTTAAAACTCTATATTTCATTATTCTGGATCTGAAATAGTTTTGATGTAGTGATTAAATTAAGTTATTCTAACCGTTAAATTCTACTCGACTTAGTGACCGTGAATTGTGCTAAGTGACCTTGTGAGTTTCAATGTCAATAATTGTTCAGTAATTACTCACAACCGCACTCACTGCGCTGTATATATATTTCATAATTTTGAAAAAGTTTCTTAAGTTGTCGCTGGCGCGGAGGTGCAAGCGCAAAGTGCGACATTGACGGAGGTTGCGGGTTCAAGTCTCGGAATTCATCCTTTGATTTTTTTTTTTTTTATTTTATTATTATTGTTGTTTTTTTTTTTTTGTTTTTTTTTTGTTTTTTACAATGTCGTCAGACAAAATACAATGTGCTGGATGCCTTAAATTAATTGAAAACAAGAGATATCTTTATTGTGGTGGATGTAATCAACACTTTGATTTGGATTGCGCAAATATATCCGAGCAGCGCTTTTATAACACCTTAACGAAGGAGCATAGAGATGCTTGGCGGTGTGTGATGTGTAAAAGCAGGCAACCTAAATTCGACAATACGAATACTCCTGTTCGAGCAGCAGTAGATGGTGTTACTGTGCAGCGCGGAGGAGCAGTTCCGGGCTCACCCTTGCATATGGATATTTCTCTGGCAGAGCAGTCAATATTAAATGATACCACTCCAAATACCACCAGCGAAATAACGGATATACAAGCGCTTACTATGGAGATACGTCTTTTTAGAGATGAAATGAAGTCGACACGGGCTCAGTTAAAAACTTTAAATGAGACATTGACTGCAATCTCAAGTAGAGTTAGTGCATGCGAGAGTCGTATGGATAAGATAGACGAATGCATTAATAGCTTGGAGAATCGGATGGGCAATATGTCCGGTGTGCAGCAATGTGACACATCACTTCTCGCTTCTATTAACGAGTTAAAAATGGACATCAACGATAGAGATCAAGATCTTTTATTAAACGATATAGAAATATCTTGTATTTCGGAGCAAAAAGAGGAAAGCCTGTCGCATGTTGTTACGACTCTCGCTGTTAAGCTGGGTGTTAATTTGTCCGATCAGGACATAGTGAGTGCGAGACGTGTGGGACGCATGGCAGAGTCTCTAGAAGTGAGTTCGGAGCGCCCTCGTCCTATTGTGGTACGACTGGCGCGCCGTGCTACCCGTGATCAGCTGCTACAGGCTGCGCGGGTACGCCGCGGTGCCACCACGGAAGGAACAGGGCTGCCGGGCGTACCGCGTCGCTTTTATGTAAATGAGAGGTTGACAAAGGTTAACAGACAACTATTTCGACGCGCACGGACTTTTTGTAATCAGTATAAATGGCGCTACGTGTGGACAAAGGAAGGCAGGATATATGTACGGCAATATCACGATAAAGGTTCTCCACGTTTGCGTTTGCGGACGGACGATGATTTTGTTCGAGTTTTTGGTCCGGAAGCGGTTCGCTCTATTTTTTAAATCTCTACGTTACACATATTTAGTACACTGCTGTAATTACATTTTCTTCGAAATTTCTAAAAATGTACAAAAAACATTATTATTTGTTTATAATCTATATTTTATTGTTATCAGTGTACAAAAGCTTGAGGTAGTGTTAGTTTTATTTCTTTTTTATGGTATTTTGTTACATTTATTGCATGCTTTAGTCAATTTTTTTACAATTTTGGAGTATATTTATTTATTGTTTAATAGCTTGAGTGGTTTTGTATATATTTTCCTTTTTTATACACATTGTACGGCTACTCCGCTATTTACATATAAAAGTAGGGTGAACCAGTGTGTCGCAGTGATAATATCCTATGATCTTGAACCGTTTGTATTGATACTACACATGTACCGATTATTGTTTTTTTACACCTTTTACTTATATTTTAATAGCTTACTATTTTCTTTTTTTTGCAATTATTTTGAAGTATGTGTTGTGTCTATTTATCTACTACTATTTATTACATTAATTAATACAAATTTAACAAAAATATATTTACAAATGTACAATTATGACTTATATATATATGCATGTGTATATGCGATGCCATGATGATGAAAAGTCAATTTTTTAAGTTAGCGCTATATAATGCGGGATCGTTGAACACAGGTCATGATGATTTCATTATTGCAATGAATCGTTTCGAACCGGATATTGTGGCGATAAACGAGACATGGTTGCCGGCAGGCCAGGAGGCGCGTGCCCCCACGGTGCCAGGGTACCGGCTAAGGAACACGCCGCGTCCGCAGTACATGCGTGGCGGTAGAGGGGGTGGTGTAGCTTTTTATGTTAAGCAAGGCATGCGCGTGCGCTATGTAAAGCATCCCAATGGAGGTATTGAGCAGATGTGGCTATCGACAATAGTAAATGGTTATCGTGTTATTGTAGGTACGGCGTATAGACCACAGTGGTTAAACGTAGACTTATTTATTGATGCATTAACCGAATCGGTAACATATTTTTCAAACTATGATCACGTTGTGCTGCTAGGTGATTTTAATATCAATTTACTCGATAGTTCGAATAACAGTGTAATTAAATTCAACCAATTTTTAAGCTGTATGGATCTTAAACAGATAGTGAATGAACCGACACATTTTTCAGTTGGTTCCGATACTTTAATTGATCTTGTATGTACAAATTGTAGGATCCGTGACATTTCTGTCACAAATATTACTGGTTCACTTGGTCATGCGATGATAAATGTTACTCTCACATTAAGGAAATCTAAAATTCCACCTAGATCTGTGACATATAGACCCATAAAAAATATAGACATAAATAAATTTAATGAGGACCTTCTTACACATGATTGGGCATCTGTTTCGTGTATGAGCACGGTTGATGATATGGTCGATAGATTTAATACGCTTATTATGTCCCTTTTCGACAGGCATGCTCCAATAATGACGAGAAAATTCAAACGTCATCAGTCACTTCCTTGGATAACTGATACAATTAAGTGCATGATTGACTTACGCAACAAAGCACATAATAAATATCGTAAGTCTAAATTAGAGAGGGACAAAAAATATTATAAAGACCTCAAAAATACAGTGTCTATGAGTATTGCTGCTGAGAAGAAAGCCTATTATAATCATTATATTAACTCTAATACGAGTAATAGTAAAGTGTTTTGGAAGAATTTGAGGGATAGAATATTAATAGATCCTTGTAAAAGTGATTATCTTCCTGACAGCTTTAACGACCCTAATAGTATTAATAAATATTTTCTAAAAGTGCCCGGACCTGAAACAGTCCTTATTTCACAGCTAACCTATTTTGAATTTCATCGGTTTAATACAACGACGCCTAGTTTTAGATTGGAACCTATCAGTTCAAATGATGTTGCCAAGTATATTTTGTCCATACAATCAAACGCAATTGGGACTGATGGTATTAGTCGAGACATGGTTTTGCTTACCCTACCACATACTCTCTCTATTATTACTGATATAATTAACAAATCAATTGTAACAGGTGTGGTTCCTCATCAGTGGAAAAAGGCATTAATTACTCCTCTTCCTAAAGTTGACCATCCAAAGGAATTTAAAGATCTGAGACCTATTAGTATATTGCCTTTTTTATCTAAAATCTTGGAAAAAGCCATATACTTTCAATTATTAAAATACATTGAAGTCAACAAGATACTGCCGCTTTTCCAGTCGGGGTTTCGAAAGGGCAGAGGCACTGTCACAACATTGCTTGATGTGACAGACAACATATTGGCTGCTCAAGATAATGGTCAAGGCTCTATATTAACTTTACTTGATTTTTCCCGCGCATTTGATAGTCTCAATATTTCATTATTACTCTCTAAATTGTCATATTATGGGTTTAATCATCACTCGATTAATTGGTTTAAGAGTTATTTAGGAGAGCGATTTCAGGCGGTTAAATTGCTGAAGGATGATGGTACTTGTATGATATCTTCCCCCAGGTTGGTGAAGCGTGGAGTTCCTCAAGGATCTATACTGGGCCCACTTCTATTTATTATATACAGTGCCGACCTCCCTAATGTTATTAAGAACTGTAACTATCATTGTTATGCGGACGATGTACAACTGTATATATCTAGAAGTCAAATTGGGATATCTAATGCCGTTCAGAAAATGAATGAAGATTTAGATCGCATCGCTGCATGGTCTAATAATAATGCTCTTGTTCTTAATCCTTTAAAATCAAAATATATGGTAATTGGCTCGAAAAATCAAATTGAGAAGGCATCGAATAATAATCTAGTTGTAAAGATCGGTGATACAAATATTGAACATGTTTGCGAGGCAAAGAACCTTGGTGTGCTTTTTGACAGTAATTTACGTTTTGAAAACTATGTGTTGGGTTTGGTCCGGAATTGCTTTTATCGACTTAAAATATTATACAAGATACGAAATTTGTTGTCAGAAAGATCACGAATTACACTCTGTGAATCTCTTGTATTATCCAGATTAAATTATGGTGATCTGGTCTACGGGCCTCGTCTCCTTTCTTCATCTCGTCGAATGATACAGAGGATTCAGAATGCGTGCTGTCGCTTTTGCTTTGTTGTTTCACCTCGTAGTCACATTACACCATATTTGAATGAAGCATCTATGTTGAACATGGACTCACGTAGACGATTGCATCTTGCTGTACTTATGTTTGATCTTGTGAAATTTAAATCCCCTGAATATCTATATAAAAAACTCAAATTTCCGACTTTCAACAATTATTATGGATGTAATGTGTCTCGATCAACGCGGCCCCCGTTGGCGGTTCATAACCATAGGACAGTCGCTTTTACCGGATGTTTTCGCCACCAGGCGACTAAATGCTGGAATAACATACCCCCTCCAATGAGACTAGCTGCATCCAAATCAATTTTTAAAAAGTTGATAAAGCAACATTTATTAAATAAGCAAACATTTGGATTAGTTGCCTGGTAGCGACTGCTTTTAACATAATTACTGTGGTGAATTATTATTTGTATATGTTAAAAATTATGTTTAATTAATTAATGAAATATATTATTTATGCATCATCTATATAAGTATGTATCTATATAATATAATTTTACCTTTTGCTATTAAATTGGTTACACAGGTCAAAATAAAAGGTTAAATTGGTAACACTCTGGGTTTGTTGCACGCGTCCGTGTAGCCTTACTTCAGGTTGCAGCTGAAAATCAGTGCTTTGCTTTTAAGCAAAGGTATCACTGAGCTGTAGCCTTTTTGGGTCACTGCGACACACTTGCTGAAAACATATCTCCAATATTAATTTTTTTGTTTTATATGTTGTTTTATATTTGAAAAAATGTAAATAATCAAATTGTTTCATTTTATTTATTAATTTACGTGTGTTAAATGGCTCAAATAAAGTGTTTATCTATCTATCTATCTATCTATCATTTCGAATGGGCAATAAAATGTATAAATTTAATTTTTTGGAATAATATTATTTTTTTTTTTCAATTGTTTCTGTTTGTCTGGGAGGGCTAATGAAATTAGACAAAATTGATTAAATTTTGCAATAAGAGATGCGAACATTGCATATTTAAGATCCAAGAGGTATTAAAGAGTTAGCTTTAAAAAGGCATATTATGTGTTTTTAGACTTGTCTTTATGTAAGCTAAAAGTTCAACTCGAATCCTGAGATGGACAAGACACACCAGAACTATAGAAGATCTTTAAATGTTTTACATCTATTACAGTACAGGGAAAAGAACTCCAAGGTCTGACATCAACGGGTGTACCAGTGAAGTCGACACCGTTCGAGAAACTTCGAGACGCCGCCATTGAAAATTTGTGCGTGGCACTCGAAGCAGCACTCACAGTAGATTTGTTCTGCGTTCCCGCGCTCGTGGGTTCTGTCAGCAACCGACTGTTTACCGCTGAAACTAGTGACAGGTGAAAATATTTGTCATATCTTTTTCTGTCATGAAGTTGGGGAAATACCCGAAAAATTACTCCTCTTCTTACAAGGGTTGCCTGGAAGAGATCGCTTTTAGTGATAAGGTCACCCAGTGTATTCTCAGTGTGAATGTCTCAGTTTATTAAATACAACAATTGTTTTTCATGGAAATGTACGCGTTCATAAATTTTCCCGCTATATAGTTATTTTTTACTCGAGAAGTTTACCGGATACTTTATATAATATATTAGACTATGTCTTAAAATATTTATGTTTTATAATCCGCTCTCTCGCTCTCTCTCTCTCTCTCTCTCTCTCTCTCTCTCTCTCTCTCTCTCTCTATCTCTCTCTCTCTCTCTCTCTCCCCATTCTCTAGCTCCCTGTCTTTCTCTCTAGCTTTCTTTCTTTCTCGTTGTCTCATTATAATTGTATCATTTAATAAGTAAAATATGGTTTTGCAGTGAATCGTCGCTGATCAGTACAAATATCGTTATCATGTTGGGTCACGTCGCCGTCGCGCTCAAGGATACGCCCAAAACTACGGACACTATTTTGCAGTTTTTCCAGCAACGGTAATCATTTTATAATAAATATTACTTCCAAATAATTATTATAGACGTGTTCATCGCCATTACGCTATTGGTTTCTCGTTATTTAAGACATAAGATTATAACTTACAATTTATATCTCGGTAATGATAGTCACAGGTATAACAATTTCGTCTGTTTGGTAACGTTTGCTGACCTTAACAACACCACGGACAACGCAGTATATACTGTGACATCCGTAGAGCTCAGAATCAAATTTATCTTTATTCAAATACACTTGTTAACAGGCAAATTTTAATTGTAATTTTTAATAAATGCGGGATTCGGAAAGATGTTATCTGTTGAGAAGAGCTCGCAAGAAACCCAACAGTTACTCTTTTAAATCTCTGCTAACAATATGTGTATTTATTTAAATGTTATATGTCTAAAATTACATGGTCGTTAAAAGCCCGTACATGATCGACTAACACCATGCACATTTGTCATAACATAACCGTTAAGTGTATAATAGGCTTTGTTCAATAAGTGTTTAACAGTTTTAAATTTAATAAAAAGTAGACCCTAAATATCCTTCGGTATCTCATTAGAATATTTAATGCCCGTTCCAAAAAAGACCTACTACTTAATACTCGTAGGTCTTTTTTGAAATGGGTCTTTTCTAAACGATATTTTGAAACAGCAAGTTTGAATTTGTTTTAAATCTAGTGTTAAGATTATTGAGATCGCTGTTTTTAATCGTACCAATATGCGTTATCTGTTAAAATATATGTAACAGGCTATGCCGCTCCCCATCGTCGTTGGACACGCTGATAGTGGACCAGCTGGGCTGCATGGCGCTGGCCAGCCCCGAGGGGCCCGCCCACGATGAGATCATGCGAATGTTTACAGTCATCACCGTGGAGGCAGCCAGCGCCGCCTACCATCACACCGATGATAAGAAGCAGTACAGGTATAAAACGAAAGCATTGTCTTTTATATTTCTTTACTTAGTTGTTTACTGGGAAGAAAGGGTTTATTGATAATGGGGTCTAATAATCCCATTGATAACAGTATGTATGTTAGATCAATCTCCTAGGGGAACCAATGTGGTTTTTTTTAATGGGTGATAATGGAATGGTAACCCCACCCGTGTTAACGGTATTCACCCACGGGGCACCAGTGAAGTATGATAGGTGAGGATGAAGCAGGTCAGTTAGCCCATCGTGACGAATTCAACAAGAATTGTTAATGATGGTTTCCAGGGGGAATCATGTGGAAGTCGATCTAATAGGGCATATTGCTAGCAATGGGGCTGTCAAACTTTATTGCTAATAATCCCTTTCCCCCCGAACCAATGTGGTTTATTCCTGGTGAAGTCGTTATGATAAGCCAATTGATCTGCTTTCGCCCTCATCTTTCATTTTTTCCAGGCATGTATCCGGCGCAGTACTGAACGCGCTCGCGAACATAGCGGCGAATGTTCGCGGCACGAACGCTCGTTTGGAACTGCTCACTCGTCTGCTCGAGTTGTTCGTGCAGTTGGGGCTCGGCGGCGAACGCGCCACGGACCGCTCGCCCGCGCCCGTTCTCAAGGCGTCCGGTAGTGCGGGCAATCTTGGCGTACTAATACCCGTGATTGCGGTACGTAATTATATATTATTACTATATGTTATTAATGTTTTCTCTCACGAACGCTTAGGTTATGCAATGAGCTCCCTGTCGAGGTTTTTCCAAGAGACTACAGCATGGGGTCCTTCAAAAAAGAGTTAAAGAGGTTTCTTTAGGGTCAGCTACACGCGCGTAATGCTCCTGATATTGCATGAGTTCATAGGCTACAGTAACCACTTACCATCAGGTGGGCCGTATGATAGTTTACCACCTCAATGGTATAAAAAATTACACGGAGATTTTCGCCAATGAACTTCTAACAGTGCATACGTCAAAATTTGGCAAGTAACGAAAAAGCAGAGAAATTGAATTAAGTCTCTATTCTCTTTCCATTGTAAATTTTTAATAAGATTTTCAATGTATACAATTGTTTAAACTAAAACTTTTTGATTCAGGCGATGGACACAGCTCTTAATAATCGATTCAAATTAAAACATGAAAATTGCAAAAAATATACTTTCGCCTTGTTAGAACTTCACCGATGTTACCACCATCTCTTTTTTTATACCACTGAGGTGGCAAATTAGCAGAGATATAATTATTTTATCTCTCAAGTTGGAGTAAAAGTACACATTTACGTAATTCACTGTTTGTATTGTGACTTCACATTTATCGGTCTTCATATTTATCAGCCATTAACAGTCCACTGCTCAACATAAGCTTCCCCCTTTAAGGGGGACTTTGGCAATAGTTGCCACGCTTTCAGGCGGTTTTTTTTTTATACAACTTCGAATGGCAAACAAGCTGACGGCCCACATGATGGAAAGTGGTAACCGTCGCCTATAGACATGAGCAGTACCATGGACATAACAGAGTATACTATTTCGTCCATGATACCCCACATGCGTTGCCATTCCTGAGGACTCAAGTGTTATTCCTCTGTACCCAGTAAATTCACGCCATATCCCACCCTTCAAACCGAAACACAGCCATGCAAACACAACTGCTTCACGGTAGAAACATGAATGGGACAGAGGTACTCAAGCAATCGACTTTTGGACAAGTCTCCCTCTGGTGACAACGGCAGTTAGGCTTCGGTAATTTTTTAAAAAGGACGCTGCAGATATCTCCATCATTAAGTTCCCTTAGTCGCCTCTTATGACATCTACGGGACAAAGGGGTAACCCATTCTATGCTGGGACCACACGGCAATCAACCAAAATCACTATTATATCTTATAATTTACATTTCCTTTTTCAGGTTTTAGTCAAAAGGTTACCACCAATAAAACATCCAAAACCCAGACTTCACAAACTGTTCAAAGACTTCTGGCTATATTGCGTAGTCATGGGTTTTACTGCTGCCGATTCAGGTATATATTTTATCTGATATTTATATTTATTAATTATATTTATATTTTATATATAAATGTACCGAATAAATACTTTTTAATAATAGCTCTAATTCTTAGAATACGGAACGAATCAAAAAACGTGACACTTATGGACTCTAAATGCGAACTGTTGTTAAATCTTCTTTATGATTCTGATATCCTAGTACTTTGTGAGAAATCAATTTGTTATTAAAGGAATTTTGGAATTTTGAAATTAAAAAAAATATTTTTGTTATGTAAAAGGAAAATAGAACTAAAAATTCTTGACACTAGAGGGCGACACCCTCATTATATACGTATATATTTGATATGTAGCAAAAAAAAGTGTTTTTACCGGTTTTTATCCGCGTTTTTAAAATCCGTAAAAAGCTTACACGTTACATTTTTAAGCGATTTATAAATAAATCTGAATTGGATGGTGTTTTTAATTTTTCTAAACATTCCGTTCCGTATTCTGAACTTTAACTCCATAATATTAAAATTCAATGAGCACTTCTATACTTCTTTATGTAAATATTATAAACATAATATTATTTGTATAGATTTATTTAAACGTCTTGTTGTCTCTTCTTCTATGGCCACGCCTATAGCCATGCGAAAGCGTGAGTAAAGATGCTTTTAGAGTTTAGATGAATGTTGTTTTGTTATAATATTTATTTTGTTGTCTATGGTGTTATATTTACCAAACTACATATCAAGAAATATAAGTATTTTATAAAGCAATGAAAAGAAAATATTTTTCCATATTATAAAAACACTATAATATTTTTAATACCAAAACTACTATTCTACCAAATTATTCTACCAAAATTTACTAATACGAAAATTTTTTAAAATAAATTGAAAGTACAAGGACTCTTACTTATAAAATTGAATTGCAATTTATATCTACTACTGTTACAGGTTTTTGTATTTTATGTAGGAAAAATTATTAATTCACCCTTGCGCCACTTGCCCATTTCTATCTGTTCTGCTTTAACCAAAGGTTGTCTGTAAGAGATTGCCCTAGCGATAAGACCGCCTTTTGTACCTTTATGTGTATATTTCAATCTGTATTTATGTTACTGTATTTCACTTGAATTATTCACTTGTCATTGTATATTTTTATTTATGGTGCAATAAAGAGTTAAATAAATAAATACTAATAATTTCCAGCATTAACATAGTTTATAAAAATAGCATAGTCAAAGGAACTCTTTCCTACCAATTTTCTAATGGAAGCATTTCAAACTGTAATCGTTGGGGATATTTCACAGGTGTTGGCCCATTGGTTGTTTTTTACATTGATATATTGGGTAATATGCGTGTATTTTTAATATAACTAATTTCAGAAAAGAGTAATTTATTATACTTTTTTTCTGCATACACTATGTTATGTGAATGGTTTTCGGTCACCCACGTTTTGGTCCCATATAAAAGTTGTCCAACTTGAAGTCGGTTATTTAAAGATTAAGAGTTAGGTGACTATAACGCCATGATATTGCCAAGTATATAATTCTGAAGCGATGTTGGTTGAGTGAATACAAATATTTGAACAAACATTTGACAGTTTGTAGTGTGTGTTTTATTACATTTTGTTTTGTTGAGACCGTGCTTATAGGTCGAGTGTAGTATGCGTTGTTAGTACAGATAGCAACGAAAGTTGTTGAACACATTAATACAATTTTGTCTTTATATTTATTTATTTATATGCTTATATAAATAAATAAATATTTTTTTATATTTATTTGGGATCAGCACGATATGTCTCCTTTTTTCTACGAGATTCTAAAATCACTAATATAATATTAAAACTGTGTCTTCAACTTTAGTTGCTAACTATATCAATATGTTGATTGAGTATTAAGAGATATTATATTTTAAGCGGTGATTTGTTATCGTTATATAAACTGCTTAAGAGGTTTAATATCTCATCATCTCGGCCGTTATCTGTCCACTACTGAGCATAGGCCTCTCCCTTAGACTGCCATAAAGAGCTGTCCTGAGCCATCTACACCCAAACTTATAAATGACGTACAATTCATAACTAGCATAAGTCTTATGATTTGTATAAATATACTTATTCATTCGTATCAATCTTGAACTGTCCACTGCTGAACATGAGCCTTCCCTTGGAGGGGCGGGAGGGAGGGGGGTCAGTGGTTGCCACTCTTGGCAGGCGGATTGGCAGTTTCCATCAGGTAGCCATCAGCTTGTTTGCCATTTTAAGTTGCAAAAAAACCTACCGCTTCAAATATAGATTTCTTGTATTCAATGACTATAGACATGTTGCAAACGTTTCTATTAAAACAAACGCTAACGCTTTAGATTGGTGGAAAAAAAATATCTCTCTCACCTACGTAATCGCTAATGTATGCATAAGATGAAACGAGACAGCGATATCCGGCATTTTGTTGTGAAAGAAAAATGTTCTTTCACATGCGTGCGTTAACGAAAACGTATCTATCGATCAAGTAGTTCGTTATTTGTCTATGTGGTATATTAGATTTGTTAGATGTTGTATTCTATGTTCATAAAGATCATATCAGCAAAGCGTTTGCGTGGAATAGAAAAAAAAATTGTATTGCATATTGTCTAGGATATTCAATCAGGTTTTTTATATGTAGGAATTTGTTTAGAGATTGCTTTTTGAGTGATTTTATGAGTGAACATTTTGTTTTCATTAATTGTTTATATGCCATTACAACGCATATTAAATTGTTACAAAATAATATTAAGATATTGTGTATTTTATGAAATTTATCAATGACATTCGTAATTGATGTATCTTTATTGCCAAGAGATGTCTTAATAAATAAATAAAAAAATATGAAGTAAATATACAAGCAAAAATGGGAAATAATGGCGACCTCTTTACCAATGGTCTACCACTCAAATTGAACATTTTTTTTTGGAAAGAGGGTAACAGTTTAGAAATACAAAAAAAAATTAAGTTCTCATTTAACAGAGATGTTGGTAGTCTTGCAAAATAAACGTCTTTAAACTACGTATATATATATGTTCTTATAAAACGAAATATATTGAAAGTGTTCCATCCATGTATACCAATGATTCACAGGTCTATGGCCCCAAGAATGGTACACGGGTGTGAAAGAGATAGCTGTCAAATCACCCTACCTCGTCTCCCAGACGTCGCTGCGTTCAGAAATGCGCGAATTACAATACACGTCAGCTGTGAGGAATGATTCCGTGTCCTTGAATGAACTTCAGGAGTTGAAAACACAAATATTGAATTTACTGGATCACCCGCCAGATGTCACTGTTATGGTGAATAAGTTGACGTTCGCGCCTTGTATGTACCTACTTAGCGTGTACTGGTTAGAGACATTGAGGTAATTATATAGTTATTTAATACTTTAGTAATGTACCGCGGTTTTCGTCGCGTGTAATGGAATAAAAAGTACTTTGTTTTAGTACAGGGTTGTCTAGTCCATATTTCATTCAAATCCATTCAGTCGTTTAACCGTGAATAGGTAAGAAGTTTCCAAACATGTTTTACATTTGGTTGTGTTTTGGTTAGAAATGCTGGATAATAACTGTCCACTGCTGAACATAAGCCTCCCCCTTGGGGGGTTTTGTTAGTTGTTGCCACGTTTGCCAGATGGATTGACAACCGCAGTTAGGTTTGCCCTATCCCTCGCCGTCTCTTAGTCGCCCTTTATGTTGCTTACTGGTATATTTTATGCCGGGACCACATGACTAAAGTGTTAGATATGACGGTGAAATAACAGAATACAATAGAATAATAACAAATCACTCAAAAATGGCAACACATAAGGGCCTTGTCATATATTGTCATAATATCATGGAATACTTACAGCAGAATGCTATAAGTATTGCCAGTTAAATTTAGAGAAAAATAGAAATATTACAGTTAATTTATTACGAGTAGGTGGTAAATTATTTGACTGTGAATAATTAATTAGAATATTTTTTTTTAGAGTATGCAACTCGCCAGAACCAAGTTTGCAACCGATTATAGAATATTTAAGTGATACAGCACTCCAAAAAGACAAGAGCGGCATGTGGCAATGTGTTGCCAGGTATGTGATTAAGTTTAAAAATATATATATTTTTTACATGGAATAAAGAACAGGTAAAGCCAAATTCCTATAAGAATTCATAATTGTTTCTAGTAGTGGGATTTAATTGGAATTTTATGGGAGTAAGGGATTGTTAGTAACAGCCACTATATGGGTTTTATTGTTAGTAATATATTCTCAAGATTCTCAGTATCCATTACTAACAATCCCTTTCCTTCCCAGTGAGAAATGTTAGGTGAGGATGAGGTCAGGTCTTTGGTCCATTGTGATGAATTTACCAAGAATTAACCAAATTGAATTGAAAAAAAAAGACAATTCATATAACGATGTATATCATTGCAATGATGATGCAAAGATCCAATATACAAGACCCTTCCCTTCCCCTTCCTATATAGTTATGCCAATAAAGCCAATTTGTAACAGTGTTGGTGACAAAGTATTCCAAAAGTTTCTGGACGTGATGTCTGACAAAGTGAAGGACGAGTCAAGAGAACGGGAACTGGAGGGCCACGCACAGTTCCTGCTCGTCAACTTTAATCACATACACAAGCAGATCAGACGGGTGGCCGACAAGTGGCTCGCCGGACTGGTTGATAGGTTTCCTCACCTTCTATGGAACTGTCGGGTACGTCATGATTTAAGTACTGGGTCGCCGATCATTAGTCACTGAATTAACGGTCAATATGAACCGTCTACTAAGTGTGGACTATCACATAAAAATGTGTAACACGGTGTTGCTGATCTTCAATCGACGGAAACACAGAACACCAATGACCGAAAAGCTGCTCGACGCAAGCAATCCGCGATATTATGGCGATGTAATGATTGATCTTTCTCCTGGTGTGACCGAGAGTACCCAAAAACTATTCAATTTTGTGTAACAGCGTTCTGTCGCGGATAATCGGCTACCGAGAATCGGGCTAATATGTTTTCTAGTCTCATGTTTATATGTTTTATGTTTTGTCGTATCGGTTTTTAATGTTTTTGGAACTATCAAATGACAACTTTTTACTTTACTCAGACTAGAAGTTTTTGTCACATGTCAATATTTAATTGTTTTGTATTTTTATATCTGTTCATTGACTTTTGCCGGTGACTGTACAAATTGTACTTAATTTGAGACTAGATGGCGTTGTGTAATAAGTATTAAATAAATTACTACAATTAATAAGTATTTAATAAATTATTTGTCTTCATCGCTATAATCATAATTATTTATCTATGTTATACTTTATATAGGTGCTCTGGTCTATGCTTGACATTCTTCAAGTGCTCAGCTTTAGTCTTGAACTAGACGCCAACCAGGAAACGCCGCTGCTTAAAGTCCCAGGCACCGATTTCACCTTGCAATTACAAGATACGTTGGAGGGTAGAGAGGTAATTGAAATTTAATTTTATGTTTATTAATTAAGGATTATTTTTGATTGTCAATGCCATAAATTCAGGATTAAATAATTAATTTTTATTATTACTAATTGCCCGTCCCGATTTTGCACAATTTAAGGCTCTAATTTCTTTCCAGTTTTTTTAACCAAGTTTCATTAGATAGAATTTTTTCAATTCGTGCTAAAGATTGTAATTTCGCTCTGTATATAATGTTAAAATAATATTGTTGACAGTCCATTGTAAAAGACTTCGCGGATCGTTGTTACGGTATAGTACAAGAGGCGATGAAGTGGGCGCCACAGTCTACACGATCGCATTTGCAAGAATATTTAAACCAGGTATGTGTTTAACGAAAAAAAAAGTTGTCCTAGCTCTTTTTTCCTAAATGTTTGAATTATTATTTATTTAATTGTTTGGTGTTATAAATATGCAATATCTATATATTGTAGTTACAATATCTATACATATATTGGCCCAATAATAGATATATTAGATATTGGTTATCCAATATTAATGACGAAAAGAAGAACCCGCTTGTAATCAATATACATATCCGACTGGAATATCCAGAAGAACTTAATATATAGATATCGGATATTACTCATCTCTAATTATTAATCATTCTTGTTTGAATGAAAAAAATATTCATTAAATACGTTTCATTAGCTGTGGTCAATTAACGTTTAGAAATCCTCGGAACGGTGAGGTCGCTCCGTGAGGCCTGTGAAGATCCCAGAAAGCTTCTGTGCTTCTGTGCAGAGCTGGGTTGGCTGTACTAGCCACGACTCATACGCATAACGGCCCAAATGAGAGGCTAAGCGCGGAAAATAGAGTCCTATTTACATTACATTACGTTTCATTATGTAACGTTCATTTATGCGATACTTTTTAATTTTTTTTTTTTTATTTTTTTTTTATACAACATAGAATGACAAACAAGCTAAAGGCTCACCTGATGGAAAGTGGTAACCGTCGCCTATAGACAATTTGTAAAGTCTAAACTGATTTGCGTATTTTTGTAAATTTTGTAAATCAAACGAGTATCCCATAAGGTCCCCAACTCGACGCTGTGGCACCACTGCGGGCTGGCGCTGGCGACTGGTGCGCTGCTGGGCGCGGCGGGGCTCAACCGCATGTCGGCGCCGCTGGCTCGCGCCGCGCTCGACAAGCGGCCGCCCTGCGTCACGCACGACTCCGCCGCCCTACTCGCCGTCGTCTCGCAGCGCAGCCGCTACGCCGGCGAGGTGAGGTCCAGCTGCTCTCTCATGTATAACAAAATGAGCAATATAGTGTTGCCGATCTTCCGTCGACCGATGATCGGCGCGCGTACTGTTTAAAGACACAAAATGGATGTTTTTAAAAAAAGAAACTGTATTCCCTTTTTATATATTTTTTTTATACAACTTAGAATGGCAAGCAAGCTAAACAATCCACCTGATGGAAAGTGATAACCGTCGCCTATAGACATGAGCAGTACCATGGACATAACAGTGTATACTGTTTCGCCCATGATACCCCCATGCGTTGCTATTCTTGAGGACTCGGGTGTTATTCCTCTGTACCCAGTAAATTCACGCCATATCCCACCCTTAAAACCGAAACACAGCCATGCAAACACAACTGCTTCACGGTTGAAATACGAATGGGACTACAAATTGATAATTTAGTGCAAAAATTGAAAGAGAAAACTTGACGTTTTTATAATTAAGGGGGGGGGGGTTGATCTTAAGTACATAGATAATATTATTACCTGATAAAGCCCAAAATGAAATCCTAAAAGAACCAAAGTAACATATAAAATTTAAAATAATAGTGAAGTGCCATGGATTTTCCATATAGCTTAAAGAACTGACAACATACGGGGAAGAAAGTCTGGTGAATATTGCGTCCCTCTCCCCAATTAAATGTAACGACTACCTTAAATGTATATGTAGCCAGTGAATGCAAGTGACGTAGACTAGATCTTAAAAACCATAATAAATCGCTGAAATAATTGTGATATATATTAATAAAATATTTAAATATAAAAAAGTGCAACATCTAGTTGAAGCAGCGAGGTGATCGTATAAACTGTTCTAGATTACTGGTGCCGTATACGCCGAAGGTGGCGGCGAGGCGGCGCTGTGGCGCGTGGGCGGGCGGCTGCATACAGCGCTGCGGGAAGCTTGCAGCGGCGGCAGCGAGACGGCGCACCGCGCTGCACTGTGGCGAGCCACGGCGTTGCTTGCGCATGCGCGTCAGCAGCCCGCGCAGCCCGCCGCCGCGCCCGTCGCCCGCGCCCTGCTTCACTCCGTCGGTGAGTGCTTGTCTAAACTCCAAGGACAGCGGTACAGTGATGGCGAGCTCCTACACTCTGCAGTGCTGTTATACAACATATGACATACAACCTTTTCCGAAGAGGCTATTTATTTAATTATTATTTAAATATATATAATTTTAAAAAAAATATTGACATAAAAAATATGGTACTAATAGCGGAGTTAATAATAAATAATAATGTATACATAAATAACATAAAATTATGTTGTATATATAATATATATACAACAAGATAAATGACAATTTACATGAAAAGGTTTGCTGGAAAAAATCTCTTATTAGAGATAAGCTCGCCTTTGTACATTATGTTTATAATGAATTGTGGTTAACATTATATTTTGTGTACAATAAAGAATAAATAATGTAAATAATATATAAATAAATAAAATATAAAAGATGATCATTAGCTACTATTGTTATAATGTGTATAGTATTGGACTTGGCGTACAAATAGGCGTAAAAATTATGTGTAACTCTACGATGGGCTATTTGTATGTCAAATTTACTCAAATTGATTCAGCCATTTAAGTGTAAGTACCAAAAATATAGATATTCAAACATACACCTCCTCCAATTACCTTATATAATTTACAAACTCCCATTTATTTTATAGCGTGGTCCCAAGTGGAGATCTTCACAGAAGACGCAGTGACCACAGCGGTCGAATGCTGGCAGTGGCTGACGACCGCCCGACCCGATCTTGAACTCAGGCTCTTACAAGAGATATTCGCAGCGTGGCAGTGCACCGTCGATAGGAAAATGGGACTCTTCTCCAAACAGGTCGAAGAGACCAGCCCGCTTGCTGCTTATGAAGGTAATCAGGATTTTTGTTTCTATTGTAACACCAGCTATACTTGCATGGTTGTATTTCTGTTTCAAGGCTGGGATATGTCAATGAAATTACAGGGTAGCATAACATCTAAACTCACGAATGTTACCGTACGCATGAGAAATACCATGAGCGTTACGGTGTATTCTGTCATTTTAATGGTGCTGTTTATGTCCATTAGTAAGCAGTTACCATTTGCTCTAAGGGGGGTCGTCAACTTATTTGCCATTATATGTTAATGGTATAATAAACAAACAGATGTGTGGTGGCAACTCAGTTGAACAATTTTTGACTGCAGTTCGGATGCCGTAAGATCAAATCTCAAGCCTTTGAATTTTCAAATTTATATTTTAATCAATTAAAAATGATTGTCACTGATGAATGATTGATATTGATTACGTACTTTGGACACGCGTAAAGCTACCGAAGGCGGCCTAAACAAAAGCAACTTAGAAACTTTTCACTAGAGGGCGCTATCCTCACATGAGTAGTAGCAGTAGTGGTAGTGTCACATTTATTTGTCATATTTACCTCCCAGGAGCGAAATTAGAACCTCGCCCGCCATTCGTTGCACCGCACGCGGTCTGGGTTCGATACTTGTGCGAAGTTGCGGAAACAGCGAAATACAACAGTTTAGAGAAAGTAGAGATGTTGGCCAGTCTACTCCACAGGTATGTAACTAGCCTTACGTTATTATTTCTAAATCTACTGCATAAATTTTGAACTTTATTTAATTAGAAGTATGGTTCTAAATTATACTAATTTGTAGAAAATCACTCAATAACATGGGATCTTTATTTGTGAACCTTTCGCATCAATATTGAACTTTGTTTTGTTAGAAAAAGGATAGCAAAAAGGTAATTGCAAATTTGCTTTTATTCTGTATTTTTTTTTGCATCAATATTAAGTCTTATTCCATTAAAAATACGATTTTACTTTCGACCTTTATGCAGACTATTATAGTGAGATATTTATCTGTGAATCTGTTTTGTCAATATTACACTTTATTTCATTAGAAATATGGTTTAAAATTGGACAACTGTGTAGCATATTTATCTATGAACCTATTGCATCACTATTAGACTTATTGCAATAGAAATATGATTTAAAATTCGTCAATTTTTCAGGACGTTGCCCATTACCGTAGGTGACGTAAGAGACCATATAAATCGACACGTTGAAGCTGTTGGCGTTCGATTTAAGTGAGTACATTTTACATTATATAAATTTGTTATTACTAATCAATTTTATTTCAATAAAACAAGGAATAGCTTCAATTGCTTAAAACAAGTAGTATAAAGAAGCACTTATAGTGAAACAGTTGCCGGTATAATTTTTTTTTGTTGATCGTTTCAAGTAGTGTGATCGCATATCATAAATATCATATTCATATAAAAAAGTCATTCGATTTTTACTACTCTTTTTACTTTTTTCCCACATTCTCAATATGACAGTAATGGAGATTGCTGGACAATGTTTTTAATCAAATTATTGGACTACATTAAAGTATTAGTGCGTTTTTTTAACAATACAGACATAAATTACGTATTTCATTAAATTATTGGGCACTATTACAATATGTTGTATTGACACTATAATGTACCATTTTATCGTTACGATATAGGTAATATCGTCACGATATAATGCTGTGACTATATGGAGACACTCTTTAATTTTTTTTTATCGTAATACTAAAGACTAACTTGTACAGAAATTTAAACCTGTCATCTTGAATTGTGATATCGTGACGGTAAAATCGTACGATATAGTACCATGCTACTAAATTATAGAAGTTATTACCAGTAGGTAAACGACGCTTCTATAGATCGTTATATATATCGTGAACTGCTTCACGATATATATAACGATATATAGATATATAGTGTTTGCATGGCTGCGTTTCGGTTTGAAGGGTGGGATATGGCGTGAATTTACTGGGTACAGAGGAATAACACCTGAGTCCTCAGGAATGGCAACGCATGGGTATCATGGGCGAAACAGTATACTCTGTTATGTCCATGGTACTGCTCATGTCTATAGGCGACTGTTACCACTTTCCATCAGGTGGGCCGTCAGCTTGTTTGCCATTCTAAGTTGTATAAAAAAAATCTTTAATTCGTTAATGTGTATATTTCATATTCGCAGACTGCTATCCTGTGGCCTGTCTCTCCTCCAAGGTGACATCCTCCCCCGTTCGCTAGCAAGGAACATCCTGCGAGAGCGGGTTTACAGCGCCTGTTTGGACTATTTCTGCAGGGGGCTCCAGTGTCCAGCGAAAACATCAGGAGCGTTGAGAGAGGATATCATATCCTTGATCAAGTTCTGGCAGTTGATGCATTCTGATAAGAAGTATTTGAAGAGCAGTGATATTGGGGGTAGGTATTTATATTTATCTATTGATTTTATGAGTTAGCTATGTCTTACTAACTAGGTATGGGTAATATGGAAACGGGGGGGGGGGGGGGGGGTAATAGAGACTTAGAATCCCATTGCTAGCAATATACCCAACCAGATCGACCGCCTCGCGGGTGTCCCTGGAATCTATCATGGTTAATTCCTGATGAATTCATCATGATGGGCTAACTGGCCTGTTTTCATTCTCGTCTATCACCCTTCACTGGTGCTCCGCCAGCGTATCCCGTTAGCGCAGGCGGGGTTACCATACCATTTTCACCCATCAAAAAAAATATGGATACCGATTTGACATATATTGGGTTTCTTTGGACAATGATGACGGAAAAAAGGTTATCGCCTATTTCGATATCGCACATATCGGTCGGATATCAATGTCTACCTTTGTCGACTCAATTTGCTTGGGAAAAATTTAAAGTATTGAAAAAAATATCAATTATTTATTACTAAGCTACATACGTTTTCAGAATTCGAGTTAATGCGCGGACCGAGCAGCCAACAAAGTTTATACACGTCCAACTCGCCGACCGACAATCGTTCGTCCGTGAACAGCAGCGACATCGGAAACCGTCAGACAACCGGGTGGATTAATACGGTAAGGGTTATGTATTTTTTTTTTTAATATACACGCTACATACACCAACTACAGACGTACACAACATTTTCTTAAGTCATCGATTACATGTTAACAAAACTGACGCCAACAAAACAATAAAAAAAAAAAAACATACAACATAAGAATAATTTTTTTATTAGGTGCCAATGTCGACGACTACGCTGAGCAGTGGCGCGGGCAGCGTTGCGGGCAAGCGGTCCAACCGCAGCGTGAAGCCGCCCGCCAAATCGCAGGACACTTTCGTCAAGGATTACGTCAGGAAGAGGAATCTCATACTCGAGCTGATGGTGAGCTCAATAATTTATTATTTACTTACTGTATCCCGCGACTTTACCTGCGTGATTTGGTACATAGTGTCCTATGTGCTAAGTGAGTATATAACTACCTGTATACGAAATTTCATTCAAATCCGTTCAGTAGCGTGAATTAATTAGTTTTAGAGTAAATTAATCCATCGTTACAAAGTTTCGTGTTTATTATATTAATATAATTTAAATTAGGTATTATAAATACTATACTTATTTTATGTTATATAAAATTTAGTCCATGGGGAATGTTAATGTAAATAATGAAAATTATACTTATTGTAACATCTATACACTTACTATGTTTCTTGTAAATAAATAAATAAATAAAAATAAATAAATTAAATTGTAATAATCCCTACCACCAGGATGAGTGGCGGTCTTTCACAGTGTATTTTTCAAGGCCATTTCTTCCACGCACAATTACGCTTCGGAATCAATTTACTGATACGACATTATAACCTTAAAAAAAGAGCATTTTTTTTAATGGGAATGTTAATGTAAATAATGAAAATTATACTTATTGTAACATCTATACACTTACTATGTTTCTTGTAAATAAATAAATAAATAAAAATAAATAAATTAAATTGTAATAATCCCTACCACCAGGATGAGTGGCGGTCTTTCACAGTGTATTTTTCAAGGCCATTTCTTCCACGCACAATTACGCTTCGGAATCAATTTACTGATACGACATTATAACCTTAAAAAAAGAGCATTTTTTTTAAAAAGCAATACGCTGCCGGCTTTTTAAAAAAAATGCTCTTTTTTTAAGGTCATGATCATGATGATGATGTTACCTAATGAATGCCTTAACAATTTAACAAATAGTCAAGAGATTTGATATACGTGTGTGATACGTGATATACACAAGATGTGTATATATATATATATATATATATATATATATATATATATATATATATAATAATAATAATGAGTAGGGATAATATTTATATTATTATATGTATCACATCTCCCATATTTAGAACTAACAAAATTTTTCATCGTGCCTCCTACCAAATTGTTTATAATTACTCCTCTTTATCCAAAGGTTGCCTGGAAGAGATCGCTCTTAGCGATAAGGTCGCCCATTGTTTTCTCATTGTGATTATTTCTTGTAATTATTTATATTTATAATAAGTTTACTATTGTAATCTTCTGGAGGAAACAATAAAGAGTATCTATCTACACATTCTCTTTGAGATGACGAGAGACATAGGTACTATTTATTAACATACTATTTATTCCCGTTATGTCTCGGTAATGTAGACAAAGTCGTGGATAAAACTAAACAAATAGAAAAATGTAACATTTTGTAGGCAGTGGAGATTGAATTCCTTGTTACGTGGCACAACCCTCACGGTCGACCCGAGCAGGCAATACCGGGCGAGGACAACATAGCCACGTGGCGCTCCAAGCCCAACACGGACCGCACGTGGCGCGACTACGCGAAGCTCGCGTGGGACATCAGTCCCACATTAGCCGTCTTCTTGCCTGAGAGGTATGTTGTACCCTAGTAAGGCAAGTAAATTTTAACTATACAACAACAGAGTTGATTTACGTGTGGAATTAGCGGACACTTTTATACTTTGATTTTAATATTTATATGGTAAACAATATTATAATATGAAGGTTCACGCGCTTCTGTAGCGCCTCAGTTATGTTTGCCGAAGCTCGTACCGATGGTTTTGGAAGCAATTTGGTGTAAAAAGTCAGCTTCGTTCTTACATATAATATGGGCGAATGGCAACAGTATTCTGTACACGTTTGTAAATAAATTAGATAGTCCTCTCGTGAGAAGACTTGCTGAGAGGACTAGATCATTATTAGTAATTAAGTATTAACATAGTTTTTAAGTACTTTTAGGTTTTCACACACACTAATGGTAGCGAAATTAAAAAATATAATTTTAATAAAATAACCAGTGGTACAGACTTCCGCAAGATAACACGTAGTTCAGTAAAATATATATTTTAAATTGGTGCAATAAAATTTTAAAACGCTTCTTAAATACATTTGACAATGAAGATTTTTTCTCAAGGATACAAAAAAAAAAACAATCAAAATTTGCAAATGATCTATAGATCAATGGTATACCATTTGTACTTATAACTAAAGCATTCTATTTGAATGATGGCCGAAAAAGGAATACCACTGAGCCATCAGACTTATAGGTAATATTGTGGGGACCCCGACGCGTTTCCTTTACACCTTTAATATTTTCTTGTTTTATTTTCAGATTAAAGAGTGAAAGTATAGTAGTGGAGATGAGACGCAAAGTGCAAGCGCAGCCGACCGCGGTGTGCCACGTGCCGCAAGCGCTCAAGTATCTGGTCACCACTGAGACGCTGCTCAACGACGCGCACGAGGTAACTTAAATATATATATAAATATAGTGTGATTAGAGAGAAGTGTGGACTGAAAGAGGGAGACTTTGTACAAAAGTCGATTGCTTGAGTACCTCTGTTCCATTCGTGTTTCTACCGTGAAGCAGTTGTGTTTGCATAGCTGTGTTTTGATTTGAAGGGTGGGATATGGCGTGAATTTACTGGGTACAGAGGAATTACATCTGAGTCCTCAGAAATGGCAACGCATAGGGGGGTATCATGGGCGAAAGAGTATACTCTGTTATGTCCATGGTACTGCTCATGTCTATAGGCGACGGTTACCACTTTCCATCAGGAGGCCGTCAGCTTGTTTGCTATTCTAAGTTGTATAAAAAAAAGTGGAATGGTAGCCTCACCTGCGCTATCGGTATATACTGACAGGGCAATAATGAGTGATGATATTTATATGTTATGTTGTATAAAAAATAAACCTCTTAAAAGTAAAAGAAAATAAAAATTAATCTCCTTGTGGACAGCTCGTGCACATGGTGACGTGGGCCCGTGTGTCCCCAGTGGAGGCGCTGTCCTACTTCAGCCGTCAGTATCCGCCACACCCACTGTCCGCCCAAGCAGCCGTCTACACCCTCACGTCGTACCCACCCTCCGCTGTTCTGCTCTACATACCACAGCTCGTGCAGGCGCTGCGACACGACACGGTATGTACGATACGACACGGCACGGCACGGCACATACCTCCATTTACATACTATTCTTACTAAACCTTACTAATATTATAAATGTGAAAGTGAGTTTGTTTGTTTGTTACCTTGTAGCGCCTTAATGGCTTAATCAATCACTATGAAATTTAGTATATACCAGGCTCACAATTTTGCTTCAGAGGACTGTGCTCAGAGGAATTGTTCAATATGATACCCACAGCCACTTTCTACCATCGTACGGCTCGCTATCGACAGGGAGTTCATCCTCATGTCCTACAGCCTCAATGGTCGCGTACTGCGCGGTTTCAGAGATGTTTCCTCCCGCGAACACTCAGGTTGTGGAATGAGTTCCCTGCCGAGGTTCTCCCAAGAGACTACAGCATGGGGTTCTTCAAAAGGGGGGTAAAGAGGTTTCTTCAGGGTCGGCAACGCACGCGTAATGCCTCTGGTATTGCAGGTGTTTAAAGGCTAAGGTAACTACTTACCATCAGGTGGGCCGTATGCTTGTTTGCCACCTCAGTGGTATAAAAAAAAACTATATGCTTCTCCATCTATATATCCTTCTCCATCCCATATTGTATTCCGGTCAATGAATATATCCTAGTCTCGCGATCGATGCCGCAGGTAGAAGCTAGTATTTTATAATGTCGTCCCGTCATGTAACATTAGTATTCTCGTAATTGGAGCTTGTTATGCAGAAAATAGCCAAATTGCCTGAAATGTTATACCAGACAGAGGCTACAAAAGTCGACTGTGTGGGTATCTTTGTCCCAGCGGTGTTTCGCCGAGAAGCAGCTGTGCTTAAATGGCTGAAGATTAGAAGGGCGAAATATGGCAGTGACACAAAGCAGAGAGGCATAACGCTTTTGTCCTCAAAAACGACAATACACGAATGTCACAGTATATTCTGTGCTGTCCATAGTCCTGTTCGTGTTTATAGGCGACGGTTACTGATATCCTTCAGATGGGCCGTCAGCTTGTTTACAATTCTAAATTTCATTAAAAAAATATTTAAAGGAGGTGGCTGTGTTCTCCATAAGTAGCTCCAATTACGATGAATCTAATGACATTCTGATTAAATCTTCATCAAGTAGTTTTTTTTAATACATGATAATGGAATGGAAACCCCGTCAGTGCTAACGGTACACGCTGGCTGGGCACCAGTGAGGGATGATGGGTGAGGATGAAAAGGCAGATTAGTTGGCCCATCGTGATGAATATACCTGGTATTCAGCACGATAGCTTCCAGACATGTGAAGGTCTACCTGATAGGGTAGACCTCCACATGTCCTCCTGGAAGATATTGCTAGCAATTGATCTGGTAGTCTGTGTTACTAACAATCCCTTCCCCTCATCAGAAAGTCGTAAATCGACCATACGTCTATATATTGCTACTTGTGCTAACACTTTGTCCGCAAAAGGCTGATCGCACATTGAACTTAACAGATGGGCTACGTCGCAGAGTTGATCAAGTCCCTTGCCAAGAAGTCGCAAGTGGTCGCACACCAACTTATATGGAACATGCATACGAACTTATACACTGACGAGGAGATGCATAATAAAGACAGTGAGTATCGTTCTCAAACTGATTTTCATTATTTACATAATGTGGGACGACCCCCCACTAGGTGGAGTTACGATCTCAGGTATTGCAGGAAGTCAGTCCATGCAGGTGGCCTAGGGCCGTTCTTTATAGCAGTCTATGGGGGAGGCTTAAATATAGCAGTGGATAGATAATGGCTGATATGATAATCATGCTGATGACATGTGGTACCAGAGGGAGACTTTGTACAAGTCGATTGCTTGGGACCTCTGTCCCATTCGTGTTTCTACTGTGAAGCAGTTGTGTTTGCATGGCTGTGTTTCGGTTTGAAGGGTGGGATATGGCGTGAATTTACAGGGTACAGAGGAATAACACCTGAGTCTTCAGGAATGGCAACGCATGGGGGGTATCATGGGCGAAACAGTATACTCTGTTATATCCATAGTACTGCTCATGACTATAGGCGACGGTTACCACTTTCCGACAGTTTGTTTGCCATTCTATGTTGTAAAAAAAATGTTAATTTTTCAGCAGCGTTATTTGACATATTAGAAAGTCTAATAAAGTCCATAGTCGATACGCTATCGGGTCCCGCCAAAGCGTTCTACGAGAGGGAGTTCGATTTCTTCGGTCAAATTACGAACATAAGCGGCATAATACGACCGTACCCGAAGGGAGCCGAAAGGAAACGAGCGTGTCTAGAGGCGTTGAAGAATATCAAGGTAAGTTTTGAAGTTAGAATTTGACGACCACTGTATAGTGGCTTATAACACCGTTTCACTTATCAATAGTCACAGGTTCGATCCCCGCAAAATATATTAGTAATTATTAGTAGGCTTGTATCAGTCTGGATTTTTATATGTATGTATTAACAAAAAAAAATAAGTTACTAAGTTTTCAATAGTACCCTATACTTCAAGTTTTGCCAGTATACACAGAATACTTACTTAGTAAATATTAAAGTTATTTAAATAGAGTTTAATAAAATAATATAGGTTCATTCGAAATCTAATGTTTTCTTATTAATTTATGTTTTATTAATTTCATTCATAGGTACAACCAGGGTGTTATTTACCATCAAATCCTGATTCTATGGTATTGGACATCGATTATAAAAGCGGTAAGTTTACTTTTTAACATTTTTTTTTGTGATACTTAGAATAAAAAACACGGTGGCAGTCCACTTGATGGGTCATCTCTAATTCAGGCAGGCGGATTGGCAATCCCAGTTAGACTTTGGTGATGTTTTAAGAGGGATGCTGCTGCCCATCCCTTTTTCATAAAACTCCAGGTTTTACGTCAGGGCTACAGGGCGAATTTACTTGTTTAAAAACATATTATTGAGTTTTACACTATATATATATATATATATTCATGTATCTAGGTACACCAATGCAGAGTGCAGCGAAAGCGCCATACCTGGCCCGGTTTAGAGTGCGCAAGTATGGAATAGCGGAGATGGAGGCTGTTGCGATGGCAATCGCAGCCGGCGAGGATCCCCCTGCGGTTAGATTTTTTTTTTGTATTACTACTAGCGACATGTCCCGGCTTCACACGGTCCTTTTTTAAACATAATACAGCCCATGTTACTCGCTGATAATGAAGTTTACAGATAAAAAAAAAATTGGTTTAGTAAAACATTTTTTACTTTATTCATTACAAACACAAAATAAAATCTTCTTTGTACTAATGTAGACTATATCTATCTAATAAAATATATGTATAAGCGTGGCACTTTCTCGTGTCAAGTTTAGTACCCTAACATCGCCGAATGGCCTTTCCTGTGACGTGTTTCCTTCATTCTGTAACCTCGGATCCTTCAACGGAGCGTTGAAAGCTAAGTGAGTAAGCATAGTGTGGCCAACAGTTGAGAGTGAGGGGAAATGGATTGTTAGCAATGGAGTTTGACAGCCCCATTGCCAGCAATATGCTCTATTAGGTCGACCTTCACGTGGTTCCCCCTGGAAACCATCGTGAACAAATCTTGTTGAATTCGTCACGACGGGCTAACTGACCTGCTTCATTCTCACTTATCATCCTTCACTGGTGCCCCGCCGTGTATACCGATAGCGCGGGTGGGGTTACCATTCCATTATCACCCATTAAAAAACAGTTGAGAGCAAAACATCTATATTTTGTTGATCGCATTCATTAATCATATTGTCCCTGTGTTCATTCAGAGTGGTGTGATCACATGTCGTAGTATTATAAAAAAAAAAAGGAAAAAAAGTTAAAATAGCTGAAATGTTAATCACAGAAAAAGATGCACTAATTTATCATAAAAATAAGATCACTTTATTTTATTTATTTATTCATTAGTACAAATATGTGTACATGGCGGACTTAATGCTAAAAGCATTCTCTCCCAGTCAGCCATAGGGAAGTGTCAGAATACTCGAATGCGGTACTAGTAATTATTGATATACATACACACTAAAATTACATATATAAATGAATAAATATATATGAATAACAAATATACTTACACATATATGATATATAACTATATTATACACGAATTGGAACACTTTCAGACATTCTTGTAATTTACAAATCTAACAAAGAATAATATAACAAAATTTTACACTTACTTAATATTTTGCTAAATAAAATTTGAATTATTATAATACTTCAATTTATTTATAGGAGGAAGGCAAAGATAGATACACGTCGGTAGCAGCGGAGACGTGGCAAGCGGCCATATTTAAAGTGGGCGACGATGTGCGGCAGGATATGCTCGCGTTACAAGTGATATCGCTGTTCAAGAACATATTCCAACAAGTCGGGTTGGATTTGTATCTGTTCCCGTACAAAGTGGTCGCCACTGCGCCTGGGGTGAGTTCATTAAACTACATTTCAACTAAACATTCAATTATATTGAACTAGCGACCCGGATTCGCACGGTGCAATGCTGATACTAAATGTACCTACCTACTACAGAATGTCCTTATAAACAACGTTTACAATTTTTTTGTCATTATATAATACAAACATGATAAAGTGCTAGGGCGAAGCGCAACCTTCGACGCGCTATTTACGAGTAGAGGCACGCGCCGCCGGCCGGGCCGGTACTGCTGCACCACTATGCCCCTGCATTTTAAATCTGTAATATCTTCGGAAATATTAATTTAAATTACATGCTGTAAAAATACTGCTTCAAAATCCGTTGCGTAGTTTTAAAGATTTAAGCATACACAGAGACGGACGGACAGCGACAGCTACTTTCTTTTATACTATGTATTATTATTATTAAATGTTATCTATGCCTCCGATCAAACTGCTTAGAATTTCTCCTGTACATCCAAAAGTTACTTGGAGAGATCACTTTGAACGATAAGGTCGCCCGCTGTTTTTTTATTATGATCATTTCTTATAATTGTTTGTATTTAGAATAAGTTTACTATTGTAATCTTTTGGAGGAAACAATAAAGAGTTTATACTAAGTTGAATATATATCACAATTTTTTAAGCCGTCATTTTGTGTGTCATTCTAAGTCTAGAATGACACACAAAATGACGGCCCACCTGTTAAAATGTGGTAACTGTCACATATAGACTTGAATAGCATCACCGACATTACAGAATAGAACATATGCTATGCTTTTTTTTATAACATTTAGCCACGCAAGCATAGCTGCTCCACTACAGAAACACGGGTGGAACAGAGGTACTCAGGTATACGAAATTTGTACAAACTCTTCTTCAATCTGAATGCAAATTAAAGGATTTGTCAACCTGAAGTCCATGAAACTGAAGTTGCCAATTTCATAGGAAATTTTTAAAGGCAACATTTTCATAAGTTCTGGTCCTTTGAGCCGGATTGGTATAAAATAAAACATAATTAATCAATTAAACTTTTTTTTAGTGTGGTGTAATTGAATGCGTGCCAAATGCGAAGTCTCGAGATCAGCTCGGACGACAAACGGACATCGGCATGTACGAGTATTTCATTAAGAAATACGGCGATGAGACCACTAGAGAGTTCCAGGTATTTATCGAGATTTATTTATTTATTAAACTTTAATACACCAAGAAAGTAAAAATTCGGTTTAACACCATATTTTATGGCGTTATCTACCAGTCGACTGTAGACAGGAATAACAGAAAATTTACAATGCAACGAAGTAAACAATATTAAATTAAAACAATAATTATATCTACTAATACATTTATTTTTTCATATCTACAGTCTCGTATTTACCAATCAGGTATGATATAACGCTAATTGTGTCTTAATATTGGCGGCGGTAGTCACTAACCATCAGGTGAGCCGCATGCTTGTTTGCCCCCTATGTTGTAAAAAAAAAATATGTAGTGGATCTCCAAAATATGCTTTATTTATCACCTGCTGCACTCCGCGGCATAGCTTGTGTGAATCAGTACATATTCTGTGTGCTTAAGTTAGGATGTAATAGGTTATCTCCTTACCTAGTACATAGGATGGCTGTGTACTAAATTTCATTCGATTCCGTTTAATAGTTTTTGCGTGAAAGAGTAACAAACATCCATCCATCCTTACAATCTTTTGCATTTGTGATAGCAAAGCAATAATAGATAAGTGGATAAATCGAAAAAAATGTGTTCTAAGGGCATTTTGTGACAATTTTTGGCATTGGCACTTTTTAGAGTAAATAAACCCTGTTGATTACGATTCTGCTATCCCCTTTGCCCCCCTTCCCCCCTTTTACCAATAACTTATGATGACGATAAGGCATGATTCTGTAGCCTTATTGTAACATTAAAAAGAGGATATAAAAATACATCATAATGTGAAAGAAAAATACTTTATTACATTAAAAATTTTAGGCCGCAAGACGTTGCTTCGTGACATCAATGGCTGCGTACAGCGTGATCGGTTTCCTGCTGCAAATCAAAGATAGACACAACGGCAATATTATGCTCGATACGGACGGACATATCATACATATAGGTAATCTATCTTTACGTTATGCCCATTTATTTCTTCTGCTTCTTCCTTTCTTATATTATGATATTTATAAATATATATATGTATATATATAATGATTTATAATTTATGTAAATATTTAGTTTAATTTCTGTCTTGCATTACTACTGCCTACTCACTACTTTCCATGCCACTGCGTTAGGTTGACTGGAAGAAATCTCTTTTAGAGATAAGTTCGCCTTTGCTAACATTGTTATTAACTTGTTGTTACTGTATGTTTTAGTGCAATAAAGAATATATATATATATATATATATATATATATATATGTATTTTTAAATGTGGTCTATAAAGAATAATGAAAATAAATAAATGAAATACCTTTTACCATAGGGAGACTTTGTACAAAAGAGCCACTGTCTAAGCCATGCTTGCGTGGCTGCACTTTAGTTAGAATGGTATATAATGGGACCGATAGTTTGCATTATTAGCAATACCTCCCCCTTCCCCTTTTATGAAGAGTTAGGATTTAGTAGTGAATGCTATGGACCCTATTTCAGTTTTCAGGGCTGTATTGTTGCTCATCCCACATCACAGGTCCTGTTTGATCTTCATTGGCCTGTAAACTAGTTTCGAAATCTTCTGATGTTTTTTTGACATAATATAAAAAATTTCTGAATGTAAAAAATATCGTTGATTCCAGATTTCGGGTTTATGTTTGAATCATCACCGGGAGGCAACCTCGGCTTCGAGCCTGATATTAAGCTGACAGACGAGATGGTGATGGTGATGGGTGGCAAGATGGAGGCGCCACCATTCCGCTGGTTCTGCGAACTTTGTGTGCAAGCCTTCTTAGCAGTCAGGTACATTTCTTTAATTTTAAACAAGATGTATAAACAGCACATGCATTCCCGGCATAGAAAAGCACACCTTTTTCTTTTCCAAGGGTGTCATAAGATTTTTTTTTATACTACTTAGAATGGCAAACAAGCTGACGGCCCACCTGATGTAAAGTGGTAACCGTCGCCTATAGACATGAGCAGTACCATAAGAGGCGACTAAGGGAACTTAACGGTCAAGGGATGGACAGCAGTGTTCCTGTTTTAACATCACCAAAGCCTAATAGCGATTGCCAACCCGCCTGCCTAAATGCAAACTATTGCCAAACTCCCCTTAATGGGGGAAGCCTATGTTTAGCAGAGGACGGTTAACGGCTGTTATGATGACATGATGTATGTTTATTAAATATAAATTAGAAAGTATTTCTTATGTATCACATGTATAAATGATTATTTTTGTATGTTCTAGTAATTACGTCATACCTTTTTCACCACCACTGCCCTTCATACACTCTATGTTTCTACCCTATGTTTAGCTGGTAGAGAATGCCTTATGCCATTAAGCTCGCCACTTGTAAAAAGTTTAAATGTGCAATAATTATAAAGTATTTAGTAGTTAAATTATCATCATCGTAGACTTAGAAAAATAGCGAGATGATTTTTATCGAAATCGTCATTTTTGTATTTTTTAGAATATGAATTAATATATTTAACTATTTTGTTTTCAGACCGTACCAAGAGGCGATAATTTCTATGGTCTCGCTAATGTTAGACACAGGTTTACCCTGTTTCCGTGGGCAGACCATTCGTCTCCTACGCTCCCGTTTCGCCCCTAACTCGACAGAGAAGGAGGCAGCGGCGTACATGCTCTCCGTCATACGAAACTCGTTCCTCAACTTTAGAACTAGGACTTACGACATGATACAGTACTACCAAAATCAAATACCGTATTAGAGTAACTTTAAACCGTGATTTGTTCTATAAATGTCGCTAGATTTTTTTTTATTTTCAAATTCTTTATCTGATCGAACACAGATATGACTTTAAATAGATGTGGCAAGAATCTCAATGTTTCTGCGAAATTGGGGGATTTACGGAACATAAAATTTGTCGGTGTGTTTACGCCAAGAACTTGCCATGGATTTGTGTGAGTTATTTAATGCTATTTTATTATGACGGACAAAAAAATACGCCTAAAATTGTCCCTCGTCAACACAATTTTTTTCAACGCAAATTAGAATCAAGCGTACCATAATTTTCACTTTATTACTATAATATTGTGAGAAGTCATAGATATAAAAATAGCCTTTTTACTGAACTGATTTAAAAAAAGCCATTCAAATAATTTTGTAGTCAATTTACTACAATTTCAATTCTATATATTATTCCTAAAGCATTGTTTTTATAACAGTATATTAAATGAACAAATCCATACAACAAAATGGTTTGTGACTATGTTTTATTGCATATTTAGGACAAAAATGGCTCGCGAATTAACATAATTGTCGTATCTATTTAAATATATATCTGCGAGATCACTCGAGTCAGTCACATTTAATTTTAGATATTTTAACACGTTGGTATAAAGGTACAAGTCCAAATTGTTTGTATACTTAATATTAAACGAATGTTAAAGTCGGAATGTATTATAGAAAATAAGTAATTGTTATTATTAATTATTTTTTTATCTTGGTTGTAAGATCTACGTTGACAAATATGGTGGTATGCATTTCATTCGTTAATTTTTTTTTACTTACTCTCAATGAATGAGAATTATGAACGAAAGAGTTACGAATGAAACTAAGTTATAGTAAAAATCATATCTCACTTATACACTGCCAAGGGAGAATGTGTTTTCTTAAAATAGTTTTTTTTTTGTAATTCATTGCACATCAAAATAAAGAAATTCATTTAATCCTTAGTGGATCTTATCTTGTTCGTACAGTAATATTTGTCCGTATAATTGAATGCATAAAGAAATGTATCAGAAGAAATATGCTATAACTTTGGAAAAAGTTTATACCTTAATTTCACAACACGAAACGACATTTGGTACGGTTGTACCAAGCTGATTTTATTATTAAATATTACGTTACGATATATTAAAAAAACATTGATAAATGACCAACTACGAAAACGAGACTTCATAATTAAATTAGTATTATTAAGGCCCTGATAGACGAACGATGGTCCTCGGAGTACTTTTTTGTCTGGCATTCTATATAACATACGAGACACGTAATTTAGATGTTAGATTCTTGTGTTAATATTTTGAGGGGACAAAAAATTACCCCGAGGGCTCACCTTAGACCCTAATTGGACAATCACTCTATAGAATGTGTTTATGTATAGATGTTATTTATTTAAATATGTAAAATAAATCTATATTCATTTAGCCCTTGTACTTAGAAATTTGTGATGAATCTGTTTACTATAGATGTATGTAAATTATCGATTAACCAGTAAATTATGTATACAACAGAAGTATAATAGTTTTTTGTACTAATCGTGAGGCTAGTGACTTCAAATATTTCATTAAAGAAGACACGATCTGAAAGAAACTATTGTTAAAATATTGTCTTCATTAGATTTTTAGAACGTACTTTTTTTGGCTAATGGTAGGTCTGTGGATACCTATTACACCAAAGGAGTGTTGTTTTGCGTCCTTTCAAGACTGTATAATACAGTTTCTTAGCACAATATCGGCAGAGAGCTGCAGGGAAGACTTTGTTTATTCGATTTGGGATCAATTAAGGTAACGTCCAATCGTTGTCTATTCAATTTGTTTAGATCCTCATTCAATTTGGTCAAAATGCAATCCGCTGTTTATAAAATCAGCGCCAAGATTATTCCTATTTAAAATTTTTACTTCGGAAAAATAATTACTTTAATCAGTGGGGAATAAACCCTATTTATTGCAAAAAGAATTATCATTACAGTCTAGAAGTAATTAAGGAATTAATAAATTTAAAAATTCCTGTAGGTCTCTGTCGACATTTTTCCATGAAAACATATAGACCAACTATTACATTTAAATTTCTCATTAAATATAGGCATACGAAGTCAAATGTTTCCAACACAATTATGTCTAATATTCATGTGTATATCAAAGTGCTAGATTAAAAATGTATAAAGTTAATTTAGAAATAAATTATCTTGCACAGGATGTTTGAGATGGAAATCATTAGAGGTGGCGGCAGTGGGCATCGTGCTACGTAATTTTAGTTAAATTCCATTCTATATCACGGGTAGATTTTTAGGCTTAAATACCCTATAAGAGTATAGTATTCAATTTCACCTGTATATATTGTAAAGGGGGAAAATTATGGCAATTATTTCATTTCAAATCTTTTTGGTGTATAGTATAGTAGGTAAACAGTGAAAATTGTATCTTGTTTTGTGCCTATTTGTTTTGGGATTTGCGGAAGGAGAAAGCGTTGTTTAAGATGTGCAAGTTGATTTTATGTAATCGAATCGAAATTGGAATCAAAGTAAAATCGATGGATAATCAAACGTGGATTTCAATTCGTTCGCATTTCAATTACAATAATATGTGACGGTGTTTAAAATCTGTTACAAAATTATAGATAAAAAAATATATGATAATTTCGATGCTTACCTTCCTATATATTATCTCATTTTGTCACAAAAATTGCATTTCATAAAATGGAATAATGTATTTAATCAATTTTCATGTTTAACTACTTATGGTATAAAGCTAGATTCCCATTTATCTGTATTTTCCTTTATTTAAATATCAAAAGTTAAAATTTTAAGGGAAAATAGGAATAATATAGTTGAGAATTATTGGCTTTCTATATTTATTGCAATTTTGTTTACATTTCAAATGTACGAATTACACAGAAATATGCAACCATGGTCGCATAAGGCAGTATTGTTGATTATTGTCATTTAATATTTCATAATGTACGTAGAAAAATATTATAAATGTTATTTTTGACATTCCTGTGATTAAAGTTCTTGTTGTTGATGGAAATATAGTATTTGGTAAAGGTTTTAAGTGTGTTTTATATATCCCAAACAAAAATTTATGTACAAATATAATTACAGGGTACAGAGGCATTACACGTTACTCCTCAGGAATGGCATGGCATGTAGTATATCATGAGCCACACAATATACTCTGTTATCTATGGTACTGTTCACGTCTATAGGCAATGGTTACTACTTTCCATCAGGCGGACCATCAGCTTGTTTGCCATTCTAAGTTGTATAAAAATAAACTAGCTTTTTTGGTCCTCTACTTCATACACATGGTGTTTAGAAATAGGATTACTAATGTAATAGAATTCAAAATGGCGTGACGTGATAAATCATAGTTTTTAAGTTGAAACTTAATAGGACACAGTAATGAAAACCGCATTGAATTTGGTGCAATAGTTTTTGCGTGACGCCGGAAAAAATTGCAGACAAAATTTCTAAAAATTTGTTTCGATTTCTATCTAACGCTCTTATAATTTTTTCTTAAATGTCTTTCATAAACAGACACCGTTTAGTCACAATTTTATTATATTAGATTTGATGACCTTCGTAGAATGGCTAATTCAATATTCTACTACTATTGTCGCCGTCTGTTCCCGGAATAGAATGGGCCACGCCCTTCCTTTTCCATGGGCCACGCCCGTCCTTTTTCATGGTGTTCCATGTGTCAAAGACAGCATCAATTTTTTTATTCAAATTGTAATGTAAAACAATTTTATGACTCACGTAATAAAAAAGTAGCAACTGTTTTTTTTTTAATGGGTGATAATGGAATGGTATCCCCACCCGCGCTATCGGTATACACTGGCGGAACACCAGTGAAGGATGATAGGTGAGGATGAAGCAGGTCAGTTAGCCCATCGTGACAAATTCAACAAGAATTGTTTACGATAGTTTCCAGGAGGAACCACGTGGAGGTCGACCTAATAGCGCATATTGCTAGCAATGGGGCTGTCAAACTCCATTGCTAACAATCCCTTTCCCTCCTCGATAGTAGCAACTGTTGTCTATAGACATGAACGATAGCACTAATACGAGGTCTGTCCGGAAAGTTCGTATAAAAGTGTTCTGGAATGCGAGAAAGAGGAGTGGGGAGGCCAGGTAAGCGCAGGACCCCTTCCTTATGTCCCTAACAATGCTTCAGTTCTGGTCTGACCGCCGTATCGAACTGGCTTGTCACGCCATCTGTGAAGTTACCTCTTAACGAAACCCCGTCGGATGGAGCCCGCTTCCGTTGAAGAGCAGCGCGTCGTAATCAAGTTTCTCTCGAAACTCGGCAAGAATGGCCGTGAAAGCAAAAGTGGAAGACATCCGGGGAACCACGAACAAAAAAATCAAGAAAATCCCGCTCAAATGTCAAGACAATGTTGATTGTTTTTTTCGATGTTCGGGGGATTGTCCATCAAGAATTCGTCCCTCCAGGCCAGACAGTTGATGGAAAATTCTACGTCGATGTGCTCAGACGCCTCAAAGCTCGTGTGGCACGAGTTCGTCCAGAATTGGCGCGAGAGGGGCGTTGGATTCTTCACCACGACAATGCCCCTGCCCACACCTCTCTTGTTGTCCGTGAGTTTTTGAGTAAAAATTCCATTACGGTGACCGAACACCCCCTATTCGCCGGATTTGGCCCCGTGTGACTTCTTCTTGTTCCCAAAAACCAAATTGGTACTTCGGGGGCGGCATTTGGGGGACATAAATGAGATAAAAAAAGCTACGACGGGGCAGCTGAGAAACCTACAACCATAGGACTTTCAAGGAGCCTTCTCACAGTGGAAACGGCGTTGGCACAAGTGCATTATGTCACAGGGGGATACTTTGAAGGGGATAAAATTGATTTACCTGAATAATTGTAAAATAAAATTTTTAAAAAACTTTTATACGTACTTTCCGGACAAACCTCGTATGTTGCCATTTAAGGTTTAATACCTTAAATAGTAATTTAAGGTATTAAGCTTTGCTACTTTTATTATATGTATTTAATAATATAATTTTATTATATGTATGTATTTAAAATGTATGAAACAACTGAATAAAAAGAAATCTTTTATTAAAACTCCATATCAAAGCTTTCAATATAAGACAAATAATATTCTAATTTTTTTATACATTTCTTCACTTTACTTATGTCTAAATTGGGTAGATGGTCTCTTTTATGTTCTGGAAATTTCCTTGAGAACTCACTTTTGGTTTTACTACCCTCATTGGATATTTTATCTATGGTTTTTGCTTTAGTGAATATATTGTGGACATGTGAAAGAACTGCTTTGCAATAGTGTAACTTCTTTTCTTTACTGGGTCCTTGTAATATTAGAAACGTATCATGTTTCATTACTTCTGAGCTATTCTTGTCCGTTTCAATAAGGTCACTCTGTAAATAAAAATATATTTTCTAAATATAATTTAAATGTATATATTTGTATAAAGTTGATAAATATGATAAAATACAAATAACAATTTTATGGAATAAAACACAATAATAGAAGCAGTGTAATAAAATGCTACAACACCAATGTTTTCATGAAAAAAAAAAAACAAAAGGATGTCTAGTACAGTCAGTATGCCTTACACATTTACCTTACTACATACACTTGCTAGATATTAAACTGTGAAAAAAAGTATTTGCAGTGGTGTTTTCAAACAAATATCATTTGGGGACCTTTTACTACAGAATATATATCTTTTTAATAGGCTGGCAACCCACAGGCTACTCTTTTGGTGGCGTTAGTGTCTATGGGTTGCGGTGATCAGTTACCATCAGGTGATCTGCATGTTCGTTCAGCATCATTTCACATAGAAAAAATAAATAAAGTACACACCTGAAGCGACTTCTGTGCTACTGACTCTACAGCTGTAGCCAAGTCTTCGAAGTTCATATTAGTGTCCAAATTAGCACAGATGTTTAAAAAAGATATTGTGCCTTCAACTACATCCATTTCACCATTGAAATATCTCATTAAGAATACGTATGATGCTATAATATTTGTGATATTAAATTTTATAGCTGGAGATGGTTGGACAGTCTGAAAAAATTAAATAGAAAATAATAATAAAATACCTTTTCTGTAGTTGACGATTTTAACATAGCCTAAGTACTCAAGTTTGAGTCTTGAAATATTGAATATAGGTTCCTTTAAAGGTATAGACAGGGTCACCAATTTTCTGTTATACACAGTAATTTTATCAGCTGTTATTACTTACATGATGTTGAATTTTAATTTGTCATAAAGGGGAATGCTATTATTTCTCATTTAAGATATTTTTTCTTTTTTTAATACAAAATTTGATCAGATTTTTTCAGATCAACCAACTTCAAAGAGGAAGTTTTCCATTCAGTTCAGTATTTTTTTGTTTGTTACCTCATAACTATGTCAGTTATAAACCAATTTGAAAAATTCTTTTTTTACTTGAAAGGACATAGTCCCATAGAATTCTTTATCAGAATCAGTTCTGTAGATTAGTTTTTAAATAACCCATCACAAATAAAGTTGGATTTATTTTTATGAAATATTTTTGTGATTTTTAGTATGTAGAATAATTATTAATGTTTATAAACGACACTTACAGTCAGTGACGAGAGTGGAGGTACCATTTTCAAAGGTGGACAATCCTTCAATTTTTCCTCTAATTCTATATTATAACTAACATCCTCCACAACTTTTTCTTCTTTTCTGTACATCCACCATGGTTCCCATTGAGGTATTATAGAGCCTACCTCACCTTGATTTAATAACGCTTCAAACTCATTCCTTTCATCCTCTGTCAGTACATTCCACACAGCATCTGGATCATCAAGGTTCAGATCTTTTATTCTTTCATGTAAATCAATTTCTTCTTCATCATCAGAGTCTACAACACTGTGATCATCTTCTAGAAGTTCTTCAGGTATATCCAAGTCTTGTTCATCTTGTTCTTGCATTTTTTTCAATATATCAAGCATTTTTCTCTTTGAATCATCATCTGCTTGGTGGAAAGCCAATTCCTCATTCACACAATCACGGTAAAAGCTTTCTGAACATGCATTGTGTTGCTCAGATTTGTAGCAGTCCAATGAGCAATAGAATATTTCACAACGAGGACAACAATATTTGCTAATATTTGTGTCACATCTGGAAACAGGAAAAACTAAAAATAGTCATACCTATAGGAGATAATTAACACTTTCCATCAGGTGAGCAGTCAGTTTGTAAGTATGACTAACATTTAACATAACCAGTTAACTCATCCTAAGTTCACAAGAATTAACCACGATGGTTTCCAGGGGGAACAGCATGGAGCTTAACCTGGAGAATATATTATTAGCTATTAGACCTCATTATTAACAATTCATTCCCTCAACTTGCGTAGATTGTATGTAATCACCCTTTGGGGGGAAAGGGATTGTTAGTAACAGAGACTGAGAATCTCATTGCTAGCAATACGAGGTCTGTCCGGAAAGTTCGTATAAAAGTGTTCTGGAATGCGAGAAAGAGGAGTGGGGAGGCCAGGTAAGCGCAGGACCCCTTCCTTATGTCCCTAACAATGCTTCAGTTCTGGTCTGACCGCCGTGCGGTGCGAACTGGCTTGTCACGCCATCTGTGAAGTTACCTCTTAACGAAACCCCGTCGGCATGGAGCCCGCTTCCGTTGAAGAGCAGCGCGTCGTAATCAAGTTTCTCTCGAAACTCGGCAAGAATGGCCGTGAAATTTTTGCCGATCTCAGAACAGTTTATGGGGATGATGCTGTGAAGAAACCAATGTCCACAAGTGGCTAAAAAGATTCAGAGAGGGCCGAGAAAGCGTTCAAGATGACCCACGTTCAGGACGTCCTTCCACTTCACATTCCGACGAAAACGTGGAAAGAATTCGAACTTGTGTTAATGGGGACCGTCGTTTAACGGTCAGACAGGTGGCTGAAGAGCTTAATTTGGGCAAAACCGTGGTCCACGAAATTCTAAGAAACGAACTTCAAATGAAAAAAATTTGCGCCAAGATCGTTCCCAAGCTTTTGTCCCCGGATCAAAAATCACGAAGAGTTGCTTGCTGTGAGGACTGGTTGGAAGCCGAAGAGAATGGTGACTTTTTGAACCGAGTCATCACTGGAGATGAGTCTTGGTTCTACGAATTTGATGTCGAATTAAAATCCCAAAGCAAAGAGTGGAAGACATCCGGGGAACCACGAACAAAAAAATCAAGAAAATCCCGCTCAAATGTCAAGACAATGTTGATTGTTTTTTTCGATGTTCGGGGGATTGTCCATCAAGAATTCGTCCCTCCAGGCCAGACAGTTGATGGAAAATTCTACGTCGATGTGCTCAGACGCCTCAAAGCTCGTGTGGCACGAGTTCGTCCAGAATTGCGCGAGAGGGCGTTGGATTCTTCACCACGACAATGCCCCTGCCCACACCTCTCTTGTTGTCCGTGAGTTTTTGAGTAAAAATTCCATTACGGTGACCGAACACCCCCCTATTCGCCGGATTTGGCCCCGTGTGACTTCTTCTTGTTCCCAAAAACCAAATTGGTACTTTAACTTCTAATATTTACATAAATGAGATAAAAAAAGCTACGACGGGGCAGCTGAGAAACCTACAACCAGAGGACTTTCAAGGAGCCTTCTCACAGTGGAAACGGCGTTGGCACAAGTGCATTATGTCACAGGGGGAGTACTTTGAAGGGGATAAAATTGATTTACCTGAATAATTGTAAAATAAAATTTTTAAAAAACTTTTATACGTACTTTCCGGACAAACCTCGTATACCCAACCCGGTCGATCTCCTCGCGGTTCTCCCTGGAAACTATCATGGTTAATTCCTGATGAATTAATCATGATGGGTTAACTGGCCTGTTTTCATTCTCATCTATCACCCTTCACTGGTGCTCCACCAGCGTATACCGCTAGCGCACGCGGGGTTACCATACCATTTTCACCCATCAAAAAAAAAAATCATCCATACTCAGCAGTAGGATAGTAAAAGTTTACTGTGATGATAACATGAAAAATATGTTTACTTACAGACCACAAATCCTTTCCTTATTGTTTGGTGGCTTTTCTTTTGATACTTTCTCAACTTCAGACAAAGAATAGTTTGTATTACTCATTTTTAATATATTTACGGTAATATAAGTTATTATATTAAATGATAACCCTTTGACAATTCCCGGCTTAACGTGTTTTTTTTTCTGTACAATTATCACAAACACTGTCGCATTGTTTGCTAGTATATTAATGTAATTTATTTTTTGTATTAATTTTCCATTATAACATTGATAATAAATAAAGTATAATCATTTATTATTTTCATTTTGTTTTTTATGATAGTGCAAGATAAGAGCGAAGGCGAGAGATAAAAATACACAAAAATTTAATATTATTTCATAGTCGACATTATTCTTAAATTCGTGGAATTGGAAAATAAATCTATGTTGTGAATAAAAGTGAAACACAATAACATAACTGAATATTCATAGTAGCACAACTGTTTACAATATGCCTTTCCAAAATATCGATATCGATAAGTATTATCACAGATAATGTACGATATAGATAACATATACACATACATAACACGATAATACGATACAGATAACATACGTGTTATGAAACTACTAACTACTTTATTTTAAACTAGAATAATATTTTAATTAATATACACTCCTCGCAAAAATAAAGGGAACATAAAATTTTTTGAAATTTTTGGGTGATTTTCAACAGGCTGTATTTCAGTGAAAAATAATCGTATAGGAAATTTAAAAAAAGGGTTTTGAAGCTTGAAAACTCTAGTTTTCAGATTTTTTGGTGAAAAAATTTTTTGAGCTCCGGTTTCCATGCAATTCTTAAACAAAGCTGAAAATATTTTTTTTCTAAATTTTCTTGGTTTTGTTTTTCACTCTATGGGCATGGAAAAATTTTTTCGAGCTACTCTATTGTATAGGTCTCTTAGCGTGTTTATTCAGCTTCAAAAATCGCTTTGGATGGCTCAATTACGACCATTTGTCTCCGAGATATCGAACTTTGAATGCAAAAGCATCCTTTTCCATTCAACTGCTAATATCTCTGGAACTACTGGTCGCACAGCAAGCGGGCGCCGAGTTTCTTTATCTGCATAAAATTTCCAATTAAGCACAGTCAAGAGTTAGTGAAGAAAAAATGTTTTTCCACCTCTAACATTGAATTGAAAAAAGTGGAAAAAAGTGACTTTTTCTCCTTTTTTGGTTACTTGGCTGTATCTTCGCTAATATGGGCGGGAAAGCTAAGGTTTGAGGAAAATTTTACAGTCTATTGTTCATTAAAGAACCCCCCAAATCCCTGGAGCGATCGGTTCAACGGTTTTTCCCGGACCAATTGATTGAAGTTTTGGAAAAAATAAGGGAACAAGGTTTTTGTCCCTTAAACTCACCCTAATCCATTCAAAAATCAATAATTTCATTTGTTTTTCACTTTTTACTCAATTTTTTGTTTTTAAAAATTCATTATTAAAAAAAAAATCGAAAAAAATCAAGAAAATTTTATGCAGATAAAGAAACTCGGCGCCCGCTTGCTGTGCGACCAGTAGTTCCAGAGATATTAGCAGTTGAATGGAAAAGGATGCTTTTGCATTCAAAGTTCGATATCTCGGAGACAAATGGTCGTAATTGAGCCATCCAAAGCGATTTTTGAAGCTGAATAAACACGCTAAGAGACCTATATAATGGAGTAACTCGAAAAAATTTTTCCATGCCCATAGAGTGAAAAACAAAACCAAGAAAATTTAGAAAAAAATTATTTTCAGCTTTGTTTAAGAATTGCATGGAAACCGGAGCTCAAAAAATTTTTTCACCAAAAAATCTGAAAACTAGAGTTTTCAAGCTTCAAAACCCTTTTTTTAAATTTCCTATACGATTATTTTTCACTGAAATACAGCCTGTTGAAAATCACCCAAAAATTTCAATAATTTTTATGTTCCCTTAATTTTTGCGAGGAGTGTATATATATATAAAATGAAACCAATACGTTATGCACGTCGTTTTGGACTAAAACAAAAGAGTTTTTAATTATTTATAGAAATGGTTAATCGAAGGCTTAAAGAAACTTTTATGTAAAATTATCAATTTTATATGAATTAGTTGCACAGATTTTTTACAAATAACTTTTATTCAAAGTGACGTAGTAAAACGATATCCATCATTTTAATGTCATTCAATAAATATGTCAAAATTGTCAGTCTAAAATCTGTCATACTTAAAGTTTCTTGTCAGTCAAATAACCAGTAAATAAGTTTTGTTTAAAATAATTAAAATAAGTTTTAAATTTCATTTATTTAAATTAAAAAATATGACTATACTTTAACAAGTTTGGAGTCGGAGGCGTAAAACAAAACTCTTTTATTTAATTTATTTATTTATTTGTATTAACTATCTTCAGTGTTAAAACAATGCAAGTGGAGGTTGTGGAGGATTTTTTCGGTGTCTATCTGCTATATTGTATAAACCCAAAATATAAAGGAAAAACTTACATAGGTTATACAAGAGATCCAAATCGCAGAATAATGCAGCATAATAGAGGCACTTGGGCTGGAGGAGCTTACCGCACTAGCAATAGAGGACCGTGGTAATTCCTTTAAATTAATTTCTTAGGAAACCTCTCTTTTCTCTCTCCTATCTTTGTAACAGGTGTTTGTACATGTACGATATATACTATTTTTATCGCCTTTTAGACTTTTGTTTTTTTTTTCAACTGATATAATAGTCTAAACATTATCATCTTATTGGTTTAAAAAAAAAATCCTTCACCTGTTGATACATATTTACCTATAAACATTTCTTATTAGAATACTTGAATGAGTTCCTTCTTTGCTTTAGGTGTATATAAAAAACAATGATAAAACTGATATAGATGATAAGTGAAAGGGATTGTTAGTAATTGGATTTAATAGACCCATTGCTATCAGTACACCTTATCAGGTAAACTTTCACACAGTTCACTCTGGAAATCATCATAATTAATTCTTGTGGAATTTATCAGAATAGACTAACTGACTTGCATTCATCCTCTCTTATTACCTCTCATTTGTGTCTTTCCAATGTATACTATATTAAAATATGATAAGTTATGTTTTATTAAGCTATGTTTTATTTGTAATCCTATTTAATGATCATTAATGAGGTAAATATTAAAAAATAAATGAGATAGTAAAGTTTAGTTGAAATATATATTTTATTTATTCTTTATTACATTGATACATTATTGAGAAACTTCTTTAATTAAAATACAATTTTTAAATAGTTAAGTTTATTTACAACAGTGATAAATATGTTTCTACAGGCTATACATCTGGGGATTATACAAAATTGAATTGAATTAAATTGAAGTTATGATGTAACTCATTCTATACATTTGTCTAGATTTTTATGATGAATGAAATAAAGAAATGGTACATCACTTTTTGTTTATTTATACCTATTTTAATTTACTTTAAACAGTAAATTTAAGTAAATTAAAATAAGTATAAATAAAGTAAAACCATTTCTATATTGTATATTTTTTTTATTTTATTATTTTACAATTTTTGTAATTGCAGGAAAATGGTACTAATTGTTCATGGTTTTCCAAATAATATATCAGCACTAAGGGTGAGTGTAAATTAATTTCATGACATAGACCTAATTCAGTAGGGCAGGTGGATATGCTTGTTTTTGTCTATTTCAGTTTAAAGAAACATATTGATGTCTATGATACTCAGCAATTAACAAACAATTAACTTTATTGTAGTATTTTTTACATATTTAAAATATAATACTGTATTATAATAATTTATCTCATTATTTATATTGCATTATCTTCTAAACAAAAATTTAAAGAACTAGGTATAAGTATAAATAAATTAAATTTAAAATAATTTAAATATTAGGCACTTTTCAGTTTGAATGGGCTTGGCAGAATCCAACAAAAACAATAAGATTGCAACATTTGAATCTTAAAAAAATACCTAGAAAAGAAACAGAGTTTCAATTTAAGCTCCGAATATTGACTGAGATGCTCAGAGTGGGCCCATGGTATCGTCTACCACTAATAATTAGATGGCTTGAAAAGGATTATTATGAAGAATTTCCTGTAAGTACTTTAATTTTGTTTTTAAATATAATGCCCCTTACATGCTTAAAGTGTTTCTTAAAAATAATGTATAATTAATATATATATATATATATATATATATATATATATATATATATATATATATATATATATATATATATATATATATATATATATATATATATATATATATATATATATATATATATATATATATATATAGTAAAAAAAACATTGATTTTGATAATACATTCAATTACTAAGCCATGTTACTAAAAACTAATTTTGGTATAAATTTTAATTAAAAGTATAATTTTTTATAATTTAAAATTTAAATAATAGGTTAAAAACCTTTAACTTCATGTTATATATTTAAGGAAATAACTTTATAAATAGCACAAAGAGATTGCCTTGTCTGAGATTTCAGCAATTTTTTCTTTATACCAAAATTAGTTTTTGGTACAAATTATATCAAAAAAATAAATTTACTCAAAACTATAATATAACATACAAAACTATATAATATATATTTCTACTAAATTAACTTTTTTTTTTTAAATAAAATCAATATGTATTGAAAAGACAAAAAATACTTAAATAATTTTTGGTTATATAGTAAATATTAATTCATACAGAAAATAAATATTAAATCACAGTTTTTTATAGTTTATTGAATATTACATAATACTTTCAATCTCTATATACCTATAAGTTAAACGAAAATAATTTTACAGACTGAAAGAATACCACCAGAGCACATGAAGATTTGCCATGGTCCTATCAAAAGTAGAAACATAAAGAAACCAGGTCAAGAATCAAGTTCAAGCAGCACTCACATTGAATGTCTATTATGTTCCAATTACATCACTAATTGTTCATCAAAATTAACTTGTTTAAATCCTGAATGTGATTTATTGGCACATATAACTTGTCTAGCTGACCTATTTTTGCAACCTGGTGAATTTGTACCAATCCAGGGCAATTGTCCCTTTTGTGATACTTATTTAAAATGGGGTGACTTGATTAGAAAAATGAAAGGATGTAATAATGATATTGATGTAAGTGATAATTTGAATGAAATTAATGATTATAGTGAAATAAATGATAATCAAGTTAATGATAACAGTGATGAAGATGTAATTTCTACTCAAGATAAAGAATTTGTTGATAATGAGTCTAAATGGTTATTGGAATGGGATAATGATAATTTATGACCAAATATATTATTTTATATATTTAAATTGTGTATTACTATATGTTTTTACATGCTATAAGTACCTATAATATAATATAATAAATAAAATATAATTTTAATAATATTGATATTAGATAGAGATAAGAATTTAGATTAACATTTTAACATTAAAAAGTAAAAATGAAAAATAAAAATACATAATTTACAAGTTTAAAATTATAAATATATTTTTTAGGACTACCAGGTACATGGTTAATAAGTAAATGCTCAACAATTATGAAATAGTAATACTTAGTGTGTAAAATAATTTAAAAGTAAATTTCATTCATTATTAGGCTAATAGAAAATAAGTCATGGACCTACTTCGACTAAGCTACAATTACGCCTTTATCATTAAGTAAGTCTTATATAAATAGCACTTATAAATGCAGCAATATTTTTGGTGTAATTACTACTTACTAAAAGAAATAGAGTTTCAATAATCATCAAACAAGCCGTCATCGTCGTCATCATCAAAGTCATCATCATCGTCAGCTCCCGGTGGGACGAAAGCACCATTCAACACATCACTAATTGGCTCCTCAAAACCCAGCACTTTGGCAAAACCGTACACTAATCGCATTACCACAAGTCTTGAAAAATCCACTGGGGTCGTCTCTTTTCTTTGTAAAACCAATTGCTTCTCCGTAGGATAATCGTTTATTTTCCTCTTTTTCATTTCGCAAGTAGAAAACACTAAAAACACAGTGAGAAAAAATATAAAAAATTTAGATTCCATTTTTCTTTATATTTCCCTCCAAAAATAACGTCAGATGACTGTCAAGCAAATTGTTTTTTTTTTGTGGCGACTTATAGCATCGTGCGCATTGCGTAGAAGAAAGTGAATCGGTAACCGGCTAACGGAATGTCGCACGAGTGAATGAATACAGGCTGGTGATAGTGTGTGGCAGCAACCTCCTGCTGTCGCTTCTATTGTGTACCCGTACTATACCAATAAGTAAATGGACGGTCTTAAAACGTGCTTTGATAGCATAAGAAACGTGTTTAAAGTTAACAGGTAGACGTAGTGTGAAACGACTCACGATAATTTCTTGCAAAAATTGCAAGGTGAAGGAATGCGTAGACACTTTCTGTCTAAGACCTATTTGCACCTGGAAAGTGTTTACATTAGAAATGAAGCCTTAAGTTAACAAACATGTCAATATAAGGTCCAATATTAATTAATAGAGATTTAAAAATATATTAGGTAGATACAGATGGGTGATTTTCAATAAGTGTGATCCTTGTCCAACTTGGTGGACTGTGCTTTCCACCTTTAATTTCCAAAAAAGCCAATGCTCTCGAAATATAAAAAAATATATAAAATACTTTCTAGGCACATCAACTTATCTTAGGACTCGAAACCAAAAAGTTCTCCGAAATTAGATATCGCATTTGCTGAAAATTACCCAGATAATTGCTGGATCTAAAAATATGAAATTTATTTACATATTTATAGTACATATCACCTACCTAAGTAAGGACTTTAGATTTATTAATAATTCTAGGGAAATGGGAGATATCGGCTATGATTCTCAGGCGAAGTCGAACGAAACTATTAGTTTTGTATAAACTATTGGTTCATAATCCTCTCTGTGTTCTATCAATTTGTCAATATGTTTCGTTGTATTGAAAATTATAAACATTGAAACCATAGATTTATGTCTAGGGTTGACACCATACCAAACAATCAGTCGGGCCTAGATTACTCACAAAAAGCGTGGGAAAGGTCAGTATAAAGTCCCGTTGTACATTGCAATAGCTTAATGAACTTGTTTAAGAATAGAACTTTGTCTCTTAGATCTTTAGCCCTATTTTACTATTTCAAGTTTACTTGATATTCGATTTTTAAGCGATTTAGAATGGCGTAGGTTCTCAATTTATGTCTTATTTTTTTTTTGTGTATTACATGCTTAGTTACATGATATCTTTAATTATTCTGGTCAGATTTTGATTAACGGAAGTATGCAATTGCTTTTCAAGACTTAAAATAGAAGCCATAATTTTATTTATGCTTTTTTGCAGTAACTTTTAAATTGTCATTTTTATATTATTATTTTTAATTTGTATTTTCTATATAGGGAAGTTTATGATAGATTTTAGATGATATCTAATAATATGATGAGAGTCATATTTCTATAAACCAATAAGAGAGTGAAATTTGTCGACAAAAAAGAATAAAATCGATTTACAATTCGCGTGATACTTGCGAAAAAATTACAGTCGAAATGTGATACTTCTCTTTATTGTAGTCGCTTAACTGTTGTTTATTACTTCATAAAAAGCGAAAGGAAATGGCCGAGACATATTGGCAAATTGTTAGCAATAAAATTTATAATAAAAAAACCCGATGATGCATGTTTGTATATTTATCTTACCGCTCTGTCAGATTTCTCATATGGAAAAAGAAAGTTTGATGATTCATTTTTCAAAATTACCATCCGTTATAACTGGCCACGGCGTATTAGTATGGGAGGCTCAATTCTTTATTGTTTTTCGGCTTATAGGTATTTCTTTACTATAGAATAGAATAGAATCGAATACTTTGAACATGTGATGACAAAGTTTATAAAGTTAACTTTCCCATGAGTTGTCGGTTCTTCGAGCTATGTGACCAGCCCATTGCTACTTCAGCGTGTTTATCTCTAGATAGGTTTTTGAGTGATGACCCCGTACAAGCAAACGCAGCGTAGGACGGCTCCTATTAGATGGAGTGACGACTATAAATGCATTGCAAGTAGTCAGTGAGTACATATGGCTCGGAATCGTTACTTGTGGCAGTCTAGGGGGAGACTTATGTTCGGCAGTTTGCAGACAGATAACGGTTGACAAGTTGACGATAGACTTCCGCAATATAACACCAAGTTCAGTAAAACATCTATATTTTTAAAGGTATTCGCGAGTACTGTAATATTTTTTTACGCTACTGGGATACGCTATGTTGCTATGCTATGTAAGAGACCTTAAAAGTTTAAGAACTATAGTTTAATCCTGAAGTCCTGCTCTAGCAGGAGTTCTTAAACTTTTAAGGTTATAGAATACCTTTTATTTTATAGAACGCACACTATGTCATAATCGGGGCTGAATTCAAGAAATTCTCTTTCACTGACAGTAGACTATGTTAGTAAATATGGATTTATTAATTACAAAACGTATAGGATCAAAGATGTGGAAAAGATGTGCTTCGTGTACGATGAAATAACATCTGTAAAATCAGATTCGTGACTATGAGTCGTAGATTTTATAATAATTAGGTATGGTATCGTAACGTCTACGTGTTATAAAAGATTGTAATTTTCAATTTATGTAACATGCTCCCATATATGTTTCTAGTGTACGCTATACTGTGTACTTTACTAGGTACCTAGTTAAATTTTACTCTTTTTTTATACAACTTAGAATGGCAAACAAGCTGACGGCCCACCTGATGGAAAGTGGTAGCCGTCGCCTATAGACACGAGCAGTACCAGGGACATAACAGAGTTTTCAGTGACATACTGTTTCGCCCATGACATCCCCCCATGCGTTGCCATTCCTGAGGACTCGGATGTTAGAAAGATGATATATGTACATGGAAGTCATTTAAAAAAAATGATATCAAGGGTTAATAAGAGCAATAGAAGCCAAAACCTTATTTTAATCTTTTCAGAAATTTGTCTGTCTCTGTTTGTATGTTTGTTTCGGTATTATGTAAAAACTACTGTGCCAAATTGAATATAGTTTTCACTGTTGTGTTCCTGAAGGTCTAACATAAAAATTGGTGTATGTTTTATTTTGATAGGAATTTTATAAGTGATCTATTTTTTTTAAGTTTCCAACTTTTTAAATCTACGGGTACGAAGTAGCGGATAATATTAACTTGAGTGTTTGCAACAAGTTTTATGAGACCTACATATCTAATACCTAACCTATCTACAAAGGCGGTTTCGCTTGTTTGAATTCTAAGCTAAGTATAAAAGTACATTACTTAGACCGCAGCAGTATGATTACTGTAATTTATGGTTATGATGATGAAGGATGATTGGGTGTCGAGTCGACTTTGTGGTGGGTGAGTTGTGGTTTTTCGTTCTCTTAGAAAAACATAAGTTTTATACTATACTTCTATATTAATATTATAAAGAGGTAAATTTAGTGAGTTTGGATATTCTGTCTAATCTAATAATAGGCTGTGGAATGAGCTCTCTGCCGAGGTTTTTTTCTAGAGACTACTGTATGGGGTCCTTCATAAAGGGTATATTAAGGTTTCTTCAGGATCGGTAACGTGCACGTGACACCCCTAGTGTTGCAGGCGTCCATAGGTTACAGTGATCGTTTACCATCAGACGGGTTGTATGTTTCTTTGTCAACCTATGTGGTATAAAAAACCTCAGGTACAGGCCAATTAAAAAAAAAATTATAGTTAGAAAAGTATATTATCCCTGAGTGCTACAGGCTACTTTTTATTTTGGTAAGTACATATTTTCAATAATTAATCACAATTAAATGTATTTGTAGTTGGCAAAAATTGTATAATATGGAGTACGCTGCCTGGACGATTTGAAATAAAGGAATAAAATTATAAATTTAATATTTAAAAAATAATCATTACTTTAGCATTATAAAAAAGTTCGTGACACCATATATCTAAGTTAATATCTCGGCAAAAAATAGTTTTTATGGTGAAAATAAAATAAATTCTACAAGTTTGGATACAGGTTTAACGTATACTTTAAAATTTTTTATAAAAAATAAATACTTAAATCAAAATGAAAATTTTATGTAGATAAAGTTTATTTTCTACAGCATGTTAATTGTTGCAGTTGGTCAGGAGATAATGCGAAATAAAAATAATAAACAATAAGTATATATTAGTATTTATATAATAGTACGTTACCTACCCTTTGTTTTTTTTTTTCAATGTCCTCTACCCAAAAAGTTGTTTGGAAAAGATTGTTTAGTGATAAGGCCGACTTTTCTATCAGTTCTCATTAAAATTTACTGTATTTATTATTTTTCAAATGGT